TCACAACAGCTATGTCCACAAAAATATGAAAATACGAGAGAGGGAGAGAGAGATAGAGAGAAAGGAAAAAGCATTTCTCTCCTAAAAAATCAGTCAATATTGTCGTTCCTTAACATTATATTACAGCGGGATTGTATCACTCATATTCCAATTTATCAAAATTTTGTTCAATGAAATAAAACAACTCTACATTGTTAGGCGGTAATGACACAAATATAATGGCGCATAAATGTGAAAGTACTTACATTTGAAGCACAGATCTAAAAGTACTAACATAGCAAAATGTCATCGTATATAGCGTCCGTTCTAGTTTTTTTTTTTTTTTTTTTTTTTTTTGAGTGGAGTGCTTTTTGATATAAAGGATTATGCAAATAACGCTTTGTGAATATGAGAATGACTTTTATTCTTTTGTAAGCTCTCTCTGTCTTTTGGAAAAAAGAACAAGAAAAACTTTCAGCAATTAGCAAATGTTATTTATATTACATTTTACCCGTTAAAATATTTATTTTTTTCGTTTTTACATACTTTCGAATCGCCTGATTCATTTAAACCGATCACAAAAAATGATTCGTAATAATTGGAAGTCTAGAAAATGTAATGAGAATATTTAAGGGATCAATGTTTTGTTTTAATTTTCAATAGTATGGAAGCAGGGTGATATCTGGGACCGATAGAGGAGAAATTACTTCGACCAGATAACTTTAGGAATAGTCATTTCATAAAGAATGTTAATTCTAAATAATACATGTGAAGAAAAATTAAGGTTTTTCCTCTGCTTTTTTTTTTTTTTTGTTTTTTTTTTTCAGCGATTTAAAAATTTCTAAATCATTTCATTAAGAAGAGCTCTATCAAATAGAAAAATAGATTTTTTAGAAGCAAAATTGTAGATCAAGAAATGGAGAATTGCATATGAAGCATTTAATTTTGAAAAATAATCCTTTGTTAGTCTTGGCTGCAAATATATCCTATAGAAAGCCTGATATTAATACAAGTCTCATCGACCTATCACAGACGAAATTAAGTGAGAATAATTGTACATCTTATATGTTATCTCGTCTTGCTACTGTAAGTATTACAAGCAAAAATAATCGGAGGAAAAGTTGGTAATCTTAACAGGCTATGAAACAAGAATTTTTGAACCGAAAATTTACAAATAAAAGTTAAAGTTGCAAACGAAAAGTCAAAGTTACGAACAAAAAATTTCTTCTATATTATGCTCAAATTAGATTCTAAACTCATTATGGTGGTTTGAAAACAATAAATTTGTTGAATGTAACATTGCATTCGGAATAAAGTGAAAAACTTGAGAAGGACATTAAAATGAAAAATGCTCATTTTAGAAGAAAATAAGCCCATAACACAAAATAAATTGGACAATCAACAAATTAAATAATGCATCTTTCCGAATAAATTTATTGAAGATAGGAAGCAAACTGATATTTAAACGCTGAAATTCAAATAATTTGAAAGGATAGAAATCATGTTATTAGTTCAGTACGAGCGATGCAAATTTTTTTATCTCTTCTTATCACTCAATTTTCCACTTTTCTTCTTTTTTGATCAACATCAATACAAAACACTAATCACTATGATCGTTACACTATTCACTATTAACACCATAATTGAAATCAACAATCAGTCGTTATCATCACTGTCAAAATGATGATAATAATTAATATAGAACGAGTTCAAAGGGCAATAAAGTTCATTTTATACTTTTTCATTAATCAACTGACTCATCTACTTTCTCAACAATTTCATTTTCTTAGAACTTCACACAATGTGACAAATTTTTTTTTTAATGTTGATTTTTAAAAATTTTTTTATGATGTTCTGCACTATTTTTCTTTTTTTCCATTAGTGATATTGGGAGGAGGAGACACTGAGCGACATTGTCCAATGGTGACTGCCGCCCCAACAGAGCAGGACTTTTATTTAATTTGTGTTACATCCGTTAAAAGCTTAAAAATTGATCCTATTTTGAAGGACTCTTTAAAATTCTCAGTCTCAAAATTTTTGGTTTAGTTTTTCTTTCTCAAAAAAAGAAAATGTCTTCCTAACTCGGTATATACTTATTTTTATAGCAAACTTACTACATATACGAGATACTTTAATAACGTAAATGCAGTTACTTTGAAAATAAAGTAATTTCAGGTTATACTGTGTTAGTGTTAAACAGCGAGCGCATATGACTATTAACAGTACCGTTGCTTTTTCTATTTTTTCTATTCGTTTTTCTACACATCGAAATGAAAGATATAAACATCATCAAATAAGTAAATTATAATAAATTGTAAAAAATGTCGAGAAGACTTTTTCTGAATAAGAATGTCTTAAATAAGCTAAGGATATTAGTCAGTGTAATGATCTGAGCCAGATACTTTCTAGGGCAACAATAATCCAAGAATGCCAAAGATGTACTAAGGAAGTTGCATTTGCTAGAAAAGACTTCGCTTGGTTCATTTGATTCTCAAATAAATCTTCTGGAAATAAATAAAATGAGGAATTTCAAAGTATGCTGAAATTGCTTAATCGATCAAGCAAAAGCGGTGATGTACATGGCTGTAGTAAATTTTAATAAAATACAATAAAGTTGGCATGAGTAGAAAGCAAAGAGAAAACAAAAAATGATTTCTGGAGCGAGAACCATTTGCACAAAATTTTGAACTAAAAAAAAAGAAATATTGCACACTAACTGTTCTCGAAGGCTTTTACTTAAGTAAAAGAAGAAAGGAATAAGCCAAGTGATATATAAACTACTAGTAACTTAAATTGGGAATAATTATTTTGGTGGAAAAGTCAGTATGATGAGTTCTTTGCTAACTTTATCAAAATTTCCCGAATGAATGAGAGTATGTCTTTTTTTTTTTTCTGAAAATTTCAAGCTTCTGTGTTAAAAATTGCTGCACTGCAAGTGTAGGCAATGACTTCATATTTTGTTGAGGGAAAACTACATGCAATAATTTTATATCACATAAGTGCAAGGATGATGTTGACAATATTTATCGGTGGCTTTAGCTTTAACTTCAGTTCAAAATATAAAGAGAGAATTGCAAATGGCTAGCTAAGCAAACAAACAAACAAATAAACAACTTATCTAATTTCTTCTATTACTGTTGAAATGAAATTTCTGAATAAAAAAAAAGTCCATAAAAAAGAATTATAACAGGATCGGAACAATTTGAATTATATCGAGCAATTTGCTGCTTCATTTATTGCAGCATGAATAAAACATAAAGCTTTCCGAAGGGTTTACTGAATAATATATTCAAAATCGATGAAATGCTCATCTCAAACAAATGTTTGGGATAGAAAAGAAGAATTTAATTTAAATTAAAAATTAATTCTACTTAAAATAATACAGACACAATGTTTCCTTCAAAGACAAGCACCTAAAGTAATTCTCAATCAGTGGTGTTATTTTAATATGAAATATTAATTTCGAAGAAGCTTTGAAATTTAAATATTAGGTTTTTTTTAAAGAATTTATTTTATATCAAAAGGCTTAAAAAAGAGATAGCACACAAGTTTTGTTAGCAACAATTTATGTTAGAAATTAACTCTTTGCATTAGAACTTCTTCCTGTATGGAAAGCAATAAAGTATCGAAAGCTTAGCTACTTCAAGTAAAAAAATTATTTCATCAGATAATAAAAATCTCGTAAAAAAGATAGAAATTACAAATAACACTTTTCAACATGACTCTATCTTTTCTGGTAAAACTATTTGTAATTAGCAATTTATACGTTCATTTGCAGGTTAGCACCAATGACTTCAGGAAATTACGAACAAATTTATCACAAATGTTTAAAAGAATGGAAGTTTTCTTGTTTCAATCAAAATAAAAATTGCTGAAAATGTGTTTTGTTTTGAAAAAAACTTGAAACAAATCCAAATAAGTCTGAAACTCTCATCATAAAGGAATGCTATTATATGACAATGAGAAATGAAAAATATAACTATTTTAAATTTATTTTCCAAAACAAACAAATTCTTAGGTTTAATAAAAGTAGGCATAGCAGGAGGAAAAGTTCAGTACTTCTCTCGTAATTTCACTTGCATTTGTTTATGTTTCTTCGTCGCAATGAAGTAAATTATCTGAATCTCTGGAGATATTCTATTTCGGAATGCGGCTTTTCCGGATGACAATACCAGATGTGGAGCAGTAACGGTGACAATGAAGAAAACTAAGAAAATTTTATGAGAAATTAAAAAGAAAACTAAAATTAAAATAATCAGAAATACTGATCACATCGGGCAAATGGATGAAATTTAGCAAAGGAAAAGAAGAAATGATTAATCGTACTTGGGAGTGCATAAATGTGTAATGGATAAAGTAGAATTTCTGGAAGACACTCTTAGAAAATCTCATCTGGGAAAACGAAAATTAGGAAAAGTCCTGTGAGACGTTTTAATGAGTTCGTATATATACGTCAAATAATTTTAGATCCTACAAGATGCATTAGCAATAAGCAATAAGCAAACAGTGCGAACACTTTCAATTACATTTTCTTTAATCCTGAACTCCTCCTGCTTTATTTCTTACTGAATAATATTTCAAATTAAACATACCTTACTCCATTTTATCCAGTACAGGATTAATGACTACTTTTATAGTATCCCGAAGTTATCTGCTAATGGATTCTTCAATGATGAGTGTGTCATTTATGATTTTACAGTGATTATAGTAACCTATGAAATTTACGAATTAAATTTTATTCAGTAAATAATAACTTAGCTCCTCACAGAATGTTATTGTGATATATTTTCAAGCTTTTCTTGATGTTGCCGTGATCTGAAATGTAAACAAAAATTTGATAGAAGCATCAAATATTTGGAACGAACAAATCGTTTTCTGTTATAAACGAATTGTTTATAAATTTTTAATACTCGATGAGATGATATGGAGTGACATCTTCTCTTATTTCATTCTGTCAATCAACATTTTTCTGGAATATCAAACTGAACTAAGTGAGGAAGAATCTCCTGCATGCCTGCTACATGATTGTCTCCCATCGACGACTTCAATGCCTTTACACTGTACATTTTGCAAATTTATTTCTCCTTGTACTACTTTACTCCGATACTACTATACGTATGCAGGTAGGTAATCACTCACTTCCATTTCATCACTTCATCTTTTCTCAATTTCATTTTATTCATATAAGTTTCTTCTTGCTTTATCACTACATATTAGAATTTTTATTTACAATATTAGTACGCCCAATTATAGTACCAATAATTTTCCTAATTTTAACATCAAAATAAACAGCTTTAGTTCACTAGCAATAATGTTTATCAGCTGATTTATCATTTCATCTCTGCAAATTTTTAAAATTGTGCATTAAAATACCAATAATAATATACAAAAATTGTACTGTTGGAAAATGTCACATTTTTTTAAAGACGCTGAAATGCGACAAAAGTAAAGTGGCACATACTCGGATACGACGACGATCTGTGGAAGTGAAACGACCGATAACTGAACAATCGCCACTGTCATTATCACCATCCGCTGGAAATCACGACCAGTGGACTGTGCATATTGGACAGGATACCATTATTCCTGTAATTAATTTTCTTCTTACAAGTTGAAAACCAATGCTCAAAACACATAAAAATCGGAATTTAAAGTTCTGAGAACCTAAAGTTTCAATTCAAAAGATTAGATTATTCAAATTTCAGAAGATTGTTTTCGAAACATCTTGTAAGCGTATTCATCGTCATTGTGCTGAAACAGGCCGCAAATTAATGGGTTTCCAAGGACCACGTGGTCCACCAGGACCACAAGGCATTACTGGACTTCCCGGTGTCGTTCTTTTTAAATTTTTGATTAAGAGAAGACTTCATAAAGTTAAAATGATGCTATTATTTTTTATGAATAAAACTTATTAATTCAGTCATCAAACATCAAAATACTGTACGTAACCAATCTTTTGTTTAAGGACTTTTGATAATTTTAAAGAAGCAACAAAGAAAATTAATCATCTGTACGTTTTACAGGGAAAAGTGGTCAACAGGGTAAGACTGGTCCAATTGGACGGATCGGCAATGTTGGTGAAGAAGGAGAGCCAGGCATTAATGGTTTTAATTCCAAAAATTAAAAAAATCCTTGCAATTAAATATTTGAATACGTTGAAACTTTCAAAAATTTATATTTAATAGCTATAAGCTATTAACTAATCGACTAACTTCTGCTTAAAAGCCAAGTATGCTTTAGATATTATCGAACACTATCGATTTTTTCTCAAATCACTTCCAGAAATAAATTATGAGTCTTCATTACCTGAAAGATGGGCAGTATGATATTAGATGAAGGTTAACTGCTGACATTTTAGGTCGATGTAATTGTTCATTTCCGGATCCATACCTGCAACAGATCATTGTACCCGGGTCACCCATTATTCAGATTGAAGAAAAAACCATGCCGGTACCGGTATTTGTCATTAAAGAAATAGAAGTATGTTTTGAGAAATTCTTTACTGCTAGCATCATATAGCTAATAGAATGTATTTTACTACAAAAAATTCTTGTCATCCAAAGAACCTATGAAGAGAAATTGAAATGAATATGCAATTAAAAACTAAAAGTAGAACTTAATATGCAGTTACAATTAGAAATCTTCAATTAGGAAAGTTGAAACCATGAATTGAGCATGAATTAAACAAATGCTGCCTGAAGTATATTAATTTAAATGACAGCATTTTGACAGGTGACAAAGTTGGTACCTTTTAAGCCCACCACAACTCGTCTTCATCCATTCAAAAGCAGTTTACCACCTATAAGAGTAACAGATTTATCACAGACACACCTTCTGTCAAAGTTAACAACAGTGAAGAAAACTACATTAAAAATGTTGAAGAAACCAACAGCGCCATCTGAATCTACTTTATCGTTAAGTTTGCCAGGTTGATAATATGTACAAAATGTAATATATCAAAATATTTTGCAATGTCAAGGTATTTTTTTTTTAATGACTTAAAATGCTTTTTATTAAAAATTAAAAATTGTCACTTCTTTTCCATCATTTTTTTTAATTTGCTGGTCCTTCATTTCAATCATAAGCCTTCTTAAAATCGTGTGATCCAGAATTGTTGAATAGAAAATATTCATTAGTTATGCGAATTAAAATAAGTCCATTTAAAAAAAAAAAAAAAAAAAAACTTTTAGAGAATTATGTAACGATAAGAGGAAATTTCACTGAAGATTCCACAACAATTGAGCCATATATTGGCCCACCAACACTTGGCTACAACAAAAGAGGTTTAAAAGACAATTTCTTATGATACGAAAGTACTATCATTTCTTAACAAAGAACTTGTTAAAATTGATTAAATCAAGAAATATTATTTTACTTTCTATAATGCTGAAACATGACAACAGTCATTTTTTTGCAAAGTTTGTAAAGAGAATAATGTCTTTCTCCATTAAATCAATTGATGATTACATCCTTCAACGCTACTTTCTATATTGGGTTCATATTATCAAAAATATTAATCTTTCTTTTTGTTTTTAAAGCAACTTCATTTTTTAAATTCTAGTTTGTCTTCTGAATGCTGTCGGTATTCCTGTACTTCATGCTGAGTCACAGTATAGTACTGTTGGCTCGTGGATGCGCGATAATTTACCTTACAATCAAGAAATGGCTGAACGACGATGGGTAACTGATGATTATGCTTCACCGGTGCTCTATGAATATGAAAATGAAAGACAGCTAATGAATAAAAAGCAGAAAATCAAGTATCGATGTTGACTTCTATTCTATTTGAATTCATTCCATAAACAAAATTCATTACTTTTATTAGTACTCATTTGTTTGTTGTAAATCATAATTTGTGGACTCTCCTACCGTACTTACTTTTGGATGCATTAAGCAGATCATTAGATAACTGCAATTCATTAGTGGAAACTCATATATAATTCTGCTAACTTAACAATTGTATGCTGAAATCGAATGAAGGGATTCTACAGTATCGTAATTTGTTATTAGAAATAAATTTCGATTTTCTATGTAATATTTTCAAGTCCGCCATAATTTGGATTCGTTTATGGATTCGAAAGTTTCAATCTTTTATTTCTTTTCTTTTTTTTTTTTTTTTTAATTTAATTTTGACATCAAAATTTTCAACATTTAGGTATTACATAGACTATTTGGCATCTGGTACAGGCAATATTATCTATAATGGTTCTTATTATTATCATCGACATAGCTCAAGCATGTTAGTGAAATATGACTTAGAATCAACTGATGAAGCACAAATGGATCTGGGTGATATGTCATATCTAGATTGTTCGAGAAAGCCAGATCATACATTTGAGGTGGTAAACTTTTCTCAAACTAGCAAATTATATTAATTCGGTGTTTGTGTTAATTTTTAGTATTTATAAAAAATATGAGCGAATGCTTCCTTTTCTTAAAATTTGTCTCCAAATATTGATTAAATGTCCAAATAGATTTGCAGAAATATTCTTAACTCATTAAAATCAACTTGCTTGATAAAAAAAAACGACATCAAGTATAATGTATTTGATAACATTAATCAGTTGATAGTTTCTATTCATTTCTTCCTTCAAACTGAATCATTTGTTTTTGCCAAGATTTTTCTGGATTTTCCGGACTTCATTTTTATCATTCACCAACTATTGAACAGCAATTATTTATGCTGATATTATTATTTATTTATTTATGGCATTAAATTGAAGGACTGCAACGAAACGGAACGTGACATATGGCTGTATAACCGTCCTCATAATTATGTTGATTATTCTGCTGATGAGAATGGACTTTGGGCAGCTTATGTACGATCTGGCATGCAACATATTACTGTCAGTAAAATTGAGCCAGTAAGTATATCTCATTAAATTTCTAGATTATTTGCTATGGCCACTTTTCAGCCCATAGATATTTCTCTTAAACCTTATTTTTGTTCTCTTTATACATAATTCATTTAATTTAATAACCAATAATAGCCTAGTGTTTAATTTTTTTATTTCTTAAGATTATGGATTATAAACAATTTATAATATTTACGTTGAGCTTTTTTTGCCATTAATTTATTGCTACACAAAAAAGAAAATCACACTTACGTTTTTCGACAACGTTCAAATTATCCGTTGCTGTTTTCTTTTTTCAGATATATTACAGTTGATACTTAATTCAGATTTCATTAAGATTACAATTACAGGATATGCATGTAGTTCAAACATGGGATATTTATGAATTGAATGCAACAAGTGTAGCTGAGACATTTATTATGTGTGGAATATTGTATGGATTAAAAAGTGTTACAGATCGGGACACTGTTGTTAACTTTGCTTATGATTTATTTAGGTAAGTCAATTTGCACTTCTACTTTTACGAAAACGAATGAAGAAAGAAACATTGGCGCATTTTGTTTTAACTTATCGATTAACTTGATAAGCTATTTATAACGAAAAATCAACTACCAATTAAGTGCAGAAATGATGAATTATTTCTCTTAAGAGGTTTATTTTTCAGGTAAGATGGAGATAGAATGTTCTACCGTAACTTTGATTTTTGTAAAATAAGAATACTAAGGTGCCAATTTCAAAGGAAAGTCTTTTCAGGAATGAAACAATAGATGTAAATGTGAAATGGTATAATCCATACGGTGGCATGACCATGTTACATTACAATCCAGTAGATGGACGCTTATATTTCTTTGATTCGAAACGATTATTGAGTGTAAATGTCCGTGTAGAAGGTCAAACCGATCAGTTCACATTTTCAGATTCTGATTAATTATTCTTTGTACATTATATAAGACAATGACTCATAATGTACGAATTTCTCTTATTTAATTTTAAGCCAAAATTATCGCCGAATGTATGGAAGTAGTATTAGTGATTATCGTGCTAGGAGACTGAGAATAGGAAATGAACTAAAGATAATGAACTAGGATGTAACAGATATTTCTTTATTGTGTAGGTTTCTAGTATGAAGTCGATGGTATGAACCTTGTTCGGTATTAGATTTTTAATTGATAAATTACTGAGAAGTGATTATATTTTAGGATAAATTTGACAGATTAGCTGATGAATAATTATATTTTAGAACAATTTGATAAATTAGATGAAAAGTGATTCTATTTTAATCTTTTGAAATGATCTTTAATTACAATCAGCCGCCTTTATCTAATCAGCTAATAATGACACTCAAAATTTTTTGTAATAAGCAAATCATAAACTGCTTCACTGTTTTAATGAAGTGATATTGCCTTTCTTATTCTTTATTGAAATTTGAAAGTCTTAAAAAAAGTGTTATGAAACAAGCGTACTACAATTTGCATTTTGCAAAAAAAAAAAAGATTTTGATTAATAGTTATATCTAAAAGTTTAAAGGTAAAAGTTAATGATTCATATTTATTCTTTATTTGGATCCAATATCGACCTTAACTGTTTCAATGAAGAATGTTATTCCAAATGGAAATAACGAACAAAATGGTTAAGTATTTCGTGAATAATTAATTTGGAAATGAATAATTCGATATATGATACATTTCTTCCAACTACTGCTCTGTTCGAAAACACGACATTGTGCAGATTGTTTGAAAAGCTGAGGTCAGTAAGAAGCTATCTGACCAAAGGATATGGTTTGGTAGAAAGTTATCTGACTAAAGACGCCGAAATTTTGCCTTCAGATGCCAATATTTTTTCTTGTTAAGAAATTTTAGTTTCTTTTTTAAATTAACAATGAAGGCTTTATAATTGGTTGCTTAATGCAAACGAATTAAAATATAATTAATTGATCGATGTTGTAGGGATTATTAGATAATTTCAAAATATATCACAGATGGTTGACTGTAGGAGATATCTGGTTGGGATTTGTATCATTGAGTAGAGACTGTGGTACTGAGACAAACCAAAGTAAAGCTTACTGTCACTAAAGGTCAACTCTCGATGGTTTATAACATTATGCAGGTTGGAAAACCTCACAGTAAAGAGTTTTGTAATTATCTAAAGTATATTGAATAATAAATCTTTAGTTTACAAATTTTTATCTTTAGAATTTAACGTACAATTAATTATTCGATATGTTATAAATCTCAATTTTCCGTCATTTCTGACTTTTCACTGTTTGCCTTCTATCGTTAATTTTGTATATTTTATTTCAAACTCAGGTTCTAGAGAATGATTCTCAAACAATTTTTACTTCCCACTATTTCTTCCTGTTGTTCAGTTTCTCTGATAACTTTTGTAAAAATGAAAATGGTGGGTTATAATTTTTATCGAAACCGTGGCCTATGTTATAAAAATTTGAAGTGAACAGGTCTGGAATTTAATTTTAGCTTATTTATTTATTTTATCAAATAAATAATTTAATAAAAACACTATGATTATCTTTGCTATTATTCCTGCTGAAAAAAAGGAAGGGAATTTATTTAGGAATGATATCTATTTATCTCTCATGAAGTAATATAAGAGTAAGAAATTATCAAGTTATATCTTATCATATCACACAGAAATAATGTAACTTAGAAATATCTTTGTTCTTGATGGCATAGAGTAATAACAAAAGATTTTAATTTCTGGATAAGTCGCTGGATTTATCTAATAATTCAAATATTTCATTGTTGATGATCGATGAATCATATGCAACAATATTTTGATGCATTCTGTTGCATCAGTTTCCTCTTTTAAATTTGATATTTGCAATGCATTTTCTATTTTCAAATTTAATGTTCGTTGAAGAATAAAGTAAATTTTCCCGTAAGTTTTCTTTTTTATTAATGAAAGTAAAATCTAAAAGGTTATAATTTCCATTTAATATATTGTGGCATAGAATTTTTCCATGAGCGAAATTATTTTGATGGAAGAAGAGCAAAGTGAAAATTTCTAACATCAGATTGCTCATTTGAAAGTGAAAATTAGGGTCAGTGCACAAGGGTTATCGAGAGATCAATCAATTAACACCAACCCGCCCCGTACCTGTATCGGATAGGGAACATTCAATGTGGGCAATTCTTTTCTCTCCTTGTTTTCAATAGCTTTCCATGGCATTATTTACATTTTCCTACATATTTTCAAACATTCCACTTCTGTTTATTCAATTTTGGGTTGTTGAAGTTTTTTTCTGGTGAAGTTACATCTCAATAATTAAGTGTGCTACATTTTGGAATTCATTTTAGATGTAGCCAATTGCATGTCAGCTTAATAAGATCATTTATACACTATTTTAATCGCTAATCTTTAATCGTAATACATTATACTTCTCTTTTAAGTTTTTAAATCCATTTTAATTCCAACTCATTGTCAGTTCGAAAGGAAAAATAAATTGTAATTTCTTCCTTTTTTGATTTTGCTCATTCTAACTTTCAAAGGTATTTTTCCTTTATTTAATATAAGAACTTCTAAGGCCTTAAAGAAAGTAAGGCTATCGAAGAGATCACAGTACAATTAGCTCTTGCTTTTGTTATTTTGTTAATGTTACTATGAAAATTAGAGGGATTTTCTCAGAACTTCTTTTTTAATAATTGGATTTCAAATTTAAATATTTGATTTCATTGTTCTACTGATCTTCCAACAATTATTAGTAAAACTATCCTTCGTATTTTTCATTTTTCACCTCGTTCCAAAATTTGTTTATGAATGAACGACTTAGTAAATATCATTCATTCATCATTTTATTCTAATTTTATTTCATTAATAAAGAATACTAATATCTGGAATCAGTTTATAAAATTGTGGATGTCTAATATTCCTTGTTATATCATTAATAATGCATTCTTTTCCCTTCCAGATTTCCTCATATTCTATATATTTCATTCGAATTTATTTCCTATTTCGTTTAAAAGTTCATTCTATCCAATTCTCATAGACACATTATCTCTCTAACGACGAATTTCAGAAGGACGACATAATGAGGCGTGGGCGGGAGAAAAAGGAGACAGAAGTTGGATGAGAATACATACCCATCACACTCCTTCTCTTACATTTAATTTAAAAACTGAAATGTCCGAGTCACGTTTCTGTCTTTGGGCTGTGGTTGGATGGGAAATGTGTGGATGTGTGGGTAAAGTTGCAGGACAATTCAATGTTTGATTACTTCCTGATGAGGCCAGGGTATAGAGACATTTCAAAGGAATCGCTTAAAAGTTTAGAAACTGAAAATATCTTAAGATCGTGCTGATATTCTTCTGCAGTACAAGTCATTGCAAATGTTTTGTTGGTACTATTCTGAGTTGGAGTACCGTTATTACAGAGCTGTAGGTGGTGTTAGTGCTCAAGTGTCAAGGTTATTGCCTTATCAGAAAGATGGCTTTCATGCAACAGGTTAGTTGTTTACTTGCTGTAATTTATCTTTTATATACAGATTACCTGACTATATGTACAGATATTGTTATACTGTTCGAGATTAGCACAAAATTTCTTGCATTTTAGATATTCAAAAAGCTAAATTCGAAAGGATTTGAGATATTACTTGTGAAATGATGCCTAACATGAAAATATACATGGAATTAAGAAACTGTAAAGCAAACCTCTTACAATTGTCAGTTAGATCTAAAGTTTTTTATCAGTAATAATCGTAATCCTTGCTATCGGCGTTGTCATTAATGTACAGAACTTGACCGTACGGTCTAATATAGTTGTTAAGTATACTGAGGTAACATCTTACACATCTTTTGATTCTTTAACAATCTTCTAGGCTTGAGATTACTGGTAGTTTTCTTTACTCAAAAAATTTATCTTATTAAATCTTAATAAATGTGGTACTTAAGATTCAACACATAGCGTGCGTGGGTGCTGGATATGTTGGTGGGCCAACATGTGCTATGATCGCTTACAAATGTCCAGAGATACGAGTCACTGTTGTGGATATGAACGCGGAAAAGATCAAACAATGGAATTCAGATCATTTGCCTATTTTTGAGGTTCTTAATCTTTTCATTAATAATTTCATCATTTCCTAGAACACTTTTCAAATAATTATAAGTTATTTTCTGCTTTCTAACTTTCGGAGTTGAAATTCTATTTCAAGATTTGTCCAATATGTAATTTACAAATGTTCTTTTTAGCCAGATCTTGATGAAATTGTGAAATCATGTCGTGGAAAGAATCTCTTTTTCTCCGACGATATACCGTCAGCAATACGAAATGCCCAACTTATTTTCATGTCCGTTAATACACCAACAAAAACATATGGAAAAGGAAAAGTCAGCATCAAATTTGTGGAAAAATTTAGATTCCATTTTAAAAATGTCATTTTTTAGCAAATAGTGAAATTCTTAACAATGTTGACAGTCATAAGTACATGAAAGGTTTTTTATTGTACCCAAAGAGAAATAAGATAATAGTTATATCGAAAGTATTACATCGATACAGGTCGTATAATTAGGAGTAAAATATAGAAGAATAATTTCAACTTTTAATATTTAATATATGTATTTAAAAAACGGTCAATTCCAGGGTATGGCACCCGACCTAAAATACGTGGAATCTGTTTCACGTGCCATAGCAGAATATTCTTGTGGTCCGAAAATTATTGTTGAAAAAAGTACGGTGCCTGTAAAAGCTGCTGAAAGTATCAGTGCCATATTGAATGAAGCACAGAAGAAAAATCCTCAACTTTCCTTTCAGGTAGCGATAAATTTTCATTGTTTTTATTGAAAGGTATTACTATAAGATGAGGAACAAACGAATAAGCATATTCAGATCTTTTCTTAGAATCTTTTGCTCTCATTCACTGAAAATAACTATGTGTTACTCTTCTCATAGCACCATATAGATTTCGTAATGTAAAAAACGTGATACTTTTGTGTGCTCGTGTTAATCTTTCCACCTTAAAATTTCAGGTATTATCGAATCCAGAGTTTTTATCAGAAGGAACAGCAATAAACAATTTAGCAAATCCAGATCGTGTTTTAATAGGCGGAGAGAGTTCTCCAGATGGTTTGGCAGCTATGGCTCAACTGATACAAATTTACGAGCATTGGGTACCACGGGAGAGAATTATAACTACTAATACTTGGTCTTCAGAGCTATCGAAATTGGCAAGTACTTTCTGTCGCATTCTTTGAACAAAGGATTAATAAATTTCTCAATATGACCAATAATATATTTCTTTTACGAGGTTTTTAAAGCATTAATTGCAAAGTCTTTCACTTTCATTAGATAATTTTGGCTCAGGAAAACAATATATTGCAATCAAGGTACATTCTTATTAGCAAAATACATTAGTTTTAAGTCATCATTCCAATAGTTCAACAAAAGAAAGTGATGTTTAGGTCAACAGCTAAGATTTGAAGTCATTTCAATGTCATCCGTTTCTATTTTTAGGCAGCGAATGCATTCCTTGCACAGCGAATTTCAAGCATAAATGCAATATCTGCGATCTGTGAAGCAACTGGTGCTGATATACGGGAAGTTTCTTATGCAATTGGTCGAGATACTCGTATTGGGAATCAATTTCTTCAGGCTAGTGTTGGTTAGTTAACTAAAATTTTTACCTTTTGATAGCTGGAAAAAAAAAATTTGTTGATTTCTTCTAGTTGTGCAAAATAATTTTCTAGGCTTTGGAGGTAGCTGTTTTCAGAAAGATGTTTTAAGCCTTGTTTATCTCGCCGGATCCTTGAATCTTCACAAAGTGGCTGATTATTGGTTGCAAGTAAGTCGAATGGAAAAGTTTTTTTCTGAATATCTGAAAAGTGGAAACATAAAGTAGTTAAAGTGACAAGTATGTGGTTTTATATGATCATTTAATTAAAACTTCAAGTTTGGTCCAAGATTTGAAATCTCAAATTCTTTTTTTACTCATATTAAAAAAAAACCAATGAGTTGCAGAGGTAAAAATAAAGCCTAAAATTGGAGTGGTTTGTAGGTTGTCGAAATCAATAATTGGCAAAGGAGACGTTTTGCTGATAAAATCATTTCTGAAATGTTTAATACAGTATCAAATAAGAGAATCGCCATATTTGGTTTTGCTTTCAAGAAAAATACTGCTGACACGAGGTTTTCACATTTATTTACACATAAAATGGGGATAATTACGGGAATAATTGTGTAAATTCTGTGGACATTGTTTACAGCTCAAAGAAAAGAGTTATAATGTAAGATGCAAATCTCATCTTACATTTTATTAAGCATCGGCCTACTTTTTTAAATGTTGGAAAATTTTTTGTCCGTAAGATACCGACCACAGCACAAGGTTTAAATTTAAAGTTCGATTATTTCATTCACTTACATAATTTAATTCTCTTACTGTATTTAAATCTAACTTTCTTAGAGAATCCTCAGCTATTCACATAGTAAAGTATTTGCTTGATGAGGATGCTAAACTGGTTGTATACGATCCGAAGGTACCAGAATCACAAATGCGTTATGAACTAAATCAGATTTCCTCTAAAGAAACTGGTATACATCACATCTTTACTTTTTATTGTTTTTGTTTATTTCATATGTTTGAATTCATTTTATTACAAGTGTGTTATTTTACATTTACAAATGATCTTTATTTTTCTTTTCTTTTTGATAAGAAAAGTAAATAACTGGAAAAGCTGGCACAGTTACCATGAATATTATTTAATATTTTACAATAATTTTCGGAAAAAATCTATTCTTGATATGTAGGATGGCGAAGAATTTATTATGAAGAAGATGAACTTACAAAGGAAGTCATTTCGTGATTTTTTTTCAGTTGAGAGACTGTTCACATTCTCGAAGAATCCATACGAAGCAGCGATGAATTCACATGCTATAGTTGTGCTTACTGAATGGGACGAGTTCAAAGTATGTTCTTTTCTTTGCAAGGCGATAGTGATTCTTTTTAACATTTTTATAATTTTTCTTTTTTTTTTGGGTTATCTTTCATTGTCTATTATTTGTACCGCTATGTATCCCTTACTTTTGTTGACATTATGGGTATGCTTATTAAGCAATATTTGCTTATGTTCACCAACTTGCATGGTTTTTGAAAGGAAAATTTTCTGTGCAAACCATATAGCCTTATTGGATTAAGAATTAATAAAATAATTATTAAACTCCTGAGAGTTTTTGGTACTGATTTCTATTTAAAATAATACAAGAAAGTGAGGCTAGTTTTAAAAGTCGGGAGTTATTAAGACATGGAATTTCCAGAGTTATGACTATCGATATATTTTCAACTCGATGGCGCAGCCGGCATCAATATTTGATGGCCGGCTCATTCTGGATCACAACAAATTGCGCGAGATTGGTTTTAATGTATCCGCAATTGGGATCGCTTCATCACAGTCATGCAAGAATTGCTACAAATAAGCTTTTCTGATTGTTGTCATCATCTCTATCATAGCAGACATATCATAAATGATTCTTATCGCTAGCATGATACAACGAGCAATTTTCTCTCATTTATTAATTTTTTAAAGCTTTGAAACCTCTAAATTTATTACTTGATTATGTTATTTAATTTAATTTAATTCACTTCACTCCGTTTCTATTTATCAGATCTGATAGATTGCTTATAGCATTATTAAAAGTAGAGGTGATTCAAAATTTAAGAGCAATGAAGGAGCTAAAAAAAATCTCAAAAAGGAAAGTATGAGAGTAAGTTTAAATTAGGAGAGAGAAAATAAAAACGAATGAATGGATGCTTTCGTTACAGGTGATCAAACGCTATAAATGATGGTTAATTTATAATTTTTCACTCCTGCTTAACATTGTATTTCAAGCTTTTATATTCATTTTTCATTCTCATTCCTACATTATTCAATGATTATGCTTTGTTTTGGATGTTGCAAACTTAGAAATTTTCAAGCAATTAAAGTCAGATTTTCTACCAACCTGTGTTGATGAATTTTCATAAATTATTTGTATCAGGACATATAAAAATAGTATTTGTGCAGGAGGCGAACTCTAAGGATTTTGTCATTTCATTTGCTATCTGACAAAATAGTAAAAAGAAAGCAAAAGACTCAAATGAACTTTTCTGGTAACAAATTCCCACCAAACAAATTTAATACTTATTACTAGCCAAGAAAATCAGGTCATTGCGCCTAAATTTGTGAAGTACTCATTGAGGAGAATGCTGCTAGACTGATTGAGGGATTCTCTCATGACTTAAACAGTTCGTTAATTGAACGGATCTTCAGAAGGAAAAATATGCTTAGCAAATGAAACAATTGTAACTAAAAGAAATTGAAATCAATTTAATTTAAATCATTATTTAAATTAATTTAGCGAGGAATGTTCATGTGCATACGATTTTAATGCCACACAAAAGCAAGTTCGATTTCCATTCAAGTTTAGGAGACATACACCATCTTTTCCGCTGGAAGAAAAGTCTTGACTTCAAGTTTGGTTTCTTTTTATGTTTATTTTGAGAATTCACCCTTTGTACTCCTTACCAGAAAATGTATTCCATAATAATTTGTTACAACATTCATAACAGAAGGTATGTCGTTTCCTCCTCCTCTTCCTCCTTCCAAAAAAAAGTCATGCTTTCTTCCCTTCTGATTAATCCCACCTTTCTAATTTTAGAAAACTTCAGTACTTTACTTCAACATTTCCTGAATATTTCCGATCACTTCAAGGTAAGTTGCAACTATTGCTTTTTATAGGTTTTGTCGCAGATAAGATCTATCAGTGTCATTAACCTTCATGTTCTTGAACATGAAACTCTGCTATACATTGTTAATTTTCCCTTAAAACTCATTTCTTCCAGATCTGTCTAGACTGTTTTAGCTCCTTAATAAATGAGACACAGCTGGAATCAAAATCAACATTAAATTCCGAATCTAAATCCTAAATTTTAAGAAATTTGGGACATATGGGATTTTCCTGACTTCAAAGATATATTTCCTTTTTTCCCTCCAAAAATATAAATTCACAGTGTATCAATAAACGTGCCCATTCAACTGATCAGTCTATAAATGAAGAAATGAAAGTTATAAGGCGAAAGAAAGTTTTCCCTATACACATACATAGAGTTAAGCCTTTATTTGAATCAATTAATTAACAGCTCCAAAAATATCATTATTTAAAAATTATTTTGGGAAGCAAAATAAACAATCGGAAAGACTAAAAATACATTGAAAAATCAGCGAAGACATTACTGATGGTTTGAACTGCACCAAAATATAGAAATCGAGTGCAAGCACATTACGAACCACAGAGTCTGCCATGTTCCTACTTAAACAACAGCGAACATTAATTATGGGATATCCCAAAAGCAGTTAAAGAATTATATACTGAATTAGACCCTACCCTATAACACTATCACCAATTTACGCAAGCAAATATTTTAATTATCAACCTAAGATAATTGCACTGTTACCTCCATTACCAAAATATATGGTTGAACAAAACACGAAATGTTTCATGTGGACATATGGAGTGTTAAAGAACATAAATGATGTTTTCCCTAGTTTTGTGTCTATCTCACCGTGCTGAAAAGAATAACCGAAACCGTTGGAAAATGGATCAGATAAGCAAATACTGAACAGCTCAAACACAACAGCATCTTCTTTTTTTGATTGTGTATACCTCGAAAATAAGTCATGTGTAATCAGCTTTGTATCCATATGTCAGTGAAATTTAACTACGAACTAGTGTTGCTGCTTTGAGACCAGTTCTTTATATTTCATTTCAAGTTCTCGAATTTTGCTCCGCGCTTGCATCAATTCTCCACGTAGTTCACCAATCTGACAGCTTAACTCTTTCTCCACTGTTCTTGCTTTCTCAAGATCTGCTGCCATATGCGTTTTCTCATTAACTGTGAGCACTATTGTAAATATTTTCAACTCACTTTGTAACAAAAACATATATGAAACTTTGATTGCTTTTCAAATCTTTGTGAAATTTACTGCACCACTTTCAAAAATTATGATATTCTGAATTAAAAAATGCGACTGAAGATGCAGCAAGAATGAATATATGAAACATGCCTTCAGCATCCTTCAGTAACTCGCACAATTTCTTATAACGGCTTTTGTACTTCGTTAATTCTGACTCTGTTTTCAGTTTTACTTCTTTATCCAACATCATTTGCCTAAGTGTTTCCACCAGTTTTGATCGATATAATGCAACCAAATGCTGTTCCTTCTAAATATTTCATTTAAAAATTTCTGCATGTATAAATAACAATTGAAGTCAACAAATTTCGTAACCATAGCAAAATGTGCATGTCAAAAAATTTGGAAAACTTCAAACTCATAAAAAAAGTAAAATCCCTAAAACGTACAGTCTTCTGAAGTCCATCATCTTTTGTCGACAAAGCAGAAGCTTGTAAATCAATTTCTGATATGAGTGCTTCAACCGCATCTTTTGTTCTCACTGTTTCCTGCTCCATCCAAGATTCTGTATGAACCTGAAAATAAATCTGAATATAACTCCTGGAGCTAAGCCCACCGTTTTTTTATTAATATTCTTTCGAATAATAAATCAACTGGAAGTTAAACTGTCTACTGCTATTCAAATATCAAACATCGGATGATGCTATCTCTTGCACAGGATCCGCAGATGCCGTAGAAGCCACTTCGCGACTGTTTTCCATTGCTTGTTGCAAATCCTATAAGAAACATTTATGGCAAGGACGAAGAAATTATCTAACAAAATCGTGGGTAATGGAAGACAAATAACGATGTTTGTGGCTTTAGATGGAAAGATAGAATTATTTAAATTAAAAAAAAAAAAATGCTCTACATATATTAGCCTCAGCAGTGCTTTTATTTCTTTTATAGTATTCCTCACATAGAAATAATAAAACACTGGACAAGAAAAAAGAAATTACCTTAAATTGCACAAAAACAAATATGGAGAGAGATTTCAAAAAAGTAATATTTTTTGTTGAGTAATAACAAAAGGGAGATAAATACCTCGTGGTATTTCTTTTCCATATAATCCCCATCTCCATCTTGCACTTTGAAGCCATCTTCCATGACAATAGGTATCTTGAAATTAAGTTAAATTGCTTTTTTGCAAAATCTTAATCATTTTAAAACAACTTAACAAATTTACATTGTATATGACAGAGCTAAATTAAAGAATATGTCATTTATTTATTAAAAATTACACTTGCTTTTTTAGTTTTTTTCCCCTTATTCTTTCGCTTTTGTGGTATGGAATGCACAATGAAACCGCTACTATTCTTGCATGTAGCTGATTTTTTCTGATTCTCATGTTTTTTATTCTGGAAATAAGTCTTGATTTCAAGGAAATCTTCCACAAATCAATCAAACAAATTTTTCCAATTCCATTTTCTGGAAAAATCTGTATGCAATCAAAAAAAAAAGCTAATAAAATTGTCAAAAGTTTTGTGCCATTTACAGAATCGGCTAACCGTGTAATTTAAAGAAAGCAATCAATAGATAAGATATGGACTAAGCAACGAATCAGACCATACGAAAGCTGATTTTTTGACTGAAGACCTGCCACTCACAATCATCTTTAAAGCTCCTGTTTTGTATTTAAAAATTATAAATCTGTTTCTACCATTTCAATCCTAACAAATAGGTGAATGACCTGGCTAGGTGTCACTTTACTCATCAATTTCGTGCCATTATCACCATCACTTGACGAACTCGTATCGTCGTAAATTTTCAAGCATGAGAACTTCGAGCGTTCACCAACAATAGGCATTTCATACAAAACCAATGTTCAAAACTTGTCACGGAACAACCGAACTACAAAAATGTTGCATTAACAATGCTTACAACCGCCTTTCAAAATATTATACAAAGGATCTCATGAACATTTCATTGGTAATTGGGGAAATTATAATTAATAATGATAATATATATGAATCATATGACTTTAATTTACTTCAGTTTACTGTTCTGGATTTGAGTGAGAAACATGGAGCAAAGTAAACTGATTGATAGGTCTAAGACAAGTGCGAATAGCAAGATTCCAACCCAACATCCTTCATTAGCATTATTCAGTGACCAGTCCGATGAAACGACTCGTTTCACACTACCCACTAGGAAACAACTCTTTCTCTCCCTACCCTTAAGTGAAGTGAGGAGGAATGTGACGTGATACGACGTGATGGTATAGTGCTATGTCACTAAACGAGAGGTGTGGAGATGATGAGTTCGATATCTGAACAGTTGTGATGCGTATCATAGACAATAGTGTCCTCTAAGAAGTTCCGATCCATCACCTCCGTTCATTATCAGTGCTGCAAGAAATTGGGTCGGCTTTCTGTTCAGGCGATCTCACACTAAAGGTAGGAATAGGTAAGCTATACCGCTAGCCTCTTTGATTGATTATATTATATATCGAGAGTTCAGCATGAAATTTTATACATCGCTATATTGACAAAACATATAGATAAAAGATAGAAATAACAGGAGTACTGTAGTCGGGAATGATTCCGTGTATACAAAAATAGTGACATGATACATATAGAAATAGATGGAAACTGGAACTGCGTCTATGGGGCATAATTATAATGAGGTATTCGGAGGCAAGCATAACGTTTTACGCACAAGACTATCCGCAATACGTTCAAATTGTAAACGATCTTCACGCCACATTTTTGCTGCATTTACGTTGGCAGCACTTTCATCATTCGGTTCTAAAGACACACTTTTCGTTGTAAATGATAATTTTAATTTAACTAAACACAAATTGGTATATTGTTCATATCAATAGTAATTAAATAATTTTTCCTGCGAAAAATCTATAAATCAGTAATATAGTTAAAAGATACTCACCAGCAAGCATAGATACAACAGAAAGCAGGATTTTTTCGATGGACTGTACAGGAGACCATCGTTCTGCGCTTGACTCATAGCCAGTCGGATCATCACCTGGAGAATGGAGAATACTAATACAAACGCGTCCGTCCGGATAGATGTTTGGATGAAAAATGTCGCAAGTAAATTGCATTTTTGGCGGAGAAAGAGGATAATCCTGAAATAAACCAATTTTAAATTTAAATTAATTCAGTTAAATTCGCATTAGCCAAATGCAAGATGAAAGATGAAAAATTGATAGCATATGAAATCATGAAAACAGGAAAAGATTAAAACGAGGATTAGGTGAAGTCACTTGATCACATGAAAATCACAATTTGCTGCAATCCTTCTTTATCGAAAATATATTTTATTATAAAAGCATGGACATACTCTGTTAAGCATTAACACACTAAACTCATTCATCTGTTAACAACTGAAATCAATTAATTGAAATAGTCAGTATTAAATTATTTACTTTAAATCATTCTAGGAATGGAATGTAAAAGATAAGATACATATAAAACTGAATAATGAGACTAAATACCTGCGGGAAAATAATCCTTGCTGGAAAGACGCCATTCTCAAAACATGTCTCATCCGGTCCTGTGATTAGACACTCCCACTCGAAAAAATTATCTTCACTGATTGGTCCAGCAATAATCCCTTCAGGTGGGTTTAGCGTCAATTCTGCAACAGACTGCCTTCCCAGAAGCATAAATGTTGTGCGCACACGCATGTTCATTACCTATCTACTTTAGTTACTAACAACAATAATAGGATTATAAAACCTGCTACAGTTGCCAATCTCCTTTCTATAATAATGCACGCGAGTGCTTTATACTTCATACGGGATTATCATTATTTGAGACATAACTTACGCTTGTACTCAGCCATTAATCGCTTCAGCGCATAACCTGCCATTTCGTACTATCTGAAACGTCTTTATAACGCTTAACTTATTAATCATATATATATATAAATCATCACAACGAATCTTCCAACTAATGAAATAAGCGATCTGGTTGTGCTATATAATGTCTGCAGCAAAAAATGGCGATGCATGGATTAAAACAATAAGTGGTAAAGAACACTCCCCTAGCTAAAGTAGTGCTTTTATATTACAAAATCTAAAAGAGGCAGCAGAGGCTTATCTTTGGATAACAGTACTAGTAGCATACTTCAACAGTTCTCAACATTAGGCAACAAAAGATGCAGATTAGAATAGTTGATGAACTAACTGCCGCGATGATTGCTTATAGTCTTGATAAGCACGGGCGCACAATAGTTGGTGGTAGTATATTTGATGTTCAATACTCGAAATAACTGATGGAGTTTTTGATATAAAAGCTGTGAATGCCGAAACCCACCTTGGAAGTGAAAGTGGTTATTGTTGGATTATAAGCCTTTTTTAATTAGTTAAGAGATCCGTATGTGTAAAATACTTTTATGAATAATCTTCTATCAACAAGATACATGTTAATCAATCTAAAAAAGAAAACCATTACCTAGCAAAACCAAAAATTTTTTCCTAGCTGCAGAAATAACTAAATGAATTGCACCTGAATATAAAATTTTCTTCCAAAATTCCTTCCACTACATTTATGAATTTATACAGATAACCCTTTTTTGTCATCTATTGTTTACATTCCATGTATGAACGTAGGACATTTTCCTTACAAATAAATTGTTCGCTCCCTAGATAAGCTCATGAAAAAGCACGACGAAATCATTGGGTATGCATGAAGAATTTCATAATAGCTTTTAACTACATATTTATTTATCAGAATGCAATTCTACAATTATTAAACACAATAAGATGAAAATTTGATAATATGCTCTTAGCATTTCTAGAACTTGCAGTGTGCTATAAATTCCGTCCAGTGCAATGTATATCTACAAAAAAAAAAAAAAAAAAAAGAAAAAGAGTTATAAAAATACAAATAGTTCATGAAATTTAAATCACAAATGATAAAATGCATAAATTATTGTTATTGCTTCAGAAGTTCCGAGAAAAACCAAAAAAATTCTGGAACTGGTTATTAATGAAGGATAATCTCTTTATCTGTACTAGAAATTGTTAAAAATTATATCCCGAATTCCAAAAATAAAAACTTTCATTTTCTTTTAACAATATTCTATGTCTCCATAAAACACCAACTGAGAGGATCTAAATACTAGTAAGTATGGAGATAAAATGAAAATAACTAATGAGTTGAAGAATGATGCTGTTAAGTTAGATAGCAAAGCTCATCTATTGGTTCGCTTCTCCTTCTTAATAAAATTAATAATGCCATTTGTGCTAGAGTCATGAGAACTGCATTCCACACTCATTTCAAATTCTTTCTGGATAACTTTTGCCAGCTGCTTACCGAGCTCAACTCTAAAAGAAACAAAATTAAATACCAATTTAAAATATGAATCTACAACTTCGAACCTTATTCCACTTAATAAAATAAAGAACTAATCACGAAGAATAAACTGTACTACGAATACTTGCAAAAATAAATTGACATATTTCTCTTTAATGCAAGTGAAGATTTTGGAATGAAATAAACATAGAAATACGCTCATGCAAACAAATAAATAAAGCATAGAAAACAAACCCCCACTGATCGTAGCTATTGATATTCCAAATAATACCCTGAACAAAAATCTTATGCTCATATAGAGCAATCAAAGTGCCAAGAGTGAATGGAGATACTTTGGGTAGTACGATTGAATTTGTGGGTCTGTTTCCTTCAAATACCTGTAAAGGTGAATATCATTTGTTATGAGCATAATATGTTTCCAATGTTAGGCTATAATTTTTTTGCAACAAATGAGATGGATCAACAGTCTCATACTCTTGATGAACTACAAATGAAATTAATCTTAGCAATGAGTAGCAGCATTAAAGACAAAGATTAATATGTTCCACACATTAATTGTAGCTTGTACTGGACATCAGAAAAGATTAATAATTGCGCTACATGCAGTAAGGAACAAATAAAGTATAATTATGCATGACGATTGTTGATGCTGCTACTAAATGAAAAATTGAGGAATATTTCAGTTATATTGTAGTTGAAGCGATACTATATTTTTCAAAAGTTTAGTTGCAGCAAGAAATTTAGAATTTCGAATCATCGAATTATAGTTTAAAGCTAACTTTGTGCGGTAGTATCTCAGGAATTTTGTCAGCGCTCATTCCTGAATCTTTTAATTCCTTCTCAGCTTCTTCCTGTGTCTTGCCTTTCATTAGTGCTTCTGTCTGGGCTACGAAATTAGACAGCAAGATCTGAATCACACAGTGACTTAAAAAAGCAAAAAAACCGTTGTGTTCCCATATATCAAAATAAGACGAATCAGTACTAGCACAGCATGGAACAGTTTTGAAACATTCAGTTAATTATAGATTTTCGTTACATAAATAAAGAAATAGAGCATTTAACAAAATTATCACAACAATGAAATGTATAAGTACGTACATCATGATGGAGATTTTGCCTTATCGGATTTAGTGATTTTACCGGTGCAATGAAGTCACAAGGAACAAGTCGAGTGCCTAAAATATACAATTATATGGACTGGTTGGAAATTCAAGCCGTAGACGATAAAAAATTCAGACAACCAAACAGAGTACATGGAACCAGAAGTTTATTTTAACCCATCAGAGCTTTGCCTTTCACAGTAATGGCAATAAAGACAAAAACAAAACAAAACATACCTTGATGTAGGAGTTGGTAAAAAGCATGCTGGCCATTAGTTCCAGGTTCACCCCAGACAATTGGCCCAGTGGGAAAATCGACACGATTACCATCCCTGGAAAATTGAACAAACTATGAGGCATTTTAAATTATTGGAAACCTTAATGCTATTATAAATGACAAAGAAAGATAAGGATAAAACTGACCGCATCATAAATTTTCCATTACTCTCCATATCACCCTGTTGAAAGTAGGCTGCGAATCGATGTAAGTATTGATCATATGGAAGGAGGGCATGTGTTTCAGCTTTAAAGCAATTGATGTAAAGGACACCGAGTAAAGCCATAATTATTGGTATCTGCAAGAGAATGCTTGTTTTATATATTTAACAAAGTAGTTTTCGAACATTTTTGATTTCTGATTATCAGGAGAAGTGGACAAAGCATTCTTGAGTAATACACCCTTGCAAGATAGATGATGTCATTATCAAAAGTTTCTTAAGTACTTTCATATTTCATTGTATATATAAAACAAGCATCCTCTTGCAGATACCAAGCAAAAGGAAAAAATAAACAAACATTTTTTTCAATTGGTTCATTAAGAAAATGCTCGTCAGCAGCACTTGCGCCTTTCAACAACTGACTAAAATTATCGAAACCAATATGTACGGCAATAGAAAGTCCAATAGCAGACCACAACGAATAACGGCCTCCGACCCAATCCCAGAATCCGAACATGTTATTTTCATCAATACCAAACTCACGAACTTTTGGACCATTCGTTGACAATGCTACGAAATGTTTGGCGACTGCTGCAGGATTCTGTAAATACAACCAAAACATTTCTTGGGGTAATTTCAACAGCTTCCTCCAAAACATCGGCATCATCTGTTACAAAGCTTTACATACCGTATATGACTGCAGTTGATAGTTGAGACCGATCGCTTAAGTTCACCAGACATATGTAAGAAAGAATTTTAAATATAAATTTTTTAGTAATATGAAGTACCACTGCTTTGCTCAAGAACCACTCTTTAGCCGAAGTAGCGTTGGTTATTGTTTCTTGTGTTGTAAATGTTTTCGATGCAATGATAAATATTGTTGTTTCGGGCTTAATTTTCTTCAGCACCTAAAAAAGCCAAAAGGAAAAGATATTCAGAAACAAAAAACTTTTTTGTGCAAGAATTTGTATTATGAGTATACCTCTGCTAAATGTGTACCGTCGATGTTGGAAACGAAATGAACGTTTGGTCCAACCTGATAGTGCTTCAGTGCTTCTGTTACCATTAATGGTCCCTGGAAGTAATGTTGCAGATATTTCAGTAGAATTAAATCGAAAATTTCAAATTTATATGGAGTGAAAACAAACCAAATCTGAACCTCCGATGCCAATATTGACAACATCAGTAATTGCTTCACCTGTATATCCCTTCCAAGTTCCACGGATCACTTGGTCGCAAAACGTTCTCATATGCTCCAGTACGTTATTAACGTCATCTGTCACCTACAAAACTATTCAGTAGGATCTTTTATTTTCCCATTAACATGGTCAATTCCATCCAAATGATTTACAGATAATAAAAGGACATTTATGGATAATGATCTAAAAATAATCACATATAAGAGAGCTAAAAGGTCCACGTTATCAATTTTAATTAATAGGTGGAATAGTTCGACACAAGAATAAGCTATTAGATCTTCAGAAATGGGATGCCTGTAAGATTCACTCAAAGAATTAGGCAATTGTGATGATTTGCAATAAGCCTAACTGGAGGAACTACAATAAATATTTCGATGGCAATAAATTACAACAAACATATTGGTAATATTTGACTAAAGGGCTTACAAAAAATTCCGAAAAATAGTGCTCAAAATAGAAAGAGATGGTTTTACATTTTGTCCATCCAATGTCAGAGGTTTATTGTTAACGTTCCTTAATGCGGTGTGCAGAACAGCACGTCCTTCAGTGAAGTTGATTTTTTTCCCGCTGAACATATCTTGCCTCATATTCAGAACGTTCCTTGAATTCGCCTATAATAATCTTTTCAATCCCATTCTTCCTTTAAACTCTAAAATTGTATTAATTATAAACATCAATTATTGATTGCTCTCAACAACGAATATTATCAATATACAACTTCATATATAACTGCATCCCAATTCGTTTCTTCTAGAAATTAATGCAATGACAGATTAACTGCCAAAACAAATGCTCACTAAATTGAACAATCTCTTCATCGTTTCTTCATTGATAATATTTTTTGAATAATCGAATAGAATCGGTCCATCTGGTGTATCCATTTTCAAACTGCAAAATCTTTTCGATAAAAGCAGTAAAGGGAAAGTTCTTTCCAATTCTATGCTCTTAATATTTCCAGGCAACTAACCTGTATTTTTGAAATCGTTGTGGATCTTGCTTGAACAAATCAACCATCTTCAGAAACTTACATTCCGATTCAAAGTGTTGCTGGAGTTGTATGAATGCGGAATCCTTATGTAGCGACATTTCGTTTGCAATATGACGATTGGCTGCAATCTACTTCGTATATTTCCTTAAAATTGTCCTATTAAACGACAAATGGATAATAAGTATCAATGAAACTAACCTTAACATAAATTTTAAGGAAAAAAGACCACTATATGCAATTCAATTTTTATAATCTGTGAAGTTTATTCACGAAAGTTTAGTTTCATTAGTATGACTCAAACATATTGCTATGCTAATTACAAAGAGGTATTCTTTCTCTTTATCGAGTTAGTATCTCTCGAATCTGCCCTATCACTTATCAGCTCGGTGCTTTATCTCCTCCTCTCTCTTCACTACAAATGAAGTTTTAACAGAAAGTTTGACAAATTCTTCGGGTTTGGTGGTCTGTAAAATGATATGTGAAAGTCAGTTTTAAAGTTAGATTTAAATGATCTCAACAATTTTGAGTCATGAAAGATAAATAATTATGTTAGTTTAGTAATCAAGCCGACCTCCTGCTCCCATCCCTAAAACCCATGCAAAATACGCATGTGTACATTCAACACGAAAATCAATGCGCTGTGTCGGACTTCCACTGACTGATGTAATGTGTAACAGAACAATACTGCTAGAGTAGAGTTTGCTTTCACAACTACAATTTCATCTTTTTCTTGTATTAGTTTAGTTATATTATTCAGGTGTACTGCAAACATTCCATATTCACATTATCGTTTTTAATCTACATAAAGTCTTTCAAGTGGGTGATACATTAATGACCGATGTTAGAGAAATTCACCCGAATTCGCACAATATTCAGCAGCAGCTATTGCAAATTCAAATGGATTATGAAAGAAAAATTAGTTCTCCCCCATAGATATTACAAAATATGCTACATATGAAAGCAAGAACATTTATTGCATTTCATATTACAAAGGGGCACTAATTTTATCAGCAAAGTTAAATCTGACATACTACCTATTCCCTTGATTGTTTGCGATGCTAAAGATAACAGCGTAATCATCGGTGGTATCTTCTTTAAAGCTCGAAGCTGAAGTATAGCTACAGTTCGTAGTTCTGTTCGTCGTCTTATCACCCAGATATATGCAACCGTTTCCACCTGCAACTGTAACCTAACCCCTCTTAGTTTTCTATGCAATGAACGTTAGACAGCAACAAATAGTGAAATTTGCATAAGATCAGTATGTCAACCCCACGTCATTTTGTTATCGAATTAAATGCTTCAACATATCTAGCATACTAAGAAGAAAGTGTTTAAATACCAACCCTGATGGGACAAAACGATATCAGTCAATTGATCGCTAAAGCCTAGATTCAATTTTGGAACAAATTTACAATCCGAATAATCTTGTCGAACATAGATGTATTGTCTTAATATTAAACTGAATTCAATTCAGTCAGCAAAATCAAAAGGGTAAGATATTTGAAAATGCGCGTACTATAACTTATCAAATTCACTTGGTGTCCCTTTTTAGGTAAGTTCGATTTATCAGTGCAATTTAAAATTATATTTCATTACATAACAGCATTTAAAAAACAACGAAAAACAAGGGACAGAACAATGAACTTCAGATTATATTTATCACAGATTACTAACAAATGCACAAACATTCACTCAGGAACTTCATATTACTAGCTCATTTTACGTAATTTCCCAACTGGGAACATTATTCACTTTGGAAACATTTATAAAATTAAATGATATATTTGAAACAATTACCTTTACCCTGTCACGTATATGTTACGCAACTTAGATTTAAAGATACTTTACAACCTAAAGATCAGACGAAAAGAATTCATTGCTTTAACGCAAAACATTCTTTCTCCGCAGTATCCACAAAATCTGTCTATAACTGTTGTTGTTGGAAGAGTCAAAGCTCAGTTTGTCTTGCAAACATAAGGGAATTATCAAAATCAGTGCAGTATTTACATCGTGCCGTTGTTGAACCGTATGGAAGACACGTATGTCCGATACATTCGCAACAACCAGTATGAAACCACCGAAGCATCGATGCACCAAGAATCTATAATTATATCACTTGAATTATCGATTTATAGGAACTAAGTAGAACCGCTTTAAACTTATACAGATAGATGAAGATCAGAAAAACACAAAAAGATAAACATACCAAACACTGTCGACTGCATTGCTTATGCGACATACACTTGTCAAGATAAACTACTGTGCAATTCGTCTCTTGGTGAGTTCTTCGCAAAGCCTTCATATTTTGACCTATAATTTCTTTACAGCTTTTTCTTCGAAGAGTTTTTCTGATGACCAAGAGTTCAACTGTGCAATAAATACAAAGCAAAAAGTACTGTCATAACACATAATTACAACAGTGCAAGAATATACCTCTGCGGTCAAACGAGTACTCACGCAAAGCTGGAAATGTATATGTTGTGCCGACCTTATTCACTCTAAAGTAGATTCATTTCAAACTGGAATATTATTTATGCATAAGATGTAGTTACTTAATCATAGAAGATAAGCAGCTAAAGCTGACATGCAAAGTGATAACACTAAAAATACAACACATAACTATAATTTATGCTGAATACAAACTGAAATTTTGATTCTCCAAATTTATTTCGAGATTTTCTCATAAATAGGAACATGAAACAACCAGATAAAAAAGCAAATGAGCTATTTCATCCATAGTAAAATTCCAAAATACATACTTAAGAAAAAAACATACAGCGCAACTTTGTCGAAAACAATGATATCTTCATCGTCTTGATCGAATCGATCAACATAACTGTTTAGATGCACAGCTTCTTTGTGTGGATTACATAGTCCTATAATACAAATTGGATAAAGCTGAATTTCAGCTGAGCAAATACCAAACTATACCACTGTACATTTTCGGTAACAAACATGGCATGACGCTTTGAAGATTTCAACTGCTCTTCTACTGACTCTATTATATATTACTAACAATAAAAAAAATGCAGAACAAAATAAAATGAGTCGTAGCGTTTCTGAAAATATAAGCATCACTTAGGCTGTTGTTAATACTGTTTTGTTAATAGTGAGCAGAATTAAATTTGTGTAACATTACCCTTCAATGCGCGATAATACTTTTTCAATTTTGACTTTAAACTGCAGCTGAATCCAGCTTTGGATTTTGGCGCAATAAAAATTCTATTAGGGATCCTTCCAGCAATATTTATCTCGTGCGACACAGTTAAACAACATTCATTCACTAATATCATTTAATAAATGACAAAAAAGATGACATACCAACACAAGCGCAACATTGCATATATTGCTTATCAAGGCACTGAATGCATTCATTGCAACAAGAGCAGTTGTTATGCAAAATACTGTCACGATTGATGGAACAGTTGCAAGCTTTCAGCAGCATACACTTACTCACTCGAGGGCCACATTCTGTCTCGTTACAATCCAATGCTGCTTGCAAAAGATCCTGTAGAAGTGTACATAACACCAGCAACGGCACCCATCCGATAATATTTGCTACCATTTCATTCTGAATCATATCAGTCTGATCAGTGAAATATGTCTTTAAGTTGCTCATAATCGTACTTACACTTAAACGACAAGAATTATTTTCGACAAGATTGTTCTCGATTCGAATATTATGAAGGCTATATCAGCAATAACTAGTAACCTTATCGATCAAAGAGAATAACAGCAATCCTGATGAGTAATTCAGTTGACATCGGTGTTGCAGGTATTTCAATCCAAATCTGAATGGTACTACATATTCAGTTCTAAACTATTTCTGTCTATCGCCCATGTTCTTCCCCTCTCCGTTTATTGAAAAATAAAAAAAAAAAACAATAATTTAATGCTCTCAAAAAGAAAGACAGTGCTAATATCAGTAAAAAGTAGAAGACAAACGTAGCATGACAACTTAATTTTTGCAGCCTACTTTTGTTTAACTTTTTAAAAATTTTTTACAAAAGAGTTATAAGACGTGAAAGTAGCCATGAGAAAAGAATATTTTGGACAATAAAACTCTAACTACAGGAAGAGGAGGCAAATAGAACTGTCATCACTAAACCATGAAAATAGCGCTGGTGTTAAAGCAGAATGTGATAACAGGAAAAATGTCAAATTTTGGGAGAATAGGATGAAAATGGCTTGAGAGAATTTTGGACAAAATACTATTCTATTAATTATTTTTAGAGCTCTACATGGCTAACTCTATATTTCAGATAAGTTTATGTCCACATTTCAGTCTTTCTACATTTACATATGCCTAAGCATTTTCACTAGGCTTAACAAAATGTGCGTGCCAACACTTACTGTAACTTATCTAACCTACTTAATTCTCTCTCTCTCTCTAATTCACAACTTACCCATCCTCTCTAATCTCATCCCACTCATTTTAACTTTACCTTTCATAGAAATTGAATGAACAAAGAAAGGAAAAGAAAATGATACGAAGCACTGCATCTGTCAATAGTTATCGTTGTGAATGAGAGTGTTCAGAACATGAGAGTACAAAGATGTCGACATGCCACAAACAACATATTGCCAGAGAGGGAGAGTTGCGAATTAAACAGATGACAATTCTGTGTTGTCTGTATCGCTCACTTGAGTACGTGTGTACACGTACGCTTATGTTATTTGTAAGTGTATGGGGTGTGGTAGGTAAAGCTGGGAGTAGAACTAAATAGTTGGCAGTTCGGGTCATCCCAATGACTGTAGTCATTGTGATATTATGCATCGAGCCATTTACTTAGATTTGAATTGATGTACCAGAGATTGATCCATTATTTAAACAAATTCTTGTGTTTATTTCGGCCAGATTCATTCATTCATCGTTTAAATCTACTTATTCCTTCGATTTTATTAAGAGGAGGGAAAATCTAATTATTTGCGTCAGAGATATCATACCAATAGTATGTTATAGAAACAATATTCGACCACTTGCTGATTACGAAACTGAAAACTTAGTTGGGAAAGTATTTGAGAAACGATAAAAGCGTATCAATGACAGAGTTTCATTATAATAGTAATGCTGCAATTGAATAGTTCAAAATTTCGTCATCTTTCTTTTTAATTAGACTGAAATTGTAAGCATGAGGAGAGATGACAGTAAATTTCAAAAATTTTCCTCGCTACGTTCTTTGAATGGTTACTCTCTTTCGTCTAGATTTCTCAGTCAAACTGCCCTATTTAAATGTGTTTTGAATTTTGTGACCATACTATCTTACTAGAACATATATTTTGCAATTGAATTTACTTTTATTTTTTAAGTATCACAATTATAAAATATATCTTAACACTGATTAGCCAATGCACACGTAGTTCATCATGTGTTTGCTACTCGAAATGAAGCAAAGTTTAGCAAAGGAGAGTAGATGTAAAGAAATAGGAAAGACAAGACTAGATTATAAGATGGTTCCATTAAAAAATAGCTGTGAATATCTTTTCAAGTAAACATTTTTCACTGTGATTTTTGAAATAATAAAGATAATTTTCTATTTTCTAATTTCTTATTAAGAGACCTGACCGTTTCGTATCAGCCTTTGTAGCAATTTGAGAGATATTTAATATATAGTAATGAATTCGGCTTGAATATGAGGGATCTGTTGGGCATACTTAATCTTCATTAGAATTAGGACATTAGTTTGTTGTGCTGCATAGATAGTCTATTTCACAGTTGCTATAGGCGCCATCATCGGAGACAAGGACCCTCACTCCTTGTGATGGCCAACAGGACAGAAGGGTAAAATGAGATTACGATCTGACGGAAAATGAAAAGAGAATGGATATCATTTAACCACCGAGCAGCTGTCTTTTCTTCCTCGATTTCATATATTCAAATTTGTATTGCATTGTTCGAACTCTTTCAACAGTCGAACATTTTCATTAAACGGAATCTTAACTTCATGAAGCATTAAAACCGCAATGCTGCCAAGTGACCTCAAGAATTGTTTCAGTATTTTAGAAAAAGACATAAAACTGTTTGTTTTGAAAAGTTTATAACAATCGATCAGATTAGCAATCGTCGACTGATCAGGTAAGTGATGTGATATGATTGGGTGATTACTTGACCGTGCGGATTCCATAACAAAAAGTAGCTCATATCTAGAAATAGATCATGTTCCCAGAATTCTGTTGGCAGATGGACCGAGCATCAGACTGCAAAAACTCGATGCTCTATTTGTCTTTATGCATGTGTAGAACTCGTCTAGATTATTTATTCGTTTTCATATGCTTAAAATTGATTCAAAATCGGAAATAGAGACTGGAAAGTCGCTATTCTCTGCCTTCAAGAAAATTCAAAATTTAATTCCTTTATGATGGCTGTGTCTCCTACCTTACTTCTTTTTTAAATGGTTCTACTGCTTACCTGTTAATTTTTCCATCCTCTTTGGCTTCTGTCTCCACTTTGCTAAAGCACTATAGATTTAACAAAGACGAGACTCACCGCAATGGCAAACTCATTTCTGCTATTTGATGTATTCATTCTTTGCCTGAAAGGAAAGCAAATTTTTTTATAAAGTCAAGCTCAATGATTTCTGCAAAATTTTCAACCAGTAAACCAATCTACCTATCTGTGCACTTTTAATCCCTTGATATTACTATTTGAAATCCATTCCATCTTCATAACTGAAATTTCTTGTTAAATATCTCTGCTGATTATTTCTTCACTTTTTATTATTCAAAAAAGATTTGATGACAGCGTTTCGAGATTTGATCTGTCCAAATATAAACAAATTTTGTTCAGTAGTTTTGGCGAGAGAAAATACGAGTGGATAACAAAAGGAGAATATATGTAATGTAGATAGTTAGATAAAGTATTTTGTCGACCACTGTTCCAGTTCTTGGCTCATTACTTTATGATGCGAGGGACGCAGGTGCAATATCGCTCTTATAGCATCGATTTGTCGTTTCTTTGATCATTTAAATTGTTATTTTCTAGTGCTACGAAAAAAGTTAGTGAAGAACACACACACTTGCTAATACGCCTAATTTTGGGAAATAATATCTTGGAATAGAAGGGATATATGAAGAACTGAATTTTTTTTATTTTTATTTTTCTCATTTCAAAATCTATTCTGGAAAAGATTGAAACATTTGGATGACAGAATGTTTGTAACCTGTCTAGGCCTGGTGCTGGGATTAAGAGGTGAGAAGGATTCGTTTCTTATAGGAAAGCTATCATTTGAATGCAAATCATCCTAACAGCATCTGGAGTTATATGATAGAAAGGTATATTATTAATAATAATCCGTGCTTTAAAGCATTTAAAATAAGGAGAAAAGGAAGTGATATGCTAGTTTAGACAAAATAGCTTTTCGAAAAGAAGTAGTAATGGACTCATCCAGTTGCCAGTTATTGCTACAGAAGTCATTGAAAAAAAAGAAGCTACCACTTTTCATTTCCAAGAAAACAATCCATTTTTATTGCTGTTGCAAGTTTGAGTTTAAATCCATTCACTATCCTGGCGACAACCTATTTATTTTTCTTTTTTTTTCATCTATATTTCTGTCTGTTTCTTCTTATTCATTTTTCTGTTACGATTATAACGAATAATTATTCAAAAGAGTAATGTATTGGAGATGGGATGTTTTTTTTTTTTTTTTTTTTTGAGAGAGAGAAGATTCGAGTAACAATTCTTCATAATATAGAATAATTTGTTTTTAAGAAAACTTGGTTATCTCAGCTGAGCTGCCTTTTTAAATTTTAATAACCAACTTAAAGGTTGGATTTGTAACCATTTCCTTTATAAATCAGAATTGTGTTTGTCATTTAGTTAATATTTCGGATCATTCTACCTTATCTGTTTTTCTTATTTGTTCAAATTTGAAATTATCTGTTGTTTCATAGTATTTCGATTGTAGTGTTTCTTCTCTCGGCACTCTTTCTCTACTACCAGTTAGTAACACCAACTGAAGCGCTTAGTTCACATCAGTATTCACTTATGAGCTTGAGTGCGCAAATGCTCAAAACAGTTTATCATCTTAATGACTGCTCATCACTGTTAAATGTGATCTCATTCCCGCCAGCTCCTTTTCTTGTGTAATATAATTTCTTCATTTGCATAAAAATGAATTTCAGTTTTGAAAACTGGAAGGGAAAGAAAAGGGAATAGGAATAAGGGAAAGGAAATTGGTGATAAGCATACTACATCCTTCAAAACTATCCGGCAGCAATGTTTTAATATCTTAAACAATAGATTGCTTTTGAGACCCGATGTCTAGATATGCGCAGTTGTAGCTATAATGCCATGTGCTGTAATTTGCTGATAAACTTTGTGTACAATGCCAGCTGATTGAGATGAAACTGTATGAAACTGGTTCTATTCTCAGAAAAACAGAACATAGCAACAAAAAACTCAGTTATTCATTGCAGTTGTTTTGATGGACAGTATCAGTTAATAAAATTATCGTTGTTTGTACAATGAATGTCATACATGGGAGATGATGAGACGACTCTTTCTGGAATACTGCTGAAGAAGAGGAAGAAGGAATGTTTCTTTCAAGGTCTTCGGGAAATGATTCCTAATGGAAAATTCAAATTTCCAAGAAAAAGAGGTCTGTCATTTGTAGTAGCAAATTTAGAAATTTAGTGGGCTATCTCTCATATCTTTAAAAGTACTGAATTAAGTAATTTAAGTGCCTGTCCATATATGAAGGGAGAGGAGCAGGGAAGAGGAAGAGTGAGTAACGGGGATGATAGTTGAAGGGGTGAGCTCTTTTTCACAGAATAATTGTTATATTTGATTTACCACATATGCTTCCATTGGTCAAATGATTAGTTGCTTCTAATTATTAATTAGCTTGGGTTTCCCCGATCTCTCTGCATAACAATTCTTTTCTCATTACTATCTTTGCATAAAAGATTGTCACAATGAGTGAGAAACGGAATCTTAGTAATATCAATTGCCTAAACACTCTATGAAATGTCAGGGTAGTAGAATTTGCAGAAGCGTTTATATCCGGAGCACTGCAATATTTATCTTCAGAAGTTTCGAATTCAAAAAGGTAGCACTCTTCTTGTAACTGACATGGTCAATTCTGACAATTTATCAGTCCATGAGGGGGAAAGCTCGAAAATTGGTTAAATGAAATGTTATCAATCAGGACAGTTGTACAAAATAGTGATAGTATAATGCATAGGTAGCAGCAAGCTGTCCGAGATGATACATTTAATGACAAAACTAAAAATTCGATTTTGACAGTGAAGAGTTGAAGTGCCTGTTCCTGCAACACTTGGAGGTGAATGAGACCCGCACTAATTAGGTTGATGGATTGCATATTTGCATTATTTAATCGGTTACTATGTTCCCTCTTTTTTCTTATCCATTTCTTTTCTTTTAGTGTAGCGCAAGCAAACCGATCATTATATATCGTAGCTTAGTTTTTATATTTTTGAATTTTAAAATTAAGTTGGGAGGGAAGGAGGAGATATAGGATGGGGTGGGTAATAGGGAAATGAGAGGGTCTGCAAAAGATCCAAAAGGAAAGAGGTTGATGGTGACGAGTCGGCAAGGGGTGTCCATTTGGGGTCCATTGAGGTTCCCGCCAAGCAGAACTCTCCCTAGCCTTCGCCACTATATATATATATTGAAAGAGGGTGACAGGTCGGAGCTTTTGGAGGGCCCTGTAAACGACCCCTCCACCTCACGGTTTGTTTGAATGAACACCACAGCTGTTTCTCTTCCCGCCCGCCTTTCTCCCTCCATCATGCTGACATTTCATTCCCCTCTGGTAACTTATTTCATCCTTTTCATTTACCCATTCTTACCGCAGACTTACCTTCCAACATGCGATCTTTTTATTCATCGGGACATATCTCTAAGGTCCTTTCTTAAGCAATACATGCAATCTAGAGGTCATCAGTGAGTTGTGAGCCAACAGCTCTCCATCATAGCACATGTCTCTTTAACTGAGGAAGATGTATCAGACTGGAAAGATTAAGAATGGGATAAAGCTTTCAAAGTGCACAAATTTACTAAATGACAAAGTATCGGATAAGCAGTAAGGAGCTATCGAGAGGTAAGGTTTCTCATGGGAATGGTAACAAAAGAACATTTGCATAACTATAACATATCATAAATAAAACTAAGGTAAATTAGTGAAGAGATGACCGTGGTAGATGCTCTAGTACACAACTTCACACATAATAGGATAGTTCTTAAGGAAGCTTTTTCTGCATATGTGCTTTCCTGATTTCACTCATCACTCCGGCTATTCAGTTATGCTTCAATTTGAAGAGGACGGTGTACGTGAAACTGACGAAGAATGTGAGAGGTGGTGGATTGTCCCCTTCTTCCACAGGATGGAATGTAGTAGTGAAAAGATGCGGGAAATCTCTGGGGAGATAATCATCATCCAATGCCACTCCCGAGTTTTAGCCTCTTCTCGAAAGCACACGTAACATTTCAGGACGGATACCCCTCCTACTAATCATCCGCAACATATGTGTTGTCTGTCTGTCAGTCTGTCACGACGGGCGCATCCTTTCTCTCGATGTGCAAAGAACAGAGCACATCTCTTCCTCCTTTCCCTCCTCTCTTTTTCTCCTTTCTGATCATTTATTCAGCTGGCTGCTATGGACTAGTTCATGGACTGTTTATCTCATGTTCTCTCTCTCTCCATTTGTAGACTCTCTCCTGTGCATTTTGTTATCTGTGCTTCCTCTTGAATATAATAGTGAAGGAGTACATTTTTCTCTTTTCTCACCACATGTGGAAGAAGAGAGCGAGAGACGGGCGGGTTTAAAGGGCTGTTTGTCTATAGGTGTCTGCTCTGTTGCTAGTAGCAGTTGTGACTGACTGGAAGAACCGATCCGATCCGAACTTAACTGAACGGAATGGACCGGACTGACCGACTGAAGAGACAGTTTTATGGGATGGGAGGGGTGAATTGTGAGGAGAATGTTTATATGAAAGGTAATTATGTTGTTGCAGGTGTCTCTCAGGAGAAAGAAGGAACAGTGTAGGCCACACAGACATCATTCTGGGAGTTATCCTGGCTTGACCGCGATTATCACCGTCACCACCTATCACTTGTAGTATCACGGATCGAATGAGCCAGAAGGGTCGGTTGGCTGCCGGCCCTGGTTATTCTTATTGCCCCTCATTATTGTTATTCCTTTCGTGCAGTTATCGCCATTTGGCTTTTCTTACTGCTGTCATTATTAATACTGTTGCTCATATATTCGTCGGTGTTATTGTTGGCCGTATACCGTCCGACAGTCTCTCCAGTGGATATCCCGCGGAGAGTCACCGCTATGAGTAGCGCTGCTGACGATGGCGCCGATGAAGTGAAAGTCTTCCGCAGGTTTGTCCAGTTTGATTCCCAAATTCCTCTAGCAAAAGGTAGATATTAGGGTATATTGTACTATTGGCGTCTTGTAAATTTCTTTCTTTTCTGTTGCTTTTTTCTTGTCATGTCGTCCAGTGCTTCCGAAAAATCATAAAATTTAAATAAGCAATATTTGACAGGTGAGTGAAAGAAAGGATAGGAGGAGGGGGAAAAAGTGAGGAGAATGCTGTGTCAACCAGCAAACAAACTTTATGAGAAGGACCGTTTTGTCGGCTTCCGATATTGCTTCTTTATTTACTTTCTCTTTTCTTCCGTATTTGCTTTTTCACTTTTTGAGAGTTTGTAAAATTAGATATGGAAACCAACTTCAATCGTTTTATAGAACTTTTTTTACCGCTGTTATTCAGGATCATTTCTGGGAGAGGTCTTGAAATAGTTAAACTAGGACTGTTCATGAACTAGAGTGTATCATTTTGATGTATTTGTTATCGTTTTCCAAATCTGTATAAATAAACAGTTATAACTTCATTATATTTCTATGAAACACTACAAAGATGATTGTTAAAATCACATTTTTCCCAAAAATTTATTTCGGACTCTGTGGCTGTCGTTACTGCTTATCTTTGTGGTGCGTCCGGAAGAATTTTTGCTAGATGCATTTTAGTGGTTCCCAAAAAATTTTTATGAGGCATACCCTTATAGCTGTGAATGTTTATCACAGTTCTTATATAATACTTTATAGCTAACAGACTTAAGCAACTGTAATGTGCTTTTTATGATGTTCATATCTTTTTATATTCGAATGAAAACACGTTCTTTGATTGTTTTACAAATAAAGTTTTCATGCATTTGAAGTAGCAAAAAGTGCACCTTTTATCTTTTATCACTTAGTTTTTTTTTTTAGTTAGAACTGTTTTGTGGAACTTTTTTGTAATAAAAATAATCTATGTAGCTTTCTAAGACAATGTGACACATTTCTTCTCTTTTTTCTTGTTTTCATTTTATCTGTTAAAAAATAGCCTTATACCTTTTATAATAGAGAAGAAAAGCCTATTTAAACTCTGCGTTAACAATCTAAAATACATCTCTGTTTGATATATATTTTGTTCGTCATTATTTCCATATCAGACCTTTAACATTGAATCCTTAAATAGGTATATAATATTGAGTGAAATATGAATTAACCACTGGCCATTTGCAAATGTGAAAACTATGGATATAAATATATTAATACGTTATCATACGTAGTAAAAAGATGTTAGGAATGTTTTTTGTTACCTTTAGGAATTAATCGAATTCAAGGTAAGTTTTCTTACCAGAAGCAGTGACTAATTAAAAATTTTACAGATAACTGTATTTTACAGAAATGATGCGGATGATGTAGAAACGGCGCAGTCATCACATCAGTTAACAGAGGACAAAAAAGATGTGGCCCTGGAGACAGAACTGGAAACAAGGACGCCATCTTCTTCTATTATCGGTTTGACTTTTGTTAGAGCAATAATTATTGATTCAACGGGATATCCGAAAACTTCATCTTGTTTATGAACAGTCAAATTGCTCCACAGAAAGTCTATCTTGTTATAGAACTTTTTAAGTACAATTAAAAAAAATTACTGACACTGGCGTAGATCTTAATGGAAAACATTTTGAATTCTGTTTTTGATTCATTAACCAGACATCAGCGGTGGACTATACTACCTCTTGCATTTTCCACTTGTCCTTCTATAGTTTAATTTAATCTGATTATGGTACTCGGTTTTCGACCGCTGAGCTTAATTCAAACTTTATTCCAAGTCAAAATATAGTTTGAAATTAGGGGAGCTAAATAAAAAGGATACGCGATGAAAGTTAATGCTGTAAATTAAGATTATCCATAAATAAAAGGTTTGGTTCTGTCTACTCAGTTTTTCTTGTTACATAGACGCTATATTAGAAAACTTTCAGTTTGGTTGAAATTTTGATTTCTAAATTCGATTTGTTTCTCCATGTTTTTTCCTCATATAATATCACTTGTTATTCTGCGTTTTAATTGTTTCTTACCTCTTTCTGCTTTTTAAGTATAGTTTGCTGCTGTATATGTACATGTGGCCAATCAGCTATCTCCACTATCATCAGTACGTTCATAGTTACTGTTACTAACCATGGCAGCATTCGTCCAAACAAGATAAAGTTGCTTCATAATTTAGAGAAGAGGCAGTTTCTGTAATAACTATGTGTAAATTCACACCGTAGCTCATCTCCGTTTTTGTGCTCCATCATCCGTTTGGTTCTTATATGTTCAGGAGTTGTTAGCATCACAGCTGCTAGTCTTTTCCATTACATTTTATCTGTCATTTCCCTTTCGTGCATATATTAACAACGGTATGTTTTGAGCTGTATTATATAAGCATTTCGCTGCTCCGTCTTTAAGTGAAAAGGTAGACATCATATGGAAAGCGGTATGATGGCTGTGGAGTGATAACGAGTAGTAGTAATGATACCACAAAAAATGATAGATTATAATACTAGAAGATAGGGATGCATTAGGAATTTGTCTAAATTCATGACAAAAGCTAGAATATTCTTGATGGTACAACGACTCAAACGTTCTTTTTCTCATGCGAGAGTCGACATAACATTCAAAACAAATCTTTTATAAAGGTATGTGATGAGGAGTTAAAATTTAACCATAAGTTCAATGAAAGATAAAATAAACTGCGAACTAGGGTATTTATATCCTGTTTTGCAAACAATTTATACTAGTAAAAATCGGTAACTTTTTCAGTGGCAGATTCTCTTATCTACAGTCATTTGTTCTGATAGTATATAGTATATCGTTATGAAAACTTCGCACATAATAATAATTATTTTTTTTTTTTTTTTTTGTGAAATCTTCAAAGCTATGAAAACGGAAGAGTGGTAGATTAGAGAAAAGTCAGCAAAGGCGATGAGACGGACGACAATTGAGAGATTAAAATGAAGATAATGTTTTATATTTTTTCATATATCTCGATTTATTGTTGAAGGATTTTATTCTTGGTTTTTTATCCTTTTTAGTAACACATTTTTAGGAAAAGGGATATTCCTTTTTGCTTTTTTTGTGCCTCCCACATCTGGCTTTTTTATATTCACTTCATCTTGTTATAATAATTTATATGAATATATCTTTGAATTGTAGAATGACTTCAAATATGAAATAAACCATAATATGTAGAAAATTATCATTTCTGCTTGGAATGTTAAGGATTTATGTGACGGTATTATTTCCCTACTTGAAAATATCATCATTAACTATTTTTTCCTTGGTTTTTTTATTGACCATTATCTATCAGTTTTAATTAAAAAAAACAATGTAATCTGTAAAAGAAATCAAATTTTCGAACCTGTCATTTCATTTGATTCCTTTGTGGTCGCCTCATCCAATCCGTGCTTGTCCTCCTCAAGTATTTCTTTCTGTTAACTTTCTCATTTGTTTTATTTGGTGGTGACACTTTTATTCACTTTGACTGCTGTTGGTGCAATCTAAAAAGCATTTCAGCAGTGAGATCGCATGAGCTGTCTGTTTTGAAAGAGCATTCTGGATTGTTGATAACCTCAGGTGCAAATAAATTTTAAAAAAGGATCTGCGGGTTAGCATCATGAGAGGTCACAATGGCACATTAGCCTGAACTGGCGCAGTTATGTTCATTAAATAACGCATTTTATTAGAATCTCGAGATATTCTTATTGTGCTTTATATCATGCCCTGCATAATTTATAAAGCTAGTGCTCCTTTCAGGTTCGAAGCCTGGTGCTTTCGTGAAGCCATCGCCGACTTTTCCAACTTTTTCAGCCGCCACTCTCTCTCCAACTTATGGGCCATTGCCATTGTTTTATCCATTCTTCCTACCGGTGAGCTTTTTTAACTCTATAATGTCTGCTTTGATATTTTTATAAATAGGATTTGATTTCTCTTCTATGGAAATGGAACGTTTCTGAAGAATAAAGCGGTGTATTCAGATTTTGTAGAACGTTAAGATATAAAGAAAGGAAAGGAACTGAAGAATTTAGTACCATGTTATCCCTTATCCAGAGAATGTCATTTCCAAAAAAAACCGGTGGTATTGGCACTACATTGCTTTTAGACTGTTCTAAACTGGCTTAATATTTAGTTTAGATAAGAAGGGATTAGAGGATGCTTGTTGTGTTTAAAAAAGTACAAATTGTTTCGTAGCATATTTTCATGGATGAGTTTGCCTGAACAAGCTAGAAATAAGCCAAAGAAAAGGGGTAAGCTAGAATTTCTGAAGAATTGGCAATTAATAATCGGAATGCTGCTCAGATGAGCACCAGAAACGCTTTCAAAAAAATGTGTGAAAAGAATGAAATGTGCGGTGTGGTCCCACTTTGGAATGAGCCAAAAAGAGCTCCTCTGGATGATTGATGCACGTCGATTATGTATAGTCTTGGGCTATTGGAGGACTGAGTTATGAGTTAAGATTTGCTTAGAAGCAGCAAAATGATTGATTCCACGGCAACAAGGACTGAAAGCATATGAGAATGAAGATGAAAACGAGAAGTGTCTGAAGGCTTGCTTTGCTCTGTTTCTCTTGATTGAATGCATCAATTTTCAAAATTTACTGTTGTTCTGACTAACCTCTGCTGGACACATAATATGCTTGATTGATATACTGGATATAGGCTTTACTTTGTTAGAGTATCAAAGCAGGTCAAAATCTCTGTCTTCCTTCTCTCCACCTCTTCTAGTTTTACTTCTCCCATATATGAAATTGTTCCCTTACACATCGAGTTTAGAAAATAAAGTATCTTTGAGTAAGATCAAGTAAAAGGATTAAGGATTGGTTAAATATGTGACTACGTGTCATAAATGATTTACATACAAACTTTCAAAATATTTTCCAACACCAGATACAATCGAGAAACAAGAGTCATTATGATGTTAGTAGCCTCTCTTCACAAGTTCTGTATTACCAAGCATGGATAGCTTGTATGTAATAAAATGTTTTTTGATGTAAATCTCGAATCGAATGAAACATAAAATTTATGGAGATTCAAACGAAGACAACTTTTGTCGCCTGAAAGAGAATATAATTATTGCCAGAAAATTCTACTCTTGTATATTCTAGTAGGACAGAATGAAGAGAAGAACGCATGAGAAAATCAAGCTCCCCAATTGGAAGAGGAAATTTACGAAATGAAAAAAGAGAAATTATGAAATAGTAGTAGTGATGCATGAAATAGATTTCTTTCCTGAGCCTTTTATTTTGAAATGTCATGTGCTAAATAGATTGCATAGTTAGAGATGCACAGAGGAAATTTGAGAACAAATGAAAATACCGCTGAAGTGGAAGAATAGTATTAAAAGGTTAATTTTCTATGGTAGGTAATTTTCGGAATAGAGCAACATGGAGAAGAGAAGGAGAGAGCTTGGAGAAAAAAAGTAAACAATATGATTATGAAGTTGATACATAAATGAACAATGGCGTTGACTGACTCAATTCGTTTCGAATAGTTAATCAACTACAGTCTCTGATTTTCTCTAAAAAAGATGTTGGCATGTATTATAATTATGCAGTAGATGAGTAGTTCTGTTAGATAAACTGTTGTTTATTCATTTGCTTGAGGAATATTGTTATGATTCTTCCAGCACCTTTTGTTTTTGTTCAAGATTTTGCTTAAAATACAGTTAAAAGTTTCAGCATTTACATCAGTATTAATGTATCCATATTAAATATATAAAAATAGTATACATTACAAATTTAGTGGTAAAATTATTCAAACTTAGGATAGGAAATAATAGGCTACTAAATAAAAAAAGAAGAGGCATCTAAGACAAGCACAGATAAATAAACAATTAAATTTATTAATCTGATTCATAAAGGAAAGCATTTCTTCGATCCAAAGGATTCGAAGTTGCGCAACAGTAAATATCAAATTATACAATTGGTCATAGCTGAGCAATGTAGTTGGTTTTTCATTCGTACTTGCTCATGGTCATTTAAATTACATTGATTTAAGTCTCAATATCTTGAGATTGAGGATTATTGGACAGGAAAGGATGGACATTATTGAGATAAAATGGTGCAAATTTTCATATATGACTTCCCAGTAGCCTATGATTTGATATTAATAGGTATCACATAGTTTCAGGGATAGAAGGAAATGTACTACGTGTTGAAGCTCGTAATTGCTAATTAAACTTAAAAATAGTCATTATTGATTTGGAAACAGATTGCTGAATTTTAGAACCAGGCTCCTTATGGTTTGCCTTTCGGTAGGATGCCGAGTGGACCGATGGATGCACGTTCAATGTCGCCAACTTATGCAGCATTCGTTATGCAGCAGGCGGCACAAACTATGTCACCAACCTTCGAAATGTATAGAAATTTCCCTTTTGGACCTGCTTCTCCGAGCTCCCTCTTCCAGGTTTTTGTATTTTCTTTTCCATAGTTAACATTTTTTAGTACTTTTCAATCCTTTCACAGTTGCGGGTTCAATGAACTGGATATGTTAGGGAGTTGAGTAGAGTTGTTACTGAGGTCTTAATAGTTGGGCGAAGGTGTTCCGGAGGAGATGCGAAATAGAGAATATATTGCCATATTGGCATGAGTCTATTGAAGGGTAGTGGAGTGGGTGCGGCTACCCCCAAGGGTAATCCGTTGGCGGCAGCTACAATGATGCGCAGTATGCAGAATGCGGCTGCAGCGGCCGCAACATCTCCGCATCCACTGAATTCAATAAACCAAATGCGATTACCTCAGATGGGTTCACCGATCACCTCCATGGCCAGTAACTTAGCCCAGCAGCCGAGCAACAATTCACGTGGCAGTGCTAACAACAGCAAGATTACGAAGAGCGAAATCAAGCCGCCCAAAGTTAAGGTAGGTATTATTTCAACTTGTTCTCAGTCTTTTCATAACTACCTCCTTCATTTTCTGTTGCGATGAAACTAACTTCACATTCATACTCGCTCTTCATGCGATATTGACAAGCCAGGTGACGCTCGTTCATTTTGCTTTTGGTTTTATAGCAATTATGGAAAATCACGCACTAAAACTTTTAATTTGCTTCTAACAGTCTATAAATTCTGATTTATAGGAACAGCACATTAAGAAACCTTTGAATGCATTTATGTGGTTTATGAAGGAAAATAGGCCGAAACTGATGGAAGAACTAGACTATAAAGAAAGACAAAGTGCGGAATTGAACAAGGTTACCCAGTTTAGTCTGAATACTTTTTGTGATCTAAAGCAAAATCCAAGCATTTGCATTTTTTTTTTTTGAAAGTATTTGAAAATACTATAGGAACTCGGAAGGAGATGGCATGATTTACCAAAAGAAGAACAGCAAAGGTATTATGAGCTTGCTAAAACAGATCGTGAGCAACATATGCAGAAATATCCTGGATGGTCGGCTCGTGAAAATTATGCAATCAATAAGAAGAAAAAACGGAAACGCGATAAATCTGCTGGTGGGTGAGATTACATTACAACATGATAGATCTTATGGATTTTCACGCATCATTCTGCAGATACTTGTAATCAAATTTATTCATTATATTGGTAATAATTTACAGATAATGGTGAACAAAAGAAATGCCGGGCTCGATTTGGTGTTGTAAATCAAGATCAGTGGTGTAAACACTGTAAAAGGAAAAAAAGATGTCTTTGGTATCGCGAGGTAAGCTGATCTTTAATTCTTCATTCATTTTTGATGCTCTTGTGTTTAGATTAGTTGAGTGTGGATGAAATGAATTTGTGGATGCCATAAGTATATTTATTTTAATATGCAGATGGGAACACATAAAGCGTTTGTTATTGTTTCTTTCTTAGCATTACTTTTATTCGTATATTATTATTAGTTATTAGTGAAAAGATGAAGGATAATTTTGGAGCCTAGATATTCACTCTTTGTGTCTTTTCACGATAGTAAGCTGGTATATCGAAGGCTGGCAGTAATATGCATTTGCTTTTTTTCATTGAAATTGTAATAAAATCCCTCCAAAGGACAGAAGAGGGAAGAATTCCGGATTAGCAGGGGGTGCCATCGGGAAAGTTAGGCTGCCACCACTACCCATTTGTTTTCGCGTACATATTTAGGCATCTTCACCAGTCGGAGTGGTTTCCTCGACGACACCAGGAACCCCTGGTACTCCGTCTTCACTGTCTGGACCAGCTGCGGGTGGTGCATTGAGCGGTCGTGATACTGATTCAGAGAATGATATGGATGCTACTGCTGCTGCTGCTGCTGCTGAAAGATCTCGGTCAATGTTAAATCAGGTACCGAAGGAGCAGCAGACCACTCCTCTTATTTGCCAGTAGCCCCTTTTTGTATATTTACCACTCTAGGCTGTCGGCATCTATTTTTCGTTAGTTCGGGATCTAAAAAATTTCCTTTGCAAGATAAACCACACTCTTACTGAATAGTCATTCGCTCTTTGTAGCGCTATACCTTCACATCGCAAAAGCGTCGCGAAACGAAATAGGTCAGATTGTTACGTGATGAAGATCGGACATACACGTTTTCTAATCCATAAGGAACGACACGAAGGAATATAAGTGAAACAACAGGATGAAATAACCAATATTAGCGTTGGAGCGACCAGAAACATTTGAGAGTTGAAAAAATGCTGTTGCTTTGTTCTTAGCCTTAGTTATACGCTTTTCCTCGTTCTAATCGTCGTTGGTACACGGTCTTCAAAGTTTGCCTTAAACTTTTTTCTGATGCAATCATCATTCAGTGCGCTAATTGCTCTTTATTTTCTAATAACGTATTGTGTATAGTTAGTACCGCCTTTTGTCGTGAGACTTAGCATGTCCATATGATCTTCGTTTAGCATTCTAATAGGATTATATGGGGGCCATGTAAGCCTATTTCGGAGGAAGAATGTGCTTCATGTCAATTTGACAAATATAGATAAGATAATTTCGTTGTTTCATAGTCCTCTACTATTTATAAAACAAATCAAAACATATTTTAATCGGTAGGACACAGTTATTTTGCATGATATCCAGTTCTAATGAACGGAAAGCATAGTTGTATTTCACGACGGAAATGGCAGTGGCTTTTTTCTCCGCTATAAAAACAGGGTTCCTATTGCATATGAATTCATTGTTCTTGTTGTTATTATTATCTATTATTATTATATTACTTATTATTACTATCATTATTATGATTATTGTGGTTATGTTTACAATTACGACTTTGATTGCTATTCTTACGTTATTTATGTACAATTCTCATCTTTCCGCCCCTGTATTGCATTTCAGACTAGTAATGCGTTATCGACCGTCGAAGCCCTACCTTTATGACATGGCCGACAACTCCATGCATCGCATTACACAGGAATCTCAGGGGAAAACCCGATTGTATTTACCTTTGAAAGGTCGAGTTTTACCTGTTGTAGGGTAATCAGAAGTGGACTTTGACAGGTCTGATTGCAGTAATTCTCACTTGCGGGAAGCTTTGATTTGTATTATATTTCTAACCACTGATATTTCCTTTTGGTAGTTTGATATTTTACGCATTTAGCACTATTGTGGACAGCACGTCGGGAATAGCTAATTTTGTTTACATTTAACCGACATGCTGTTGGGGCGTTGTTAAATCTCCGTAATGACAGAATTAAAGGTTTATAATAGGAAGGCAGATTGCAGTTTGAAACTTCCTGTCAGCTACTTTAGGATATCATTTCCTCAAATGCAAATGATACTTTGTACTTTTATCGAACACAATAAATTATACGTCATTTAGAGTTGACCACATTAGCTTATGCTTGGAGCAGATAGATGGAAAGCTTGGAGAAAGGGATTTCTTCGCGAAGATGGGAAATACAAACATGTATCCAGTTTAGACACTAAGAAGTTCGACTTTAAGACAAACTGGAAATAATTAAAACTGGAACTTTTGTGGGAAAATAAGTTGTCGCCAAAGAAATTAGATTTACAGTATTTTAAATATGAGTTTCGTGTGATAGCGAGTCCCCAATTCTAGTTTTCAGATAATTTCGCGATTTTTTGTTCAGTCCATCGATCTCCTCTTGATTTTTTTTTAGTGGTCATTAAGTTTTCGAAAAAACTGACAAGAAGCATTGAAAGCCAACCTCTAAGAAGAACAAATGGAAGCAAAGTCAGCAATCTGGAAACACACAATATAATCCACAGATTATATAAAATGTTGCAGGGAACACATATCCACGTTTGCTGTGAGACTGCTAGCAGAACGTGATGTAATGTGCTCATAAACTCTAACCCTGTTTTATCCCTCACTGATGAATCACTAAATAACTACATAACATTGACTGAAACGATAAATAATAAAGCGGTTGGATCGCAATGTAAAAATTCTTCCCAATCCAAACTACATGTTGTAATCAGAAATACTATGACTCTCGAAATGGATCAAGTCAGACATCTTTGTATTGGTCTAATGTCTTCCAGAATCATAAAAATACTTCATCTTCAATCTTCGAATTTCTGGCATCATTACCACAGTTTGGTTATTCTTGAAGCAATATGGTCCATACTTCCTCAAGAAAGTCCTTCTTACCCAAGGTGTCCTAGTTACTCGTCATATAACACAATGAAAAACCAAAAACTCTTTTAGCCGCTAATATTTCGGATAAAGAAAAGTATAAGTAGAAAGAATAGAGAGAAACAAGAAGCGGAAATCATAGAAAAGAAGTAAAAAGTATCCCGATCTTGCCAAATATGGTTATGAAACAAAACGCAAAAAATCATCACATGTATGATCGATACTAGACTACATGAGACGGTAACATAAAAAAATTATCAATCACATTAAAAGTTTTGACCGCGTATGAAATAATATATACAAGGAGAGATAGCTAGCTATTCAGATAATTATCGGCATATAATAGAAATCATTACATCTTCGCTAAAGGTAACTGTCAATTTTATGCGTACATAAACAAACAGTAATACATTATACAATAAATACAAATATAATACGAGTACTTAAGTCACAACAAAGAGATGGAAGATGATCCTACTTCGCACCTCTATTTCCCTGGTCAGATACGAATATATAAGATTTACAGTTTCCAAATCTTCATTTCCAATCAAAATAACCTAAATGGCTTAGAGATGTAGTAAAAATAGCGCGGATTAAAAAAAGAAAGCAACTTTCTGGCAATAACTGCAGATTTAACTACCTCATTTACTGATGTTGATGTTTCCCTTGTTAGTATTTTACACCTTAATAAAAGCCACAACTACATCGCTTGTATCCTATAACAGCGTAAAACGTCAGCAGTTGAAAACTATAGAAACGCTGAGGACAATTCTGATTTATTGCTTACTTGTATCTTCACTTAAAATTTGAATAACATCAGTTTCAAAGCTCACTACGCGCCTCCTTGTTACTGGCTAATCCAAACCCTTTGTCACAGAATCAAGTACTTCGAAGTATTGAATAACGCATACTTCCCCATGTTAACCTCTAAAAATTCCTCATTTTGCGAAAAAGGAATTCACTTCTGCTAAGAACTCCTGCGGATGAGTCGAAAATGTCCAAGTTCACCGTAAAGGAGGCGAGCAGTAATTGCAACACATAAAAATTATGTTCGCTACAAGAAATTGCCATTTTTACCCCGAAAAACCGATCTCCCAGAAAGACTGGATGAAAAAATGTAATAAAAATGAGTGAAACGACTCTCTCTGCAAAAGATGAGAGCATTGCTAGTACACAGAATGTACCAACACAGGAATGTTTAAGATGACTGTAGCAATCTGAAAATTTATTTATAAAAAATAAGAAGTTCGGGAATAAAAGGCTCTATCACATTTTATCTTTTGTCTCTCAGGTAGGGAATGTATAACAATAGGATCCGATCCAGAAGAAAAATACTTCAATAAAACTACTCTGCTGTTTTCAGTTTATTACGTAACCTTTAAATCAAAGAATGCTCCACTTTCTTTGGGGGCTTTCGGGACTTTATCTCATGATCTGATGTATATCTGAAAAGGAAAGATCTGACCTACCCATTATTTTGCTTCAGCGTCTGTGCATAACTTTTTCTTTCTTTCGCTTCCTTCCTTTCTTCTCTCCTACCGGCAGCTACCGAACTGAATGATGGTTTACTCCGCGATTTTGATTCTTTCACATCCGCTACCGGAGATACTTCTTCAGAAAGACAAGGAAACGCACCCTGAAGCGCTTAATGTCATTTGTTTATATGGTGCACTGTGGACAAAAAATTTAACCAACTATAGTAATGCTACGCTAGTGACGCTGCTCCATACTGCTCTATTACCTTAATAAATGATATAACCTCTTCAAAGCTATATTCCATATCGACAGTTTTACGAGAACTGCTTCTTTCTATTTTGGAATCAACATCGCTAGCTGTTTTTGAACAACACTGCTGCTCGTCACTTTTCCTGCCTCCTTCTGGCGGTAGGCAAATTATTGGAGGACATATTACACTTTTATTATTTCCCGATGAAATTCCAGACAGTGGCATATCTCTCTGCTTACGCCGTTGTTGCCGTGTCTGCACACTCCTAAAAACAAACAGTTCAAAATAAGGCGACAAATACGAACACCAAACAATGCAACATCATTCGTGATTAAGAACCTTATCCAAGAATGAAAATCCTTGAAGTATCTTTCCAACAATTCTTCAAAGTGATACCACCTAATATGCAAAGCGTTACCGGCCGCTTGATTGATCGTAGTCGTAGCGGTGTTGTATATTATCGCTTTGATTAGTCTTTTGTGATTCAACTGGTGTCCCACTTCGCACAGTACCTACAATAATCAAATACACTCCCATGATAGTTTTACAATAAAACCATAAATAAGTAAGCAAGAAATGAGAAACTGACCAGAATAAAAATTAAGTCGATTCTGTCGGCCTCTAGGACGAACAAAAGTTAGAGAATCGTTGTTTCTATCCCGATAACCATCACGATGAGTGTCACCATGGTTTTTGCTCCGTCGGCCTCCTCCGTGCTGATAATTACTGAAATCACGATGATCGCTGGTGCAGACTCGCTGATTATATACGAAAGCACCTCGTGCTCTGGAATTGGAACCTGAAAATACACATATGGTAGATATGATTAATCATAAAACTGTATATCAAAAAAACACTTAAAACATCGACAGAAATCAGTAATGGAAAACAGAACAAACCTCGAAAATTCGAATTATTCAGTCCAGCAGAGCAAGCACCTCTCAATCGATGGTGGTTGGCATTTCTGTTAGCGGTTGCACCGACAGTAGAGGTGATATGAACAACCGTCGTACCAGGCTTGAAAGTTGCACATGGTACGTACCCGTAACTGGCCAGGATTTGACCCAAATCGAACGTGTCTGTAACAATAAAGAGCTAGTTAACTTTATTTCCATCGTACAGGAAATGAAGTTTAAAAAATAAATAGAAAACATCGACAAATACCAGATGAACATGGTGAAGGAGCAGGCACGATGGGAACGGATACAGTAGCGTCGCCTGAAATTTCCGACGGCACAGCAGACGGAGATCGATCCGGAATCAGATTCAATGGTTCTGAATATGGTGCACCACCTGTTTTTATTCGTGCCTAAAACTAATGAAGCATGATCTAATCAGGTAACTAATGGTTATAAACTACTTCGGAATTAAAATCCTAATGAATTATTAATTTATTCATCAACTTATTATTTTAATTCTTCCAAAACAGATGCTGTATGATGTATATCAAATAGTATATATGAATGTGATAGATTATAACATAATCATGAAACCACGCAGAAGTGTACACATTACGATTGAATGAAACAGTAAGCCTGTTATCTTTTGATGGATTTTTTCTACTACTTACATTTCGGGATTACTTTAAATTTCGGAGCTCTCTGATTTATAAAACAAAATATCACTTTTAAGAACACACCGACATATGCATCACCTTAATACCATTTACATTTAAACTACAATATTCTACAAATCTGTTTGTTAGTATTCTGCTACAGAACATGGAGGAACAGCCAAAGAACCTAAGAGGCATAAAATTTTTAAATAAAAGTTGCCATCAAAACAAGAACTGTGACATACTTACACAGATCGGTTTGTTGTTGAAAGTTTTGCCTAGATTCTGCAAATGCAAGAATGCACGCTCCGTAGCTTCTTCCGATTCGAACGTTACATACCAGCTATTATTCAGGCCATATTGCAGGCTTAAATATGGTGGTCCACCAGCGAACATTGATGCTACCTCCTGAAGTGCTTACAGCGTTATGACTTTCAGTACACCCTTTTGCCTTCCACTGATTTTGAGAAAAACCATCAGAATTCCTTTTGCATATTCTTCTTTGATTTTATAGCAGTTTATCGGGTTTAAACACTGGATAAAAGACCGATTTTGTATCATAATCTGCCATTTCCATCACTATTTCATATTCCCATAACATAGAGCACCGAAAATGGTAAAACAATTTTGTACACTACTTATAAAATAGAAACTAAAAATATTGAATTTAAAAGAAAAGTAATACCGGGAGATCACAGAGCACAAGTCAATAACTTATCGTAGAAAGGACAAAATGTCAACCAAATTGGTGTAGTTGCCTAACGTACTGCAACAGATAGATTGTGTATTAAAAAAAACATAAGTACCTTCTCATCGGTGGATTCAGGTATTTCACGCAGGATAATAGTGCATCGCTTTGAAACGGCTCGTACCCGTTGTCCTTTTTCGTCGACTTGCACCTGAGATGATTCTGCAAACAATTAATATAACAGAATCCGAATGAGTATTTAGTGGCTACTTGTAATTAATTATGTTTCAGTGACTTAGCAGAACTACTCACTAAGATGGCACATGAAAAAAAAAAAGAAAGAGGTGCTTTTTAAATATCAATTTTCATTAATTCTCATGCATAAGCGATATAATAGAATCCTGCTAGAAAGCATATTTCAGTATCATTATAAAGGGCATCGACCCGAACACGACAGTATCGATGATCACAAAGAAACCTCGTAGCACTTTCACAACCAGATTGTAATCACTGGTGAGTCGTTTGACTTTTGGAAAGCCAGCAATGATTCGTATAGGTACGTACTGATCGTTGTCCATTTGACACCGTAGAAATCTATCAGTCATTAGATTTTCTCTGAAAATGGAATCTCGAGCAGTTGAATTTTTCATAATAACTTTGACGCATTTATGAAGTAATCTAAGTGATTTATTAACCGTTCCTCTGATCTTATAATGGTAAACAACTTACCTTGAAAAATAATATTCTAGCTGAGCTTTGAGTTGTTGCTTTATTTGTTCTGGAGACTGAGATACGGCGGTAGAAATTACTCGCTGAGCCGGTGGAGTTACTACTGCTACTGATGGTGGAGGTGGTGGCGGTGGTGGTGGTGGCACAGAAAGAGTTGTAGACATGCTGGTCGGCATCTGAATAACAGGCGGATCCGATGCAGCTAAGAGTTGATTCTCACATTCCGCTGTAAACCACCACGGTAACATTGGCGTAGGAGGTGTGTCGCACTCACCAGATGGCACCATCATATCATCTAACATCCGGTCAATACTGCTAGAATTCACCTAAAATTATAACCAATCATGTAAAACCATAATCGTATCATTCAACCTACAGAAATACTTCAGTAAAATTGACATGTTAAAGATATTTCAATATAAATCATTTAACACTCTCTATTTTAACAACATCGAGTGGAACTTAGAGAAGATGAACTGCTCACTAAAAAACCTTATATTACTATTTTAATTTCTATTATAAAATGAGATGGGAAGCTACCTTACTGAAAGTTGGCTAATTTGCACCTTTCAAGGTGCAGAGTAACTTTTCAACTGACAATTGCAAACTGTTCTCACAACAATTCAAGAAATATCTAAAACATTTAATAAGTGTAGTTATGCTTTCTTAATACCTGTTCACCAGAGACTTAGATATTCTCCTAAAATATCATAAACTTCAGTAAAACCTTTGTTTCGAGAAAATTATTATTGTCATAGTAGATTTAATGGAACTCAACTTCTATTTTCTACTTCCCAGTTGATAATAGGATATAAACTACTTGTTATCACATCTTAAAGAGTAAAGTAAAACAAGTCATCTTTAATATCCGGTTAAACAATAACAATGAGAATGTAATATTATCCTGACGATCAAATGAAAGAATATACTTTTTTTAGTTTTCACAAGCCGGCACTGGAGAGGATTCGAACTCATCTTAAATCACTACGCTACTTTTAATTCCCAAAAATAAGAAGCCTACACAAATTCGAATATGCGTAAGAAATGACCAAAATTAAATTCAAATCTTAAAGAAAAAGATATTATATCTGCAAAACGGTGTATAAGGCAAGAAATGGAGATACAGGAAAACTGTCAACAAAATCCAAAAAAAGCTGAAGATAAAAAAGTAGTCACATTTTAATATCACTGATTATATAATTTCAGGTCATATCTGGAGTCCTATCTAGCGTAATGGTATCATTCTTAACATCTATATCCATAAATTAGGAACTAAGGATATTAAAGGTGATTTGACTTTGCTAATTTTGTTAAATGACTCATAACTCATAACTACTATGGTCATCAAACTTTTTATCTAAATAAAATATAGATAAAGATTTTTCTTTCCTATTTCATTTACATTTTTTATTTTTTCTGACTTACGACAGTAAAAAAAAGAAAATGAAGGTTCCATGTTGCAGCTAACTGCAGTAATTTTAGGAAATATGAATGGAGTACCATGATCTTACATGTATATTCTTGTCTAAAATAATTCCACAATTACATCGCAACAGTTCCAGGTGAACGAGAAGCATAACATGGATAATGGACAATATACCCAAATCTAATACTAAAGAGACACAGAGTCATATCTCTAGAAATGCATATTTGATGAAAGGAAAATAAACATATAACGGAATGTCAAACCCTTTGGATGATATAGCAACGAGGCGATGTTTCGGTGCACATGAAGAATGCGCCCGGTTCTCCTTGCTCATTGATGACAGCCATTCTTCATGGCATAGTTGACATGTTGCTGACTAATTATTGCAACTGATGGTTGTTGAAGAGATAATAGTAAAGTTGTTGTTGATGTTGTTACTGTTCGTTAAGCAATAGTTAGACGACTTTAGTGTGCAATGGAAAAAAGCTGTGAAAGGAGCAGGAAACGATTCTGATAATGATGATACTGTCAATGATACCAACGATAATGAGCAATGGAACAACAACTGTACCATCCTGCAAATATATATCGGCACTGATTCACTGTCACAACTATGACGTCACATTAGGATAACGCATTACGATTAAAAAATTGCTACAACCTAATCCAACCTTGCTATTATTTACTACTTACTTCAAGCAGTAAAATTCAATTTGCCATTAATCATGCACATTTGCATACAATGCTCCGATATGCAAATTATTATGCTGCTCATTTACAGAATAATGGAAGGGAAGAGATACAGATGCATGCATATGGTTTGTGCAAATGTGGATGGATCCGTTCAAAACAGAAAAGGGCTAGCATCCACATCTCTTTAAAGCTGCACTTAAAGAGGTCAATAATGAGAGGGAGAGAGAGAGAGAGGTAAAGCACTAACTAGGTCCGCTAACTCCTGTAATGCCCACTAGACATTGTTTTGTAAATGGGATCACAGGTCAAACATCTCTTTCTAGCTCACTAGATGGCTAAAGTACGCAGTTTTCCATTCATCAGATGCATACGAAGCTATTCGGTCCACTCCTAATTATTATTGATATCACTGATAAAACGTCATTCAGGCCTTTCATCCTTTTAATTGTCGTACTTCCATGAATAAAGAAATGATAGTACCATATGGGAAGGAAGAGATACACATATGCATGCATATGGTTTTGTGCAACTCTGGGTGGACAAAGTTGGGGAGGAATATGTGCGCTCAAACATATTTTGAACCTGGAAGAGCGCGAGAATTACACGATTTAGTGATGACAAATTATTATTTGATAAGATATGCTTGGGATTCACGGGGAAATGCACGTACCGCGAACGCGCAATGCAATATCGAGAGTAGGAAGATAAACGAGTCAGCTGACAACATATCACTGATCGAATCATTATCATCCATGCCCATTCCTCCGTCTCCTTTGAGGAACTACCGATGATATGATCCACTTGCAATACCACACCGAAAGGGATGCATAGGGGAAAAAGGCTGTATATCACAGCGGACACGCGCATACCAGCCATACACTCACGCTCATTCACGTATGCTGACGTATAAATATATGCACGACACGCACATGCATGCATACATCTGCATGCACTTGTATAAGCCCTCATCGGCATAGAGAGCAGTAATCCAGTCACCATAACCGAAACAGTACATACATATGCATAGATACATATGCGCATACGTATGTACACAAGCATATATAACATACGTTACAGTATGATACATCTGACCCTTAACCCCTTAGACTGCCAAGCAGCAGTGATCGCGGGAGTGTTAAACAACGCAAGAGAAGTGTCGTGGATGAGGTACATTCGCCCGAGGTCGTACATAAATCAAATCACATCGCCACCCTTGTCCAGGAGAAGTTATCTGTCTTATGGAAGAGAGAGAAGACGATGACATTGGAAGGGAGGACGGAGAGTTTGGGCAGTGCTTCAAGGGGTATAAATATATATTATAATAATAATATGCAATAATGAAATAGGAAGAGCAAAACAGACAACCCATCAGCTTACATAAGGGACATCGGCTACGACAACGACAACGACAGAACCAGATGAGACCACCTGATATGGGCAGCGAGCGTCGCAAGGATGCCTGCGGGAGATGCTTGCTGCATGCCACCTCGTACACCTCTCCTCTCTCTCTATTTATTTCACTCTATACGCACTCCCTCCTCTCATCTGTATGTTTTGATGTTGTTATGAAAGACGGAATGATGCCGACTGGAATAAGGGAGGAAGGCGACAGGGGATGGATGACATTTGTAAATTTGCTGTTGTCGTCGAGTAGTTGTGGGAGATGGTGGTGATCGGATGACCAAAGTATTTCTTCTCTTCGTGCTGTCAGGAGAGCGGAAAAGATGAAAGAGGCGATGAACTCACTGGTAAGAGAAAGGGAAGACTTTGGCAAATAAACGAGAGGGCAAGAATTAATCATTATCTATGCAGTTGCTGGTAGCACTTTATATGATTCTCATCCTGCATTCCCGCACTTTATCATGTCCGGTATCTCCCGTGATGTCCTCCTGAGGATGCTTTGTCTTTTTAGTAGTGGGAGAATTGACTTCTCGAATTTGCATCTTGCATTTCACTTTACTGTCCCCTTTGAGCACAGAGACGAGGGCAGGAGAAGTGCGACGCGGTGCGTCACTTATCCTTCTGCGGCGCTCATTGCTTCTGTATGCTTTGACCTCAATCATAGCGATGGTCATTTACCGTCGGTACCATCTGCACTACTTTTCTCCTTCACCCTCCCTCTCTTTCTCTCTCCATCTCTGCCTCTCTCTCTCTAATCGATCTTGACCTTACCGAAAAGAATATAGAAAGGAACAACCTTGCAAAAAAGGTAAATTCAGGGAAATTGTATGACACATGAGAGTCATGGATGATCACTGATCTCGGGAAGGTGTTAGATGAGTGCTGAAGAATTCTGCAAGAATATTAGAATTGCACATTAGCTGTAATAAGCATCTTCCAAAAGCATACGCATACCTTTTTGCATTTGTTTTTAAAAGGATTATACTCATTCCATATATTTGTAAGATTAAATTCTCAAAAGTGGAGGTAAGTTTAGCAAGAGGCATGTCATTTAAAGCACGACAACACGACCACATTTCATCAAGGAAGGTATAATTCTAATCCCAAAGGCGCATTTGGGCGTTGTTTTTAGCACGGCAACATCACGTCATATGGGGAGAATATTGCTGCTGCGTTGATATGGAAAGTAAGATGGCCTCAGAAAGTGAGCTTGCCTGCTTCTTCCGTCCTTATAAGACCTTACTGACAGCCTTACTCATTCCATCCAATGAAATTCCATCTCTCTCCACCCTCTCAGGTTTTTTTTTGCACACCTGTAATAGGTAACATATGGGAGCTTTGAAATTTTGTAAGCATAAAAGCCATCTACACACCAATACATACATACATACACAGACGCACATACAGAGATGGGTGCAGGTAGCATGACGTTATGAAATGCACCTAACAAACCTTACGCACTGGCAGGACACGGTTAAGCTACTTAAAAATACGTCATTTCTCCGCATCACTAGTCCACCCTCTCCTCCTTCTCCTCTTCTTCCTACTGTCCTTAATTCTTTTTAATTTCCTTGCAGTCTAAAAAAGTTGCATAGCAGAAAAAAGAGTTTACTTTTCTCTAAGCGATAAATGGAGCTTCAGTTTGACATAACCGCACGTCATAACACGCACGTCATTATTCACTTATCCTAATTTTTTCCAAACATTTATTTTTCTTCCTAAGTGAGGATAAGTAATGATGTGGAATATTCTATTATCACTTTATCCAGTGCACAACAAATAAGTTATTGATTGATGCTGATTAGCTCATTAGAGTAGACAGAATAGCCAGTGTCGATGAATACCGCCATTTCGAAACAGGATTTCCCAAAAAAATCAAAAGCGGTATGGCATGTTCATCACGTGCATTTCATGCTTGCATGGCTATTATTGATGGAATCGATCGGACAGATATAAATCAATCATCTAAATCAGTTTTTATTCTTCTGTCATTAACTTAGGTGAAGGTTACTAATCTAAGTACATATTAAGAAGACGTGACTGTTTCCTACCGGTCTACTTCACGTACGTGTGATAAGTTGCTATAAGTGCCATGAGAGGAAGGCGGTTTGTTTATTCCTTACCGGATTTGAATAAACTGAGTCTTTAAGGATTCTCAATTACTTTCATCCGATTTGGAGCAATTTTGGAGAGGAAACAGAATAAACAATTCATTAAGGACATAAATAAAAGTAATGACAATAAATTTCTATATATTATATTTTCATCCATGCTTTCCCTCGCCTCCTGATGAATTCTGATTCGGTGACATCAGTCTTGTGGAAATGGCAATCCACTGTCATTCATTTATCCACTAGCTCAGTAGAACATTGATGGGACATTCTTTAAAATCATAGTAAGCAGTTCTTTTTATATTACATTAAAAATTAACAAAAATTAGTTTTACCATCTACAAGTCAATGAATTACTCGGGAACTGATTTTATAATTAATGTCAAATTTTCAACATTTCACCTAATCTAACCTGATATTAAACTGCTGTGTCTTTTTAATTGATTGTAACAAAAATCAGTTAATCCGATCAAGCTAAATACTCATCCTTAGTAGGGATACATATTAAAGTTGATTGTTTAAATAAAGAAATTGAACAGGGCAGTTTTTAAATTTAAAAAAAAAAATTAAATATAATGGGTTAAATATTATCCAATATAAATAAATGGACAATTATTAAATTTTTGAACCAGATGAACAAATTGATGACATGAAGAAGATAAAGAAATTAGTGGAACTTTCTACAATTCCACATCTATGAGAAATTACAATCTGCTTCTCCTTAATTAGTAACTGTTATGACAAGGACATTAGTCTCGAGGAATAGTTTCCTAAGGACATTAATCTCGAGGAATTAGACTAACTTTTCTATTTTTCTTCTTCCTTTGTTTAATCTTCATCAATAAAGGCCTAGCGAAACTAATACATAGCACAAAGCTAATTAGGAATTAAAAGAAATATACTGCCAGCTGGTTTCATAGTTGGAATTCCTTACCACAAACAGACGCTTTTCTTCTCAGTCCATCCTATTTTCAAATTGCATTGCCTTTATTTTATCAAACCTACAGCACACACACACATGCATACACGAACACACACATACACATACACACACACATATATATATACATTCACATAGATATGCTTGAAGCCATGCCATATCACATGAAGGTAAATGTATGAACAGTTGTAGTTGTGAAACGATGTGGACAGCACACATAACAAACATACAGACAGACGCAGCTTCAGAGGACTAAGTGTACCTACCAGCTTGCGCTTCAGTTTTGGAATCAGTGAGTATTTGGGCCTTACCTCTGTTCATTATGTATCTTCGATTGTCTATTCTCTCTGTGTATTAACTGTAATTTTATTTTAACATAAATAGTACCACTGGGACAATAAGAATTGAAGTGTGACCTTGTCCAGTCATTTATTGGATTTATAATATGAAATCTCAGTGTTATCATTTATTTTGCAATTATGAAAGATGAAATTTTGTACCAATTCATATCAATCATACAACTTTACACTAACTACCTCACTGAATATTTGTCTAATACTGGTGTGACATGTATTCTATCATCCCGAAGACTTGCCGTCTACCGTATTTCTTTCCTGATACCATATCTGTATCTCTCATTTCTACCACGTTTAACAAACACCTCAATGGCTAGCTGTCGTTGTATCCAGTTTAACTCGACTGGCATTTTCCAGTCACCAGACTTCCCGAAATATCCATTATCATCGGTATTAGCTCCATCATCAGTGCTTCTTCAGCACCCACTTTTATGTTTGCTATATAAATTTACAGCTCCGGATGGATACATTATTGAAGTAACCTTTGACTACTTTCACCTCTCACCCCGAACTGATCGGTAAGTGATTGACAAAGAACTGATTTTTACACAGCAGCAATTTAGATGCAATGATTATTTAAGGTTATTTGATGATATATCGAATGGACTGATCGATGAAAAGACCGCTCACAACGGTGAATTCTGTGCTCGAGAGGTAACATTTCTTGGACATACCTTACTGCGCCTATTGCTTTATTGGTGTGTACCGGATAGCTACATCTTTTTAAGATCGAAGTTGGGCAAACATTCTACTCTCACACGAGATATCTCATATTCCATGTTCAATTATCTGGTACCTCCAGAGGCTTTCATGGTACCTACAATCTTATTCCTAAAGGTATGACCATTGTTTATGTTAATATTTTACTCCTCTTGCTAATAAATGCTGTAGACAGAGAGAAAAATTGAGTGAGAGAATAATTTTGAAGCAATTATATACTATAATTTAGTTTACCTTTAACTAATTTTACAGGACGATTCTTTTCGAATGCTATTGAAATAGAATCATGTCGTTTTCGTGTTGATAGTTTAGCTGGTAATATATTCTCGCCTAATTATCCATACTTTTATCCAACCACAACCAATTGCACGTACTATTTAGCACCTCGTCAAGGATTTAGCTTGATAATTTCTTTAGAATATCTGAATTTAAGACGTTATGCTTGCCATGAAGACTTCATTGACATCTATCAAATGCATCCAAAGGTAAGAAGAAAAGCTGTGCTATCTTTCATTCTTTTTACGAGATTTCATTCACTTTTATGAAATATATCATGGTAAGGCTTTAAAAAAGTGGAACTTAAAAGGAAGAGGCATTTTTACTGTTGTTTTTAAGGATTTCCAAAGATATGATGAAATTCTTGAAAAGATTATTGCTAGTAGAAGCATTCAGGTTCATCTCGAAAAGCTCTGTTATGACTCGATGCCACCATATCAAATTCAAACAATGCATGGATATATCATTGAATTTCACAGTGGCAACAATGACATAGTAAAAGTGAGTTCACTATGTGTACATATCCTTAAAGCTCTTTGTCACTTGTCCCATCTTTTTATTTATTTAGAGAAATTAATAAGTGGTTAAATTTCTTGAAATTTGTGAAGGTTTATTTTTAATTAAAAAGCCATTGTTATTTTTGAAATTTTACTTTACAACATAATAGAAATGAAAAAAAAGTACTTATATGAAATTGATTATTTGCTGATTTCTAAAACAAAGAACTCTTCTAGTAAAGGTTTACGGTAAGAAAAGTGATTAAAAGATAAGTGGAGGTTCGTTAGGAAAGATGATAAAACTGATAAGAATATTTGATGTTGCCAATCATGCAAAAGATTTATTGTTGGATGGTTGATTAAAAGTGCACATGATTAGAAAAGAGAAAACAAAAAAAAAAACAGGAATGGATGAGAGAGAGAGAAAAAGTTATGCTTCATTTAACTGGCTAATACTGGACTGATTCCGGAAATATGTAGCAGCTGGAATTATGCTTATTACTTAACTATACATTCAGTCGTGCTCAAAATAAATAATTTAATACTGTGAGTGTTCTATATACTCTGCTAAATTATTATGATAATTGAATCAATCATAGTGATCATATGCCAGTGCAACTATTGAATCGTTTTCAACATTCTAATTGATGAATGAATACTTTATTAAAAAAGAGAAAAAACAATGAAAGAAGCAAAAAATGCTAATAAATGATAATGATAAAAGCAAGAAAGACTGAAATTTTTAGTGCATTGATAAAATTTAAAAGAAAAGTGACACTTCATTTTCCAAAAGAGAGACAGAGAAAAAAAAAAAACACTTTAACAAGTGAAAAAGGCTTACGGAATGGGTTCGTCCCACTGAATTATTGAATTTAGCCATCTCACAGATGAAATTTATTCATGCTCTCATTCAAATTCGCTTTACTTATTTTGCATAGCATAAAAAGCCTGAATAAAACTTTCCAATCATATTTTCATCAGGAAATCATCTGTTACAATTTGCAGTATATAAAAAAAATATAACACAAATAAAAGCTGTGCAATTCGTACAAGTATTTAGAAAGTAATATATCAAGAGATATTCGACATCTCATAAAATAACTCTTTCCAGGCCCGCGGTTTTCATATTTCATTCAAGTATATATCTCAGCAATTATCACAGAATATGCCAGACGAAAGCAACACTCCGCTGGCCAATGATAATATTTCAGACTTGGCTTACTTATCATTTTCATTGTTTTCCTCTTATCCTTCTACTAAATTTTCTTCAGCCATCACTGATGTCCACGGCGATGAAATTAGTTTAAGTGAGTAGTTACCATTAAATGCTCTTCCTTATCTCTCATCCTTCAATCCTCCTCAAAACGCATCGATTGCTTTTCTCTCCATTTAAGGCCAATTCTTCCAGGCATGTCCTTAGGCTTCACAAGAGTTACTTTAATGTGTTAAACGATGAAAGTAGACCGTAAGAGGCTTATTGCCTTTTTCCTTACATTATTTATGGAAATATTCGGGAGTGATGGTAAGTTCATCACTAATTATATTAATCTTTCACTCCATATCACGAACAACCTTCTGAATTTTTTATCAGTTAAAATCAATCAGATCACTGAGCAGAGAGTTATTTCAGGAGAACACTGCACAGTGAGGATCACTTCATCCTCAGTAGTTGATAGCGATTCTCCCTTTTCCGGTGTCTCAGGTATTCTCAATTCAACACAGTACGTAAATGGTGACGAACCATTCAAATGCCAGTTTATATTTCTCGGTAGTGGCACCGAAAGAGTGCAAATTACATTTCTCTATTTTCATTTGTATTCTCGAATCCCTCATTTGAATAATAATACCAACAGGTAAGTAAGTGACAATAAGAACATTGCTGCTACTAATTAACATTTCATTCTTGTTTTGTATATACGAATGAACTGTAGATTGCTTATGGTTGAACACTAAGCTAAAACTAGATGCAAACATATTTCAAAGAATATTATGAATTCATAGTGATGTTAAAATTATGTGAAATTTATTTGAACCGATTAAAGATGCGATGAAATGGATCACTTATCAGCTCTCTCTGTAATCCTGGATTAAAACTAATCCAGGATTACAGAGTTGTTTTAGTCTAAAAACTTTAGTTTCGTTATCATTCATCATCCAATGACCCTTAAAAGGACAGAAATAGATGCAAACATATTTCAAAGAATATTATGAATTCATAGTGATGTTAAAATTATGTGAAATTTATTTGAACCGATTAAAGATGCGATGAAATGGATCACTTATCAGCTCATGTCCTGATTGGTACCCGCATGTCTCGAATCGAAGACTTCTGTGGTGCTGAAACACCTCCTCGGCTGATGTCTACCAAAAATCTATTAACTTTGGATTATGTAGTTCGATCTACCAGAGTAATGAGACGAATGATGACTAATGCTGAAAATTTTGGATTTGTATTAAAATATCACTTTCGATCTGATCTAGGCTTATCAGAAATGAATGCTGAAGTGAGAAATGATATAAGTGAATTTGTTTTCCTTAGTAAACTCTTTTTCTTTTCATTTATTTCTAGCCGCATACTTGTTCATATATTTTTTGCTTAACTTGACAATGCTTTGACAAAGACTAGTTAATAACGAGACATGAGTCTTGGCTGACTGATAAATTAAACGGATTGGCTTGACTTGATAGTTAGATATCGTTTGCTATTTCAGATATCACGTACTGCCTTACCGAGGTTTCCGTAATATAACTGGAATACAGATCATTCTAGCAATCTCAATGATTCATTTAATAACTTAAAATGTGATACCACTTAATTATGTAGGAAGTAATGTTGGATTCCCACTTTTTATATTTCAGCTTGTCATTATGAGTTTAATTCATCTCAGCGCAGCTCAGGTGACATTTTCTCTCCTAATCATCCAGGATATTATCCTCGCAACATCGACTGCCACTACATATTTCATGGAGCTGAGAAACAGGTCGTTATTATACATTTTGAATATTTTGACGTGGAAGGATTAGCGGCGTAAGTTTTCGAACATTTGTTTTTTGTTTACTATAATTCTGGTTTTCATATTTCTCGTGAAAATAATATGATCCCGAACACTATGAATTTCCAGCTGCGGTGATAGTACGCACAGCGATTACGTACTATTCAGCAACTACCAAACTCAGGATCGTACTAATCGTCGGTATTGCGGTCAGATTTGTCCAAGAGACTCAATTGTTAGTGAATCGAACTATTTTCGGATGTTATTTCGCTCCAATGATATCTTTGACGCCACCGGCTTTTATGCTCACTATCAATTCATTACAGAACGTAAGTTTTGGATCAAACTATGTTAGTCGAAATTAAATTAAATATGATAATTTCAACAAATTCCAGAACTTTCATATTACTAGGCTCCGAACATACTACACTAAACTAGTTATTTTGAATTGAATGAAAGGAGTGATAGAGAAGATTGACAAAAAAGATTAGATAATTGCTAATAAAGAAAATAACAGAAGGTTCTATTTTCCAAAAATTGAAATTATACTTCTCAAACGTCAATGATTATAATTTACTGCAATGGAAAGCAAACATTCGTTGAACTAAAGTTATATGAGAGAAGTATCTAAAAAAAAAGCTTACTATTTAAGAATGCTTACGTGTAGACCATGTATTATGATAGAACTATTTCAGAAATCTCACAAATCAATCGCGTGAAAGTGACCAGTAATGCATATCCGTTTGTTAGGTTATCGCTGACTTTGCCAGCTACGCTACTATCTTTGGGAATCATTTATAGATGGTCCTTATGACTGCAATTATTTGCAAGAATTTTTGGAATATAACACCTAATACTGCGAGAAAGTCAACAAAAATCTCAGATCGATTTTCAGGTTTATCAAATACTTTTCGACAGTAACTGAAGTGTAATAACTTCTCTGCAATAGTGTGTTTTACTCGTAATGAATTTATTAGGTATTATCTATCTATTGCATAAAGTTTCAATCCTAAAGGATTAGAGTTCAAGTTTGAAAATGAGTGAAACCGTTCTATATCTATCTATCTATATATATATATAGATATATTCACCGCAAAACTGGTATATTCCAACACTTTAACAAATTGAAATCATAGTTATGGTAAAGTAACATTGGCTTTTACCAATAAATCACGACAAGTATTTCCTATGCACTCAAATTCTTCAGCACAATCACGTATCGCCAAACTGCACAGTCGTCCTTCCACTTTGATACAGAGGCCAGATTGACACATTTCACCAAGTTGGCAAATTTTCCCAAAACATTCTGAAATATTAATTAGTAAATTTTTTTCTTCATCACTGTTAGCATAATTTTTGACGTCTAAACGTGCTAATACACTATTACCATTTTTTGTGCAGCGCCCACTGATGCACACATAGGGTTTAGGACATTCTCGATAACATAACAATCCTTGAAGATGTCTACATTGACCTTCTCGACAAACATGGTCCGATGGACAACGATTAGTGCAAGGATCCAGAATACATCGTCCCTCTACACAAATTGTACCTGCAATAAAAAATTCAACTTCACAAGTGGCATACGCTAATCTCACACAACATTCCAGATACCTGAGTTCACATCCTGAATTAAAATACGGAAGCAACTAATATCACCATTTTCTATACTATTTCCATTCATTTTGAAGTATTACATGTTTTCTACAAGAGCTACGACCGATCACAATGACTCTGATCTTTTTCGTCTTTTCACCTGTTCTACTATATATCGCCCTGTTTTGCGACATACTATTATTAAGTCAATGATTTACTATTTGATAAAATTTTTTGAATTAGAGAAGTAAGTAATCGTACCTCCTTGGCATGTTGTAGAAGTGCAATCTTGACCGATAGCTGACTGACATGTACCTTGCAAACAAAACGAGCCCGGTTGACAGCTTACATGTGCACAACCTGAAAACTGAATAACTTTTCTCAAATTCAAAAATGAAATGTATGGAAGTCTTTTTCATCATTTCCAGCTTCAAAATTACTTAGTTCCATTATTTCATGATCAATCGCTTTTTCTTCCTTTTAAACTATACAACAGTGGTTAATTTGTGATACTACGTAAATAAATTGTCAAAAAAAAAGGTGTAGACTAATTTAATATCTTAAATTACTTTTGATTTAGCTATTTTGTAGCTTAAATATCATGAAAACATATTTGGATCTGAGATGCAACGTCCTTTCTGGCACACTTCACCAGGATCACAGTTGCATGAGATTGAATTTCTCTTAAATGGTATGCATTTGTTCTGATAGCACTTGAATGTAGGACCACAGTCGAAATGAGTTATACAGAAATTACTGCTTACTGTCAAACATTTTCCATCACCACATAATTCATCCTTGGTACAGTTAGCTCCAAAACATTCTGAAATTAACATATAATTTGTATCATTTTAAAGTAGGAAGAATTATCTGTTAAACATGAATTGTATTAAATGCTCGTTTGCTTTAAACACTATGCTATTCACTTTTTTACTCTTAGTAGAAGATATTAAAAGTATCTCATTCAGTGTAAACAATTAAATTTAACAAATGAAGAAGTGATTGTTATCAGTGTTATCACATATGATCAGAAGAAATAGCTAAAAGATGACTTAGGATTTCTTGTTGATAAAAAAATTCTCACGCATTAAAGTTTATACAGATTGATTGATAATGTGCTATCATTATCATTATGAATGTCTGAATGGAATTTTGATCTCGAATATTTTGCCTTCATGATTATGTCGACAAAATACTTAACTGTCTTCAGCACATCGACCATTGATGCATCGTCCTTTTAGGCCGCAGTTAGAAGTTATAGATTTGGACTGATGTTCGGATAACTGCACATTTCGATCACAAGGCAGACCGGTTGTTGGATAACATCTCCCCTGTTATGCGATATAACTGATAATTTAAAAGAGAGAAGCACTCTCTTGAGATGATAATGTTTAATTTGATAAGAGAAATTTATGATTGAAATTTCATTCAAAATTCATTACTAATTACCAACTCCACTTTGCATATCCTCATAGTAGAGATAGTATCTCTATACAATTAGAAACTTTGAAAAGTGAATTCAAAGAAGTTATGAGTCACCTTATAGCACCTGAAATTAGCATCGCATTTCACTTGTTCGCAATCAAGCGGTGCTGTTGCATTATTGTCAGAGTAACATTCATTAATTACACAAGTGAAGTTCAATGGACATTTAAACTGGCCAAATATGGGTGGACAGAGTTTCCCAAAGATATCATTTACGATGTATGTCAAAAGTATGAGAAATGTAAACATCCACAATCTGAAACTAATTAATTAATTGGAAAGAAAATATGAGCATGGAGTGTATCATATTGTTTTGAAATGATTGAAATTCAGATTACTTACTCTTACATTACATAAGTAATCATATGAATAGAAGCTGAGTAAGGATATCACAGAAGCAAAAAATTACTATCAATGCCTGCTCAAGTTGAAACAATAAGAACAATGCTAGCATGAATATAGTAGCTTTTATAACAATAGCAACAAAGTTAGACTTTAAATAATTTAGTAAAAAGGATAACTGTTTCCTATCGCAACCTGTTGCTCAGTCAAAGGAGAAAAAATAAGCACATTTTAGTGGTACTGAAAATGGTTATAATTCTGTCAATGATATGTCTATGTTTAACGACAAAGTTGACAGCTATATGTCAACAAATCGATAAACAGTAGCATCAAAATGATTAAACAATAGCAATGTGAAGGATGTTAGCAGTTTGTTTTATGAAAACAAAAAAAGCAAACAGGAAATTCGCATACTTGTTAATGGATTATTTATTCTACCGTATTTTTACATTTGTATTTGCCTTTACCCTAGGGTGGTGCTACATTAGTAGAACTTTTTTTATCCATAATCAGATTAAGATGAAATTTAACAAAGAGTCATTCATTTCAACAATTTTATAAAATTTTTGTGAAAACTAAATTGACAATTTCTGTTATGCACAAGAAATGAAATAGTAGTTGGTTGATAATGGAACTTGCGAAATAGGTTAAATGGTGTAGTTTGTGTGCTCTAAATTAATGAAACACTTTGCTATGCAGTGATCACATCATACGTCAAATGATAGTGTAATTTGACGTTGTCGAAAGTGATGGATATGGAATGAAAAGTGATATTTTTGTGAATAAACAAAGTAACATAGAAGTGCTAATTAGAACATTTCTGAACATTGTATCGAACTTATATTTAAAATTTTTTATGCAAAAATTTATTTTGCATAAAATAAAAATTGAAACTTATATTTAAATAAAATTACATGATTTTGCTTTTGCTCTAATCTATAAAACTTTTTCAAAATATTAAACAATGCTGTCAGATAGTGTGTAAATAACGTAATCATACTTTAACTATGAATTAGTTCAATGCCTACTTGAATAAGTTAAAAACCCAAGTTGAAGAGTGTGAGCATTTGGTTTTCTCCAAAATTTCTTTGAGGCAAGTGGTAAATATAAATTTACTTGAGGAACTTTTTATTATTGATGTCAATGTTACTTCCAACTAATTTTGATATTTAAAAGTTAGCTTTGTACTATCTGAAAGCAATATTTCTATTTGATGCTTGGATGTATGTGCTTAAACTAAAACTTGTATTATCTTGAAACAAAATGAGTTTTCAGATGGATTTGACCTTTGAAGGTAGTAGAGAAATAATTAATATTATACTTAACAAAGTTTATAATTTAAAGCACTATTTGAGATAATTTTGTGAGAATGCTTGCATTGGCTGTTAAAGAGTTGTAAAAGCACTTTTGCCAATGAAGGATTGATAATTTCTAAATTTGGTCTGAGGCTTATCTACTGCTTTCGATGTGATCAGAGATATCAATTATGTGAAGAAAAAGGTAGGAAAGAAAATAATTACACAGCGGTTGCTATGGTTGTCAGAAGTGCCTGCATATTCCAAATAAATAATTTTCACTGTTAGAAAAAGCTTACATCTATCTAAGCTACTTTATTGTTGTTAATCTAATCGTACCATCCTAAATTTGAGTATTCATTGTATAAATCTCAAAGTGAAAAGCTATTTGTAATGGAATCGCGAGAGGAGCGTATTGTCGCATATCTCAATTCACATCCCAAATTTTTGGAAAATTATGCCACTGGACCGAATGTGACCAATGAGGTATTTCATCGATGGTGTTCCAGGCGCAATATGAGAGTTAAAAAGGAGGCCTTAAAAGGAATGAATGGACCATGGATGGTAAGCAATGTGTGATACTTATTACAGATGAAATATTCCATCAACCAAATTTATGACTAAATAAATCCATGTATTTAACATTATTAGATTCCTTCCTTTCTTTCACTTATCAAATCATTTAATCAGACTATTTCAAGTAATAAAACATTATCATGTCCTGCAAGTATCCATTCTACAAGTCACCTTATTAACGAACTTACCTTATTCTAGGCAGATGATCTGTCCAGCTTTTATAATCTACTTATCTCCAGTGGTAACAATTTGCCTCTCATTCTTTATGAATTGGGACATGCCTGTGCACAGTTAACCCACAATGAATTGTTTGATGTGACAATGTACAGTGAAAATAATGCTTATTTTATTGACCGAATAGGAACTAATGTCCAATTAAAGCAAATGACCAAAGACAAACGATTGCCTGTCTATACGAAAAAAGTGGAAGATTATTCAGGAGTCTTGCTTGGTTAATTCCTATTCCTATTTGTTTCACTATTATCATTATTATTAGTACTAAATTATTATTATTATGAAATTATTATTAAAACTGAACAAAGTTTGACAAATTTTCAGAGGAATTATGAAAGAGTTTGGGATTTTTAAATTTAAGAAATCAATTATTTGATTACATTTTATTTTCATCCTTACATAATTCCATACTTAATTACAAAAATCACGATTATTGTATTGTGAACAACAATATTTTTTTTCCATTCCTTTTTTCAAAAAAGCAAAAAACTTTCTTTTTATGAAATGAGTAGCGTTTTTCCACATCTAGTACCATTCTCATTCTCGAGATTTGCAGGAGAAATTCATTTCTACCGTTCCCTCACCGAACAACATCACATTTGCATTAATATTCTCTGTACTTGGGGTAGCGCTCTCATCTACTACGCACAGGTATTACCACTAATATTTAATCTTTTCCCAATCAATCTCTGCTTCAAAACATAAAGCATGCAAACATTTTAAAATGTGAATGCGAAAAGAAATTTTCGAATGTTCTAAGCTTAACCTCGCATAACACAAATGCTTCTTTAATTATGTTCATTATGTTACGTCTTTTTTTTCCTCTCTCTCTTTTTGCACCTCAGAGATTAATTGCAAATAGTTTAGCTTACATCAAATAAAGATGATAATACTTATTTGTGGTACAACAATGAACAACGAAAGCTAAATACTTTCCTGCTCGATGTGGTGAAGTAAGTCCATTGGAATATTTATATCAAAACACACATAACTCGTCCTGTTATTAGATCCATATTTCAGGATATTGTCAGTATGGATGCTGTTATCAAAAAAGTTATGGTAAGTCATTCATTCATCCCATCGTGTACTTATCATTCAGTCATTGTTCAGAGTGAAAGGAATAGTAAGAGACACATTTCGTTCTAATGAATCTTCTAATTGAAATATTCAAGATTTCACAAAGTTGAGTTAGAAATTTTCAGAATTTCGCTCAAAAGTTGACAAATGCAGACCGATCTTCGCTCTTTCTTGTAGATCACAGAAGAAAAGAACTGTATGCTAGAATCTTCGATGTAGGTACTCAAGAAGATGAACAAATTAAAATTAACGAAGATGGTAATGAAGAGATTAGGTTAGTGATAACTACTTTCTATTATTTCATAGATGGAGAAGAGATTGAAACTTAATAAGGAAAGATTCAAGGTATAAATTGTTTAGGAAACAGTTGGTGATTTAGGTATTTTCATAGAAATTGCTTACCGGGAAATTATAAAGAAAATTGCGATGTGCGTTCTATGACATTGTTTCAATTAGTCAGAATAGTTAACGAAACTGTCCAGAAACTTCTAAATTTTGAAAAGTTTAAATGTTTTCAGTGCGCTTTAACATGATCTTAATGATGTCAGATCGATCGTATTCTTGTCTTGTAATGAAATCAATTTTACAGATTTCCAGCTAACAAGGGTATCAGTGGGTATGTTGCTATGACAGGACAAGTTCTGAATATCGAAAATGCTTACGAAGATCCGCGATTCAACAAAGACATAGACCAAAAGACGGGTTACAGAACCAGGAATATTCTTTGCATGCCTATTTTCATTCGTAAATCGTAAGTTTCAACTTCTTTAGTACCAGTAAACTTTTTAATTTTTTGAATTTCCGCTAATAATACTTCCGTGTTATCGCGAATAATACATTAAACTTAGGCATCTCTTTTCCTAACTATTATATTTGTATATCGTTGTTTGTTAATTATAGAGTGATCGGTGTAGTAGAAATGATTAACAAAACGGATGGACCATTCACAAAACGAGATCAAAATTCCTTTGAAACATTCGCCGTGTATTGTGGCCTAGCATTGCATCATGCCAAGCTTTATAATCAGATAAGACGCTCTGAGCAGGTTCTGTCAAACTTCATGAGAGAAATGGAGCATAAATATGATGGAAGAGATCGAGCATAAATATAAAGCAGTTTTAATAATTAGATTGAAAAAAAATGAATGATAATACCATGAAATTCTCAGATGTCTTCAGATTTGGACAGTTTTATCTGTGAAAAGTTTACATCTAACTTGAATCTAATGCATAAAACTTAATTGTAATATGTGCAGAAGTATCGGGTGGCACTAGAAGTATTGGCATATCATAGTGTATGCAACAAGGAAGAAGTGAAGAAGCTAAAAAGTGTCAAAATTGACGATGAAATCAAGGAATTGGATAAGTCTGTCAACAAATCTCTGTTTTTCATCTGCATTCAATTTGAATTTCAATATGATAATTATTCTATTAGTTCCATATTGCTCTCTTTCTGAATTTCTTCTTTAACTTAAAGAATCATTAATTTGATCATTTGAAGCTATTTAATGCAAGTTTATTGTGAAACTCTTCACATTTTTTTATAATTTAACATATTAAATTCAGTTTAGATCCAACTATCACAAATATGTTTAGGCATTATTCTCTCTTCTCTCCCACTGATTGGTGGTGCTTTTTCGTCTTTGTTGATTGTAAACATAGATGGTAAAATAGAAAGGAAGATGGAAATTCTTCAAAAGAAAGAATGAACAAAAATATGGAAAATAAAATAATTAGCATAATTTTATAGATTCGAATTTAATGGACTTCAATTAACTGAGCTTGAGAAGCCGCTTTATGCTATTTATATGTTCCGAAAGCTTTTTAAAGGGAAATTGTATGTTATTATAATGCTGATGATGAAATAATAGATTGCATATTGTTAATGTAGAATATCTAATTGAAATGAATGAAAGGTTTCGTGCAATAACTAATTATTTATTATTGATAGAAAAATGTAAATCATTCCTGTAATTTAATTTTCTTTTGAGAAATTTAACTAGTTAGCTTGGAAGGTGACGTATTGTGTTGGTTTTTATCATTTCAGAATATTTCAGCAATTATGACGAAGATGACTTAATTCGCTTTGTACTCACTGTGCGCAAAAATTACCGCCAAGTAGTGTACCATAACTGGTTGCATGGATGGACTGTAGCGCACGCTATGTATTGCTTACTTCGAACTACTACAATTTTCAACTTGAAACAGGTGCTTATTCTAGTCACTTCAATATTTTTCAACTGTTAAGCAAAAAAATAAAATTAATAAAAAATTAAAATTCAATAAGTGCCGTTCTTTCAGAGTTAGAATAGCAATTTGAAACATTATAACTTTAAGTGTTGCATCACAGGTAAATTACATCGACTGTAAAATTATGATATTTCTTGCAATATCTGTCCTGGATATATTCACTACTAGGATAAGTTTTATTGATTAAGACATCAGCAATATTTTATGTTGAAGTAATTACAAATAAAAAAATCATATCAATTCCCAAAAAAAAAAAAAAACAATGCCAGTTAGAAATGTGGGAATACTCAGGAGCCGAAATATCTTTTAATGTATATCACCAAATCTCTGACTGAAATTACTCAAAACAATGAGATACTTATAAATTTATCTCAAAATCATAATAAATATTTCTTACTTGTAAAAAAACATTTATTTTGCAGTCTCTAGCACTATACATAGCGTGTTTATGTCACGATCTCGATCACCGCGGCAAGAATAATGCATATATGAAATCGATGAGTAGCCCATTGGCATCAATTTATTCAACATCAGTGATGGAACATCATCATTTCAATCAAACTGTTATTATTTTACAACAGGTCTTCTTTCTTCCTTTTTTCAATTTCCGTTGTGTATAGCAATTCCGATTTAATTAATCGCCTTGTGAGATCATTGTAGCATATTTCAGGTTGGACATAATATTTTGAAGTCTTTCTCCTCAGAAGAATACAAGGAAATATTGGGTATTATTAAGCATTGCATATTAGCTACTGATCTGGAGGTATTCATTAGCAATAAAAGGGAAATGGAAGCAATTCTAGCTGATGGTAATTTCAATTGGGACAATGCAGATCATCGGTAAGCACATCTAGCATTGAAGAATTGAAATTTGCTAAATGCTTTTCTATTCCAAGTGTTTTCAAAGAGATAAATTAACATTGAGATGAATCATAAAAGTAAATATAGCGAATGAAGATGTCATAATTACAAGCCAAAAGTAAATGATAACGGATGATAAATTAGGAGCAAAAGACGAATTCTGCTAAAACCTTTACAAATCAATCAACTTTCAACCAGTTTTAGGTTTTTAATGAAAACTATTTTGATGACTGGCTGCGATGTGATTGCCGCATCGAAGCCATGGCCTATTCATACTGAAGCTGTCAAAACAATATTCGAGGAATTTTATGAGCAAGTTAGCGACTTTGTCTCTCTAGTATCCACCAATTTCGCATAATTATTTGATATGCCCTTAGGATTTTCAAAATCTTCAAGCAAAAAAAAAGTTTCATGCAGAAAACGACTTATCAGCCGATCCCATTGAGGGAAGGGATTTAAATTATGCTGTAAAACGACTGAAAAACAATTTCTTTTACACCACTTGAAGTTAAACTTGAATACCTTGTCATATAATACCTACCTTCCGATAGAGATTAATTGGTTGCTCACAAATTTAGTGAGAAGTAAAAATGTGAGTGATATGATCAATTGCAGATGGAGCAATTGACGTTATAAAAACTAAACATCTATAGGTCCCGAGGTTATCAGTAATGATTAATTGATCTTTAGTATTGGCTACAGTCCATCACTCCAATCTTCAGGGAGATGAGGAACGAAAAAATGGACAAGATCCGATTGCAATGATGGATCGAGAAAAGGTAAATGAACTACCGCAGATGCAAGTAACTTTCATGAAGTATATCTGCATTCCGTGTTATGAACTGATCGTCACGACGATTCCCGAATGTCAACAGTTGCTTGACCGCTGTTTGTGAGTACACCGAACTCTTTAATTGCCATTCACAAAACAAACTACCACCTTTCCTTCCACAGAAGTCTTAAAATGACATAACTAATTAGTAGAAAAGAGCGATCGTGATATTGCTGATATAACATTGACATTTAAGGTACAACATGAAAAAGTGGCAGGAATTAGCTGATGAGCAAAAAGGCGAAGATGAAGAAAGAGTGATTTAACCGATCTTTTTGCATACTTCTATATAACTAAAAAGGCATCATTCTTTGCTTCCAAGAATTGTAGCATAATAGAAATCGATGTTTCATCAATAATCATTCTGATTTGACCTTATCAGAAATTGATGCACAATAAATTAGCATAGTCACATTCTTAGTGATGAATAAATGTCATGTAATTCAAATCTAACAAGTTCAAACGTATCTTACATATTTAATTCATCTATTTAACATATATTCTTCTAATTGTTAGCTTCATGATGAAGAATTCAACAGCCCATAATAGACAAGCTGAATTCTTGGAATGAAGCAACGACACAACAATAACAAAAGTACTAATACTGCTGATCACAACGATGATAAGATTTAAATTAACATATACGGGTTCACACTTACTGGATCTAGTTTTGTTAAGTGCTGCACCCGTCAGTACGGATTAACAAAATAATGCATACCATACGGTGCTAAAAAAATGAAACAAGGCCTAGCATTTGAAACTAGATTATTGGTCATCAAATATCAAAGAGGAATAAAAATATAACAATATCAATTTCTAGCATCACATAGACAAGGAATCAAAGAATAAGAATAAGGCCCAGTATAAAAGTAGCGAATATTACAGATGGTTATTGTATCTCTTCATTTCAACTGCTTACTTCATCAAGTCTTCACCCAACTGACATATGGGACATGTTTAAATGGTTAATGCAATTTATCCAATGATTCGTCCTATTATGCTCATGAATTAAATTGTGGTATAGTTAGCTAATTTCAACATGCTTAAGTTTGATTTCTGCACAAACTTATGGGGAATATGTGAAAACGGGGAATATGTGAAAATGAATGAAGATTTGGTCATGTTACGTTGAACAAATTAAAGATGAAGAAAGAAAAAACATCACCAAAAACTATCATGTTTTGACAATTAGTTTAAAAAAAGCAATTAAATTTAACCGCTTCGCATTTTTAAGGAGATAAAGTTTATTCACCATTTTAACTAATTCTTTTCTAGTAGATTGCTTAGAGCATATAGATTGGTGATGCGATGTACAATCATATAAATAAATGAATTTTTATAAATAAATGAGCACCAGTGCTCCCACCCAATAAAGTACAGACAAATCAATGTTAGATATATTATATATTGATGCAATGTTGCGCTCAGGCTTATTTCATAAAAATAGAGAACAGAAGAAAGATTGCTTCCTCAAATCCATCTTTGAGAGATGTATTATGTTAGACTTATAAATTAATTAATGTACTGGCGCAACTGTCCTTAATCTACTTTCCTTCTCCAGCTGTTTTCGTTCACGTTCAATTTTCGACTTAATAGCTTTGATCTTTTTCTTGATTACAGCACGATCAGAATGATTCTGAATACCCATTGCCTGAAACAATAATACTGCGAGAGAAATTTTGGACGATAATTAAAATTAAATCTCCTAAATTAATTTTCTTTTTCGATGCATTCATTGCATACAAGTATGCATTTTTCTGATAACCTGTATGCAATGAATGCATCAGCACATTTCACAGGAAATACTAACTAATATACGCTTCTATTATTATTATTATTTTTTTTAAATAATATCAATCTCGCTTATTACATAAAGATTATTACTTCATCGTATAAAAATCGCTCATTTTGTTTTGAAAAAAATTTTATTTCTAGAACAAAACACTATCCAGCTATTTCATAACCATTTTGACGTGATTGAATTCTAATTAAAAATAATGAGTAAAGAGCGGCAACATTATCGTACGAATGTTGTGAAGGAAAAAATAAATATTTTGAAAACAAACACTTTCAGTTTGCGTCATTCTTTTCATTTAAATTGGAATTCATTAAAAAATTTGTAGTAATTTATAACAATGCCATCAGGTTTTAATTTAAATGTTTAGATGAAGCCTTCGTTAGTAATTAATGATGAGAATAATTGCGATTTCTCTATTTTAGAATAAGAATGTTTCTATGGTTACAGTAAAGAAAATCCCCAATCCAAAAACTGATATCAAGTGCATACGGCAGACTCATAATATGAGTCATATTAAATCAAAAAATTGGAAATATGGATAAATTCATAAATTGACTTGAGAGATATGCTTGGAAATGTAGAAATCGATATGAATTGAACCCGAATAGACAATAGATTTTACACTGAAGCCATTCATGAAAATGCTTGAAAATCCGCATTATTCAGAGAAACAGATTATGATACCATAATTGACTCTTCCTCACAATATCACAGTACAAATGTTGATAGCAGAATTTTTCCACATTTTGTATTACGAAAAATTACAGCATTTCCAAGTAGATTTAGACTGACAGGTAAAAAATCAATCATAAATATATTGTTGCAGTGCATATGCAAATTTCATCAGAGTTCTAATTTTATGAGTAGTTTTTGATTTTAGTTTAATTAACTTCTTAAACTAATTTATTGGGTTAAGTTTCTAATCATGCTTAACAGTACGTATGAAAAGCTTTTTTCTTGCGGAAATCTCTTTACATGAGTAAGAAACTTAAATTTTGAGATGTATTGCCTTGGAATTCCCATTTGCCCTTCAACATTCAGTTTCCTCTATTCACAATGATTTGATGAAAGAGAGACAAAAGTTTTAAATGACCACACAAGTAGTGCGCGATACTTTTTTTAGAATGATTAATAGATGTTACAAACGAGATGTCATGCACCGAGATCAAAATCATACTACATTAGAAACATATCATCAACATCTCTGCAGTTCTTCACAGTTTTTGCAAAATTAATGTCATTTTCAATGGTAAAGAGACTACTATTTTGCTAACTTCAAATAGTGAAATTATCATTTTTCAAATATAACAAGCTTATCTTCCCAAACAACTTTTAATACCATTTAATTCATTATTGTCCCAACTTATCAAATAGACAATTCATTAAAAAGAGTTTCAAATATTTGTAAAAAGGATATCTAAAAATAAAATAAAATTTGAAGTCGGATGCAAAAAAGTTTTAGAAGTGTACAAAAAACACGGAACAAAGATGAAATTTTAGAGTGTAAAACAAGAAAACGGAAATAATAAAATAATAAATTTCGACTACGAATGTGATAAATGACCACTGAACACAAGTGGCGACAGTTTCACACTGTTGATAAATCTTTTTTTCCTTGACCCTACCGAGATGATGCATCATAAAAAATGAAGTTAAAAAAAGGACTACTTAGTGTTATTGAGGACTATAACTACGCCTCGGACTGAAGTTTAAAATGAAATATATAAATCAAAATCAATATGTATATAAATGATAAATTATTTCGAAACGAAAAAATAATTAAAATAAGCTAGGTGAGGAAGGAATTGGATAACAGTTGCAAACGCCACTGTTATTATTACTTTTAAAAAAGTTCAGGGAAATTCAAACCTCGATATATTTTCTGTGAAATGGCGCTCAGTTGTATTTTTAGTCCGAACATTGCTTTTTTTAGCCAAGAAACTGTCTCAAGAGAAGTTAGTTCTTTCAACAAATTACAGCTGAAATTACCTTCAACTTGTTCCCATCCAAGTCCAGAAATTTGGTACCATTAACTTGATTAACGGTAAATTCAGGAATGTACTTATCCAAACCCATTTGAATCAATAGCTGACAAACATCATCACATGTCCAATGCAGCACCTGGAGCCCCTTAATGATATTTACATTTATCAAATTTTGTTGTATATCGCCTTGACTTTTATTTTTTTATTCATTATTATTACTTCTGCTTGTGAAACTCAACTTTCTGTTATTCTTCATAACATTTTACAAAAATCTATTGAAGCGCAGCAGCGTTTATATGGCAGTAATACTAATATATCCATTAAGGCTAACTTACTTAAACTTCTGTACCCAATTTCCCCCATTTTCTAACCTTAAAAAATTTTTATAAATAGGTGATTTCAAGGCATCTTAGAATGATTGCTAAATAAATTATACGAAGTGATACGTATCAAAAAAAAAAATTTTGTCTTTCGATTTTTTTTTTTTTTGACTTCAACTCATCCAATTTAATTTGCTATACAAATACAATTGCAAATTACCTGAATAGACTGAAACGTATCGCGCCAGAATTCATGCTCCGCTGAAACTACAATTTTGATTTAATATCAAGGAACTGAGTAACCTTTTTCCTTCATCTTAATATCATTTCATTCATTTTTCAACCAAACTCATTACAATTAGTATTGATTTATGCAAAGCAGCTTTTGGAAACTTCTCCTGCAGCCAATAATTGTTTTTAAATATTAAATATTTTATATATATATATATAAAAGTTACTTGTGATATAACGCCTCCTTAACGGGAATAATATTCTACGATGAGCGAATTTATGAAGCACAGCTGGACTAGCTGGTTCCGAGATCCGTGGTATCGGGCTGTCACGCGATGATTTCTGCTCATCAGATGCGTCATCTGCAGCACTTTCACAAGCGCTCTCTGTACCAGTAACACGACGATATACTGATGTCGATGCTGATTTACCAGGCTGGAATATTGAAGTGATCCAAGGAGAGATGTATGTAACGGATAGGTATAACCACAAGTTGACAACACCTTTTTTCTACCAATCCATGTTTTTTTTTTTTTTTTTTTCATCAACTACCAGTCACTCTAAACTCTGAAACAAAGAATACCCAAATATGAAATATTACCAAACTGGAGGTCTTAATAGCGAGGATTTTGGAAGATTTTGTAGAGTCATGGTCCATTGGGCATGTAGGTTTATAGGCTAAAGCCGGACTGACATCTCGAGCTGCTAACTGCTCTTTCAGTTCCGATAATTCACCTTCCATCACAGTCGTTCGTCTGAAATACTTTTCTTCCCATTTACACATTTATATGGTTTTTTTTTCTGTTTTCTGATCTAATTCGTCTTAGTCAGTAGATGCATATAAAAGGATGAGGCCAATGAGGCATATTATCCGATTAAAGTAGAATAGTATTTAAGAAAGATGCATACCTCTGTGCCATCTCATCAAGTCTTCTTTCTAATTCTTCAATACGTTCCTTAAGCTGACTCACTAGAGCACTATAGTGAGCATCCTTTTGGCGCAACTGATCCACGTGCGCTTCTTCGCGTTCCAACAGTTCTTTTTCTCTGTGAATTAAAATTAAGTAAATGATGCCAAGAACCTCAAAAACTGCTATATATTAAATGCTTCTTCTTTCGAGCTTACTGGAATGTTAGTTTTCCTAAGATTAAATATCATGAACTATATAGGCTTGCCTGTTCTTTATCTTTACACCACTCCTTGACTACTGCAATTTAATAACTAATTTAAATTCTATACATGTAAGTTAATAATTGTTTACATCAAATTCACAATCACAAAATCTATAAAACTAACCTTTCCTGATAACTTCGCAAAAGTTGATTTGCTTGCTCATATTTACTTTCAAGCATGGCATAGTGAGCCCTCGAACTTTCCAAGATCTCTTTCATCTGGTCAGCTTTTTTTTGTGATTCACTAAGCTCCACTTCAAGATCATCTATGCGTTTCTGAAGCATCAAACATCTTATAATGTCTAAGTTTGTCTGTTAGCAAGAAATAATATATAATATAATATTTTTGCAACATATCAAAACAAATTATAAGGTAAAAAGATCGACACCCTAATTTTCCGTTCTTCCTTCAAAATTGTCGGTTCTTCACTGTCATCACTATCAGCTTCATCCTCTTCTAACTCTTCTGCTTCTCGGAATCGATCTGCCTCCAATGACTGCCTGATGAGCTGTGCAACTTCACTCTCCTCCAAATTGTCCTCTCGACCTATTGTAAAGACTACCTGAAATAATACTCATTCCAAAAACAACCACTAAAATACAACTAAATAGAACACAACATGATGTATACGAAATGCTAACCTCACTTCCAGTAGCTCGTAGAGTTTCAGCAGCGAAAATTTGGCTTACACCCACCAGACTGACTCCATCAACACTTACAATCTGATCACAGACTCGAATTTGGCCGTTACGATGAACCGCTCCACCAGGCGTTATACTCTTCACAAATATTCCCAACTTTTCGAGACCAGAATCAGCGCCCACTCCCATACCGATAATAGACACCTGTATAGAAAAACCCAAGTAAAAAAAAACCAAGACAATTCTAAATCTTAAACAATATATCGATAATAAATTATACCCCCAGCCCTTCAGCGCCTTTCTTCAGATGAACATCGAATATTTGCATTTTATCAAGGCGTCGTTCCAGTTCGTATTCAGCGCATGATGCTACCGGATCAATCTCGTCGTTTCGACGGTCGTAATCTATGATGCTATGTGTCGAGAAAACCTAAAACTATAAATGCTAAATATAGAAATACTAGAATATATAGGTATATTTGACATTAATTTGCACATCTTGTTCTTTTTCGCTATTATGACTGCCAAACATATGGATAAGCTGTTTTTCGTATATGAAGTGAATTGCTTCCTATTCTCATCAAAACCTGAAATAAACCTGATTCCTTCCACACAAAAACAGTAACCTTGATCGGAGCAGTACTGAATGAGACTTTTCGACCAACAACATCGAATTCGGGTGAAAGTCCTCGTATCACTTCTGCAACTCCCGATAAATCGCCATTTGAACCATTTCTCATACCAGAAGAGCATTCTTCCAATAATACATTAAAGCCGGTTGTGTTTCCAACTTCAACGACATTTCCTTGCAACAGATCATCATCATTCTTCTCTGGTTTACGTTTTACAAGCGCATACGTAGTGTGCTTCACAGCTTGTTCCTAAAAAGTATTTTGGATAGGATACATCAAAAACTGTTGATCGAATATCATTCACTATGAATTCAGAACTTAATTGCCTCAAATCACTTTAAAAGATCTGTGCAGAAGCTTCCCTAGAACGGCGTAAATGGTATTGAAGTTTAAAAACACATTTTGAAATGTTAGCTGATATATTTGATTTTTTAACTAGGAAACTATGATGGAAATAATAAAAATAGGCCAAATTTCGATAGAAAAAAGATTATCAGTTAGTAAAAAGTTAGTAAACATAGGTTATCAGTTAGTAAAAAAAAAAAAACAGTTGTAGACTTCTTTTTCTTATGAAGATTTTATGAAGAAATCGTTCTTAAATCTGTAGAAAGTTTTCATGATGAAAGCTTCATCTAGCAAACAAGCATTAGTTGGCTTTACGTCAGCTTAAGCATTTGAACGTTGGCGAACTTAATTCGAAATCCGAAAACCAAAATTTTGACAAATGAATAGGCTGGTATTTTATTATTGGAGAACAAATAAGCGAATTTTTTTTCACTTGATATGTTTATCGCTTTGAAAGGAAAAATAAACAGTTTATTTCTTCACCTTATCATTTTCATCCTCTGCTACTAGATTAATCGCATCGGCGTTTTCAATGCTATCACTATCACATGCTTCATTCGTGGATAGGCTTTCTAAGCCACCAAATCGCCGTTTATAGAATGAGGGGTCACGCCAATAAGGTTCATAATTGGCCTTTTTGGTAGCTACTGAATCCAATGCGGACATTGGAGAACTGTAAAGTAGTATTTTATGTGAGAAAATTTTAAATAAGAGCAACAGACCAATTCCTGGGAAATAAGTAAATAATAATGGAAATAAGTTAATAAGAAAGCAAACAGAATGATAGTCTGATTACCTTAAAGAGTCAACCCCGTTAATTCTTGTAGCCAGAGTGGAATGTGTTGTAGATAAGCGATCCAAATCAGATGCTAATTCCGAAAAATTGTGCGTAACCTGAAATTTATTACTAAGTAAGTAAGGTAAGATTAATAGGAGTGCGGCTGTCATTAATAAAAGTCATTAGTAGCAGTATAGCAGGGTTATGTTGACCATTTTGTTTTTCAAAGAATAGCACTGGTAGCGATGAAAATGAAGTAAAAGTAGAAAAATGGATGAGATTTAGCTGTGAGAGTACGCATGCCTTAGGCAACATAATTAGAGCTAAAGCATAAAGCAGATAATAAGGGTCAGCTGATAATAGCCAATGCTAAAATGTAGCAGCATTAGTAGTGAAAAGAGAGGACGATGATGTGCTGTGAAGAATGTAGTTTTTATATGAATCGAAGTTGGAAGAGGAGGGTGGCAGTTCGATTGCATATTCCTACTGGGAACAACCAATAATCCCTCATGGTAGTCACCCAGAAGTGAAAGGAATAGGAAGCTCTCAAAAACTTCCTATCAATCAATCTTTGCATAAATTGGGATGTAAACACCTGTTCTTTAGTAGGTTTGAAAGAATTCTGGATTATTTAACCAAAATTAGCCTGAATTCGAGAAGAATTTCGATGATAGCTTGATGAGCTTTGAGATGATATAAGGTGCAACTTGGAGACTGTTCTGACTTTTGACTTTTTCTAAATTTCTCTTACTCAATCATGCAAATAATATCATAGGAAAATTCTCAAATAAAAAGAAAACTCTCAAATACATTACCGTATTGTAGTTTTCGCGCATTCAATTAAAATTGCAGCGCTTTTTGTTGATAGATTTAGATTAGAACAGTGTTTAGTAGCAAAAAAGATAAGTGAGTTGAGAACATTAATGACAAAGCGATCAGTGGGAATAATTGTTAAAGAGAAATAGGGTCAACTGGATCTACATACAGTGTATGGATTGACCAGTAGTTTCCACTATTTCCTTCATCTCATCAATTTAAAGAAAGAAATAAAGATCAAATAAGGAAATCTCTTTTCTTCCTTTTCCTCATCCCGGATTACTCAGAGTAAAGACATGAATATGATATTCAGGACCGGATAGGAATACTCCTGAATGATGGGAGTAATTCAGCAACATATTCTAATGTGCTTATTTGTGGCTTCACTATGATCAGGAATATACACGCTGCGCTTAACATATGGAATCAAAAAAATTCTGTTGATATAGACAAAAATAACATTTTTTATCAATTAAAAGCTTTGCATGATTAATGTCTAACAGCAAGAGGTTGAAATAATGTCAACAATTTTATGACTTCTTCATTTATTTCTAAATATTTTTTTTCAACTTAAATAATTAAACTATTACCAGTAGCCAATATCATAAATGGGATTGCCTATCTACTTCGTTTGCGAAAATTCGAACCTGTGATAATGGTGACGTTGGACATTGAGCGCTTGGCTTTGGCGGTAAGGGTGGAGGAGGTGGTCGAGACGTTCGGGATGAGAAGTAGTAAGGTGACTGTTCAGCTCGCTCCAACTTTTCGAATAGTGCCTTGGTGTGAGTGAACCTGGATCTTGCATCCTCGCACAAATCCAATTCTGGTGGTAATACTGACATTTTGGATAATTAGATAAATAACTTGAACAATTAAATAGAATTCAGTTGAGACTGGTGAAATTTATCTTCAAAGTCTCAAACTTCTGAAATTTGGGTTGAAATTAATAAGAGGAGAGCAGGATGGGGAATAGTAATATGATAGTATCAGTGATATAAGTAGTGGTAGAGTGATGCAATGATGATAGTAGTAGTGGCAACAGTGGTAATGGAAATTAAATTTGAGAACAAACTGTCGATGTGCAGTGATTGCTGCTGATGCTGAGAAGAGGTGAGATGTATGAGAAGGAACGAACGTATCGGGAAAGGAATGGGCGGGGGAGTTCTAGGTCAAGAGTGACAGTGTATGAAGGACGGCATTAGCAGCTACAGAATTGTTGCGGGTACGGACACGGATGTTGGCTGCTGTAGAGGGTAGACAAATCACGGGAAGGATAAAAGTAATGTAGGCGACCTGATGACCAATTTCAGACACATCGGTCAGTATACATCATAATAATATTTTACATGTAAGGGGGAGAGTAGAGATAAATAATAAATATTACTCTCTTCTGATCCTTTCACTTCTTTAATATACTACACAAGAAGGATCAATTGACCACTTTATAATAGCAGTGTAATTTCAAAACAAAAATGATACCGGAACTCAACAAAAAGAGTTCTCCCAATAAACAAGTAAGACTGCCTAATCACGAATGATATGGCAAATCTCAGATCGTAATCAAAATACAGTCGTTCTTATTTCGTCAATGCTTCGAATTTCTTGTCGTAAAATCAAAATTTCATTAATTCGTTCCCGTTGCATAAGGTATCTGTAAATAAGATTTATTTAAAATATCTCATATATGATAATAAATGAAAATTATTTCAAGAGGACTATCGAAATGCCTTCGATTGCCCTTCTCCCCTTCAATCGTCTCCTTTCTCCCTTTCTCTTGATATATTTATATATCAATAATTAATTATTGCGGGGAAACATGATAACCCATAGAATAGTGAAAAGTGACCTAATGGTAGGAACAGTTCGATAAAGAATGGTAAGGATGATATCATTGCTAAAAACAGTGCAACAATAGTACTATTTGACACTTTTAAAGAATATGCATTCTTGCATAAAAATGTGCAGAGATTTAGTTTTTTAATTTCTTACTACTACACAGATTCTCCTACAATTTTTCTGCTACTCGAATAAATGCATGCAAACGGATCCAGTCACATGCATCTCCGAACGTGCAGGCATGTTGATCGTTTCATTGCCGAAGATGTAAAAATTTAGGTAAACTTAACGATTAAATGACACTTAAAATTGATATCATCTCTATTACAAATAGACTTATCAAAGAGCACAAATAAAGTAGGTTCATCTCATCATCCGTAACGGAAGTACTAATGAAATTAGCAAGGAAAAAAGGCGAAAGTGGTCTTTCATTTCAAACGATTGACGTGAGGTGAAATGCTAGCAAGAATAAAGAATGCCAATTCTACCATACTACCTGAATTTAGAAATTTAGTAACGGATGAAAATTTGAAGAAGAGACAAACTGAGAGGTTATTTGATCCCAGACTGAAAGAAAATCTCTCCGGTAAATCATCAAAAAAGGATAAATGAGAATGGTACTGTTTCATATTAATTTAGCACTGAGGAAAGATTTCAGTAATATTGCAACAAACGAACCGTTCATCAATCAATTAACAGTGTACAAAGAAAGAAAAAATTGCAAAGTCGTTGTTGCTAAGTGAACAATACACGGTCAATGAACTTTAACCTTGAATTGATTCGCAATGGAAGTTCAAAAGTTTAGTTTTTGGTTAAAATGAGCATACTATACATTGAGTGTCTCATGAAGCAAAACAGAGAAAAATTAGCTTATTGACATATCCTATTAAAACCAATTTTGAGCAATTATTTCTCGAATTAGACCATCCCTATTCAACCAATAATTTAAACAACACTATTAAAGGGAAAGTTTTTAATAGTAAAAGGATAGTAAAGTCAAGGCTGAAAAAATGATGGGAATGGTTCCGGAAAACGAAACGATCCTTACTAAGAGACACTATATAGAAAGAATTATAGAAGAAATTTAATATCACTTTTCCCTTCTGAACTGAACCAAATCTATCCCAACCTCAAATTCAGTCTCAGTAGTAGTAATACAATATCACCATTCTGCATAGTCTGTTTTATTCAAATTGAAATGGACCCTCCTGTTAATAATGTCGCATGAAAGACATGATTTATTTTTCTCTTTCACTACTACTATTTGTGTGTGTGTGTGTGTATGTATGTGTGTGTATGTGTCTGTATATGTGTGGCATGTATGTATGTTGTATATAAGCGTATATGAACATGTGGGTATGTGTATATATATATATATATTTATTTATTTGTATCAGAGTGGCACCATTTCGTACTGGATCACTTAAAACTATGTGTGGAGAACTTCTGTTAATTTGGGAGGACTCAACTGGTTCAGTATAGGGGATTTTTCTGATTTCAATCTTATTGTATTTATTAGTGAGAGTAATTCGAATTGCTGCCAAAGAGAAGAAAAGAAGGACATGCATTCGAGCGCTCTTTCACGAGAATTCATGGACGGAATTCTCAAGAGCAGATCTCTCCGTACGAATTCCGAGATATTTCATGTGTAGCCTTGTCGTGTTTTTAAAAAGAACAAATCACGAAAGGGACCAGTCTGGGATTGATCAACAACTTCGTGGAATCTAACAGCAGGAAACATTCTGACCATGATACAGTTCTAACTGTGATCAAAGAGAGTAGATGATAAAACACGAGAGACAGAAATTAGTTTGTTCAACTAGCAAGATGACACGCATTCTAACTCGTTTAAAAGTGACAACAAACAGTTTGAGTCTGTCTCGACATGTGAGTTACATGTTGTATATAGGCAAGAAGTCTTGACCTCTAAAAACTAGCACAAATATGAGCCAAACTATGGTAACCAAGAGAGCCATTTAAGAATTGAATTGCAATACACCATCAAGCTTAACGATTTGCCGAACAGTCGAATTATGCTACTAGATTGACAAAATAAAAGTACCAAAGAGTAGGATATGAATATGGAATGGAATAGAGGGACTGGATAGTGATTGTGAAAATAAAAGAATGAATGAATAAAATGAACAGCTTGGACTTATGGAACAAGCACAACGGGCAGGCATTTATTCATTCATCCTATAACTAAGCCCGCACTACTACTCCTTCCAATGGTTAGTTGCTTGCTATTTTCCTGATCGATTTGTACACTGCCTGCCTGGGTAACATTCTTCGCATATTCAACAATGCTAATTTCTTGTTATAATGGCCAGTGGCCTTTAGTGCACAATTACTAGCCAATATAAGCAATCTACAACCATAAAGACTGCTTGTATACTGACCAGAAGTTGGGATTCTTGGCAATGTCTCCCAAAGTAATAGCTCTGAATAACAATATAATGAAATATGTCCTCAACACAAAATACAATCACTCTGGTATGTCGAGCTCCTACTAAAAAACAATGATCGATTTCGGATTTCCGGTAGCCCGACTAATTGCAGTTGGAAAGTAAAGTCACACTGTTAATATCTGATGATGCCAAAGTATGTGTTTGATGAAGTATTTTTAACCGATTTGAACAAGACTGCGACGGATGTATTATATGTGGTAGTTTAACCTTCTTCCGGCACTATGTGACGTATTTATACATTCATCTACCCTTCTTTTTACCTGCCCTGAACCGGGAAATGAGCTACATCAAATGAACGAACAACTCCAGTAATTTTCAATTCGAAAAGACAAGTTTTAATTAGAGATTTCCTGAAAGCTCTTTCCACTGGAAAATAACCAGCCCTTGTTCCGTGTTTTTTGATACACACACTCCTCCATCAATCTCACTGAAAAATCTTCACATTTTGAAATGTAGTGAGAACACACACTCTGAGATACTTTCTATCAACTGTCATTGATGTATGTTCTTTTGATATCGACAGATCAACTATGTCACACAACAAAACACAAACGTACATTGTGATCAAAACTTCGCTCTTCACTTCACCTCATTAATATTATTTTAGTACTGTCTCAGGAAAATGATTCTTACCATTTAGAGAAAATTGATTCCATTCTTATTTGACATAAATGACAGGAGGTAAGATAATATGTTAGTAGCTCATAGGAAAGAAGCTCGGATCTTGGCAATCTTAATTATATTATTTTAGTACCATCTCAAGAAATGCAGCTCATATGATCTCAAGAAATTATAATATGACTAGAATTTCATAAAACACTAGATTAAATAGCTTATTACTTATGGAAAGCTATACAGTTTACTTTCAAATTGAATTGAACTGAAACACCATTATTTAAAAGTAAAATATCTATTAAATTTGAAATAATTAAAGCTCATTTTAATAATCTGAATGAAATTCCATACTTCTTATGACTTTTTCTATACAAACTGAGCAGTTCAATTAAATAAAGAATAAAAGAAACTAGCTGAAATGAAATGAGGAAATGATGTAGAGAGGTGGCAGAAAGGGTCTGATTTATTGCATCCATAACAGGGAATGGCAGAACAAAAAGATCTATTTTTCCTGTTTGCCTTCCCAAGAAATACACCTCTCATTTCTTCTCTTCTTTTAATCTATGATTCTAGGTTAATTAACATTCCGAGAATAGATCATTTTGTAATTCTCCATATTTGATTTTCATCCAGACTTAAAAGAATTTTACAGTAGGGAAGAGGTATTAAACCTGTATTCTCTCAACCAATACCACTATTACATTACAAGTGTATCATAAATTTATGGAAATGGAGTTTGTAAAGAAAAGAGATTATAAGGACTTGATAGGATTTACAGACGGACTATAAATGCAAAGAAAAGCGAGGCTAGTGATCAATAATGTAAGCGTATGACGAGATGCATGCGACGGAAGTTGCAGCGTCTGCATATGAATTGTATAATCACTATATTTAGTATTTTTTTTTTCTAATAGATATATATATCCGGGGAGAGAGAAAGAGAAAGAAATAAATGGAGGAAAAAAGAAGGAATTAATTTTTCACTTCAGTATTCCTACAGAAAATCATTTTAGTGCACAAAGTCGCTTTGGTTTCTTAACGTATATCCAAAGATAGCTAAGGATAGAGCACGGACTTAATATCTAGGTGTTTTCTGGGCACATGAAACATTACTTAGTACATAAAAGGTTCCAAGTAGGAAAATTAACGGATGGTCGATAAATGATAATCATCTAAAATGCCATTCAATGTAATCAGTAAAAATTAAAAAAGTAAATGAAACGGTGGTAGAGATGCAAAAAAAGGAAAAAAAACGCAAAGAGTAGCTCTCACTGATGTGATGCATTTGTTGATAGCAAAGTGATTTTGTAATTTAAAGTACTTAAGTAGTTCAAAGTATACCTATTCATGTCTATTATATTCTGGATGGTTTGTCAAAATTTGTAATAATTTCATTATCTTACCGATCAAAATAGTGGGCGAATTGTAGACTTTTCTTTGCTTTTCTGGTTGGGATTACTTCAATTTATTATTAGTTTACCATTTCCCTTACCTTCTGGAATGCACTCAACTTTACGTATTAGCAGTATCAAGCAAGTAATTCAAAAGATATCAGGAAGACATATACTGGCAGAATGATAAGGTGGGATATCTCCTTTACTTGTTTATTCATAAAAAATCACTGGAAAGATGAAATGTCGATATATTTCACAAGGGTCAACCATTTCTCCATCTAAAAAGTAGGAGACTGAAGGTAACAGAGACGAACTATGTTACTGCGAAATGCTCGTAAAAGTGCTCAAATGCAAAATTATGAATGTAACATGTGATAGTGCAAGTGATTAATTCTGAGAAATTTGTTTAAGCTAGTCATTCTTCTCCCGGAAAATACCGAATATTCTGAAGAAATAAGCGTGAGAATTCGAGAGCTTCTCAAGTTAAAGTCATTTGTCACTTAAATGAGAGTTCTGATATCCAAAACAAATACAATAATTATTTCTCGTACCTCCTTGAATCCCCTCAACCCGATATTTCTACTAATTCCTCACACTTTCCCCACTGAAAAGAAAGTACACCGTCGCTCTGCTACACTTAAATTCTCTCGCACTACACAATACCAAAGTGTCGCGCTGCATTTTACAAATTGGCCGTCTGCCAAATCCCAAGATTCTTCAATTTCCTTAGGTTTTCTAATGAGGGGAAGCTAATGTTGTTGTTGTTGTTGGGCCTTTGTGGGCTAAGAGAGTGCAGTAATAGCATCGCTGCAGAACTGCAGGTGTAACATCAGTTGCATATCGATTAGTGATTAGTAATACTGATGATCATTTCAGTACAACCATATCTTGCAGGCCTAGCAATTAACATTTTGCTGAGCAAAGCCTTGTTTGCTTTGGTATACTGTACTTGACATGTCACTCTCCGTTCGGGTCCTCTTGCTCTGTTTTACTGTGAACTAGGGAAGGACTCACTAGCAATCAGGTCTCTCTCTTAAGTTCATATCTTTTTCTCTCTTTCTCTCTTCCCCCTTTCTCTCTCTCGACTTACTTCCAAAGTTTAATTCCTTTCCAAATTTTTGCCTCTACATGGTTGTATGGAGAGTGCGTGTGCAGCTGTGCACGTGAAATGTGTTTTCATTTTCAACTTACTCCCTTCTATTACTGCAGCGCATTAAGCGCACCGAGTATATAGGTCTTGTAGGTATTATAAATGCTAATGCTATCTTTCATAGCCATTATTACCATTTTTCACGCCCTTTATACTTTTATCTTTTGATTCATGCCACTATCACTGTTCTTTCTGATAGTAGTACAACTTTCTATTTCGTTCAAATTTATAGGTATACTCTGGATTTCGTGACTTGCGTGGAATAGTCATCGCGTCCCTGCACCTCTTGAGGACAAAAAGATGAGTGGTAACAGCAAGTAAGTTTTCATATCTTTGACTGAGATGAGCAGGAAATTCTGAAGTCTTTGCTGAGTTTCCTTTTTCTTCGTGGATTTTTGAAATAGTTTCGAAAAATTATTGCAAATTTCCACGAGAAATGGTAATGCTTTTTATATTAAGTGGCAATGCTGTAATTCCATGTCGAAATGATGGAGTATTGGTTTCCGTATAAAAATAGTAGAGGGTTGTTTGTTTAAACGCTAATTTTAACTCATCTGAGTATCAGGAATTATTCTTGGAGGATTAATTCTTCTATATGCTGTTCAAATTTTCAAGTATAAATGGATGTGAAACGACGTTACAGTTTGCTTGCCATATTTTTTACTTAACCGAAATTCAATATCGGTAAAATAGATCTGTATGCACCTTTTTCCCTTACCGTACTGATGTTGGATTGCTTTATTAGACAGCCGTTCATTCTCATTCACTTCATAATGTAATGCTTTTAAATATTTACAGTTATTATTCGGAGGAAACTAGAATAATTGCACCGGCAGCACGTACTAAAGTTGGTACTGCTGCACCGAAAATTTTTGGCAAAGAACTGCGAGACTTGGATGATGCTGACTTAGAAGGACTGCTGTCAAAATTGTCGCCAGAAGAACTCGAAGATCTCAATAGTGACTTCGATCCTGACGTAAGCTATCGTGTATTTATTGATTTCGTTTAATCTGTATCATCGATTTGGGAGATGAGTTACTGTTTGTTGTGATCTGTATGAAATAGATTACTGATTTAGCTAATAAGTTTTAGTTTTTCATAATCAGCATAAATTTAGTTTATTTAAAGTGCATTCGTATATTTTTTAAGACCATTGTTTTTTTTTTTTTTTCAGAATTCCTTACTTCCGCCATCACAACGATGTCGGAATCAAACCAGTAAACAGCCAACTGGACCTTATCAGAGAGATAAACTGCTGTTGTTCCTCGAGGAAAGTGCAAAGCAAGAAGAAGACTGGGAGGAATGGGTACCTTTTAGCCCAGGAATTAAACGAGGTTAGTTATTCAGATGAACTTAATAAGATAATAGCATTATCGTGTATCACTTAAGAGCTTCCGTTTTAAACTCACGTAGTAAATTGTAGTCTTTTTTAAAGACGGAAGAACGTTTTAGTTGAAATAATGTTTTTGAATTACTCACCACTATAAAAGAAGATTTCGGTGGGTACTTTTTCCAAGCTTTTTTTGCGAATAATTTTACGGATACACAATTCTGTTCTATCGCGACTAGTGAATTCACAAATTTCGACCTTAGCACAAATTCGGTAGCGTCATAAGAAAATAATAGTAATAACTGTTTTCGTTAAACAGTTATTACTGTATAAATGGACTAAAGTTTTATTTCGTTGTAGGAAAAATTTATGAGCCGAAAGAAAGTAGTGATAAGAAATCCGGTAAAATGGAAATGCCAATAGAATTGGATTTGGATGATGATGATGAAGACGATTTGGATGAAGCACTTCATGGAGCACCCGAAAAAGATCTCGTTGACTTGGCTGGTATTCTTGGGATGCACAATTTGCTCAACCAATCTCAATATTACAGTGCTTTGAAGGTTTGTATGTCATTATTACTCTCATAGTATTATGTGCCATTGTGTAATCCAATAATTGGATGTCCGCTCGTAACTTAAACGTCGGTGAAGACGAATAATGTTAAGTCATAACTAACGACATTTATTACTATGTTAAGCACTGAGATGTTTTCATTGCTGGCATTTTTAGTTTATGTTGTCATTGTGAAAATTAATGATGAATATGATCTGTTACATGTTCATAATCTGACTTGTAGGCTTTATATGATAGTTTTCCTTAATCTTTACCTTACGTTTAATCTTTAAAACTTTGATTTTTAAATGGACTCCATTTATGCTTTTCAGTGAAATGAACTGCGGTAGCAGGGCACGGAATGCTTAAATGAATATAGCATATATACAAAAGTTATGTTTGTGTATGAAAAAATCACAGAAAATTATTTTTTATATTTCAAAACAAATTTTATTGTTATGTTCTCTTCCTTTTGTATTTTTTTGTAATAGCTTCGTATTTCGATGAAGTAAACATTATCTTGTCAGTATAGAAGTAGAAAACTATCTTCTTGCTCAAGCTGCAGGGTAAAGGTCAGGATGAAACAACAGGAACTACGTTTAGCGGTGTTGTTAGGGCTTTCGAAGCGAAAATTCTTCCGGAAGAACCAGAAAATGAAACTGACGTTGATGAATGCATCAAGTAGGTTCATTCAACTTCTATAACATTTTTCGTATTCGAGGTTTTCATAATACAGGTTTTATTTCTAAATTCGAGTGTAAGTGAGAGCTTGATTTCACATTACAGAAAACTTGAAGCAAATGATGAGATGGTGACTGAAATAAATATCAACAACATGAAGCGAATATCAAAGGAGCGTATCAAGGCTCTCATTAAAGCATCCTGTGCTAGCAAGCACATTAAAAAGCTGTCGATGGCCAATACTGCTATTTCTGATCAAGAAGCTAGGGTAAGTGTGCTTTTATTTCATTATGCATACCTTTGACTTTACAATATTTGTTAGCCTACTAACAATTTAATGTCAGTCAGTAGTAAGCGATGGTGTAAAGTAGAGTAACATTTGTCGGTTTACACGCTCTACAAAACATTGGTGCGTCATATTTATTAAATTTTGATAGAATAAAGCAGTCAAAAAGCTGCTAGTAGAACAACAGTTAAATTGGATGGAAAATTAATGATGGATTACAGCATTTGCACTTCCTTCCAACTTTTATTACAATCACACTTTTTGACAGTTTTTATATGTAATAAGTAATCTATTTTGCGATACATTAATAAAATTTTTAGTATTTTTTTTAAAGTCTTTTTTTGATATTTTAAAATCTTTTTCAGTCCTCAGCATATTTTTGCGGCCAAAAACTAAATTATATCTTTAAATATTCTTTAGGGTTTGGTTGAACTGTTAGAAACGTCTCCATCGTTGCGTGTTCTGAATGTTGAATCGAATTTTATAACACCGGAACTATTGGCAAAATTGTTACGTGCTACGCTTGTCACCCAAAATCTGACTGAATTTCATGCTGAAAATCAAGTATTTTTTTCTTCTACACTGACTGTGAAAAAACTGAAGGAGTTATTTTCAGTTGTTTTAGGTTTCATTTTGTATTGGTAGCTGTCCTCACTTATTATTATATCTTTTTTCGGTGTGGGTCACAGTCAAAGTGTTCTACAACAAAGCAAAGCGTAACACCATCATGCTATATCACTTTTCATCAAATAGTAGTTGAAATTTTTTCTGCAAACTTTTAAATTACTTCCGAAATCATTTGTCGAGATCCACTTAGTTTGGTCTGAATAAATCCTTTCTTTCTGTCTGGAGAAAAATAGAAAAATGAACATTCCAGTAATTGAAATGTTTATTTACCTTCTCATTATATTTCATTGTCTCTTCCCATTGGTAGTAGTTTTCATTGCTTCATCCTAACTAAATTCATTTTTCCCGCAATACATTTTCTTCATTATATATAATGAGGAAAATGTATCATTGTGTTGTAATTCTTTTGAAATCATTCATTTCCAATAACTTCATTGTCTCTTCATTTTGTTTTCAGCGAGCAAGCGTGTTAGGAAATCAAATAGAAATGGATATGATGCTTACAGTAGAAGAGAATGAATCATTACTACGCGTTGGTGTATCTTTCCAATCAATGGAAGCACGCCACCGAGTTTCGGAAGCCCTTGAACGAAACTATGAAAGACGTTAGTTCCATTGTTAGCTTTATAGAATCTCTAGTTTGTACATCATCCATATTTGAGGTCTAGAACTGCCAAATTTTGTAAGGAAAATTACTTTTCGTTTTCAGTGCGACTTCGACGGCTAGGTAAAGAACCACAGGAATGACGAATGATATCGAGTAAATGGCTACATAAATGCTTCCATCTATTTGCATTGATATCTTTAAAAAGCTTTAGGATGCTGTACTGTCTTAGTATTTTTTCTTATTTCTGAACCGTCAAGAGCCTGACCAGTGAATGAAGCATGAACATTGACTTCCGGGTACAAAGTCAGTTGTATTTTCCGACACTTCTAATAGTCCGTCTGCTGATCTCTCTTGCTGTATTTTGACGAATTTGGACGAGAATGCGAACACACCAAGTTTTATTCTTGAATTTAGTGGTTAAGGTGCAAAAAATTGGAAGAGTTCAAGAACTTCAGAAGTTCTCTATTACTTTACTCCTTTTAAACTGACTCCATATTTTTGGTTACGAAACTCTTCTCGATGGAATTTAAGATGCATATAATTTTTTATAATGTGCTCATACTTTGTGTGACTGTGCGTTTCGCTGAAATGACGGTGGCAATTTATTTGTACGAGCTTTTTAGATTCTTTAAATTGTTTAAATTCGCATATCATATATGTCTGTTCCAGTTGCTTTTTTGCGGTAAAATTCATTGCGGTACTTACTGGGTTCGCTGGTCCATATTAAAATACTATTCTCCTTCAATTTGCAAAAAGTTAAAATGGGGAAATTTACTATCGTTTATTATTCGGCGAGAATTATAAAACGACTCCTTGGATTTTATATCAAATAGAATTTTATATCAAATAGAATTTTTATATCAAAGTTTTATATCAAATAGAATTTAGCCGCGAACTACCACGAACTCTATTTTTCTTAATACTTTATTTTCTCATGGCGAATCATTTTGCAAAGGATGGCATTGACATAGTGTATTGCATTTTATTAAACTGGTAGTGAGAGAAAATATTTTCAAGGCTCCCATTCGTAGAAAAAAAAAACCAAAATTCTTTTACCTTCTGGTTTCTTGTACGATGAAACCACAAAAATATGATCTTATAATTATAAGATGCCTCCTGTTATGCCACGGGTGATCGTCTTTGTATTTATTAATTGTTTTCTTTATATTTCTAAATTTCATGTAATGCTTTTTTTGTTTTTGTGTTATATATTTATGTATATGTATGTATGCATAGTGAACTGAAAACAGCAACAGGCAAAATTGGAAGTATGTCGACCAATATATAGATAATATACCTGATAAATACTTCTAATGATATGCCATTGCACTCGTGTTGTTACTAAAGACATTTGATTATACTGCTCCGGTGATGTATTATTCGTTCTATCTCTAAGTATCTGAGTTCCTCTATATCCGAACTGTAGTAAATACTCATCAGGTAACTGTTGAGAATTCCATATGGTAGATTTATACTGTCTAACCCATAAAAGTTTTGGAGAAAAGAATAATATCAAATTGGTTGGATTTAGAAACATAAACGTAAATATAAAAGTAATATTTATACATCGGGTACAGCTTATGTCTGATTAATTATATGACACAATGAAATGCAATGGTCACAATGAAATGTTTGTACAAAATTTATTTTTTATCCTATCAATGTTTAGATCATCACCATATTGGCTCACTTAACGATAAATTTGACTTCAGTGCTAGATGTATAGCCTGCTTTACTACCAAGTTCTATTTCCTCACCGGCATCATTGGTTGTAGCGGAACTTGACTGCCTATCTTTAAAAGTCTAACTTGTGGAACAATTCTAGGTAGAGTTCACAGTCAACGGATTTTACTTCTAGAATAATTTCCATTTTTCCGCGTTATTTTGAAACAAATTTAAATTGTGATCAAGAAGACCGAAAAGAGAGACATCTCTTTTTGTAACAAACGGAATGACAGAAATCTCCCAACGTGAATAAAAGTTCAAGAGATCAAAAGAAAAGGGAAAGGTATTTTTGATGCATTATGCGATTCAGGTATTCTAGAATAAGGGTAACTAGAACACCCTGCTAGTATTTAAAAATATCCGGGATTCAAATGTAAATATGAGGTTCATAATTTTTGAAAATATACAATAATTTGAATGCACAAAAGTATGCACTTGAGAAGCATTTTTACGTCAAAGGATAAAACCCGCATTTATAAGTAAAACAGTGATTAATTACCTCATAGCAGTGTGGCCATAATAACAAAAAAAAAAAAAGTAAATTGCTACTAGAAAAGTGAGCATCTCCAACCCGAAAAGAGTGAAGAACTTTTTCTTGGCGTTTGGTGGACCGTTATTCGACCAGTATTTTGAGTAGTGTGCTCTTGTGATGCACGTTCTGTCTTCAATTTTATGTCACGGGCCAACGTGAAGAAGGCTTCTTCAACATTGATATTGGCTTTAGCCGATGTTTCCATGAATTTGGTACCGTATTCTATGGCCAGCTGCAATACAAACATAATCTTTAATGTTTTAATAATGAGTTAACTTCCTTTTCGCACAAGAATATAACTCGCCTAGAAGGAATATTTGCGATATTTACTATTTCTTGCCCAGCACTGTTTTAACTGGCTCAAGGTGAACATGAACGCAGATATCCTCGTGTGCTTCTTCCTTTAGTCTGAAACGCTCAGCAAAATGACTGGAACCAATCAGTAGTAAAGCAACACGAGATTTGACTAACCTGTTCACCACGTTCTCGTGATACCTGTCTCCTTTCTTCAATGTCGCATTTATTACCAATAATCATTCGATCCACATCCGATGATGCGTGCTCCTCGATATTTCGAATCCAGTTTTTTATATTATCGAATGATTTCTCATTCGTTATATCGTACACCAACATAATCCCCTTCAAACTATTTTTTTTTTTTTTTAAATATTTAACGAGCCACAATGGGTTTTCATGTAAATAACCGTAAGGGTAGCAATTTCCTGTAAATAAATTTTGGGAAAGATCAGTGCAACCATACCATAGCTCCTCGATAGTAAGCAGTCGTAATTGTTCTAAAACGTTCCTGGCCAGCTGTATCCCTGAAAAATATTCTAGTGGTACATCAATTAGAGTGGAAATAGCAGAGATTATTTTTCAGTTACCATAGGTAGACTAACAGACAGATCTTGAATTGAGAAGTTCATACAAAGATAACTTTAGGTGTATGAATGAATGATCTTGATAAGAATTTTTAAAGGTGAGTCAAACATTATACAAGGAAATGTACGTAAAACATACCATATCTGTAGTTTGATTTTTTTTCCATCCAATTCTATCGTTCGTATCTTGAAATCAATACCTTAAATATTTATTCTTCTCATAAATCAATATAACAGAGTCATATTAATATGAATTTATAAAATAGCATAGGAAAACATTTACCGATCGTGGAGATAAATGAATTATTGAACGAATCGTCTGAAAATCGGAACAGCACACATGTCTTTCCAACACCAGAATCTCCAATAAGAAGCAGCTTAAAAGAAAACATATAAGTGAGTTCAATGTATACTCAACTCATTCTAAATATTTTGAAATTCAGTTCTCTTTTAATGCTTTTATCTACGAGTCAAGTCTGAAAACAGATATAACGTGAATGATAATTTCCAGCTCTTCATCTCTCAGTTCCGACTTTAGGTTAATGCTTTCATTAGCATATTGGAAGCGAATTATCGTAACAGTTCTTTGAAAGGACTAAATTCCAACATTACCTTATCGCTACACTTTAGCTAACTGATCTCTGGATCATCTCGAATTAATCAAGTAACGAACCTTGAAGAGATAGTCGTAAGATTTGGCCATCTTTATCAGCCAGTTCTCCCGATTTATCTGCAAATTAATTTACTTTTATTAAAGTTCTACACCGCATCATAAATACAAACAGTACTACAACACGCGACGTTCATTCATAAACTATCTTGTCTAAAAAAAAAAAGTATCTATGAAAAGTTAACGAATAATGAGGCTAACGAAATGGAAAGATTAAAGCATTGTATCAGCAATTAGACCTCAATAAACCACATCCTTATTATTTATTATAAATTATTTTAGCACTGAGACAATAAATTAGGGATAACAATAACGCACAGACCTGAATACTATTAGCAATCCGCATCCCAACCCTTTTTCAAACTTCTTTTAGCAATAACTCTTACTTCCTCTCATTTCTTTCCATTCTTAAAAAAGTAGACAAAACATATGTCCCTCCTATCTTTTTTGTCTGACTTCAAATTCTTTTAATAACTTTAAAAGTCTCTCACAAACATACGCTCTTTCGTATTTTCAATTGAATCTCAGTTCTCTTTCATGACAAACACTCTTTGTTCCTATCCTTTGTATAATTGTAATCTCGTGACAGGAAATGTTTTCGGGATCCGAAGATGACTGACTGATGTACCAGAAATGAAAAGACCGGTATACACCTGTCAAGCGAGAGAATGAAAATCGAGAACCGGTTTCTTGAACAGTTTCTTCATCCAAACATATCAAGTTCACATCATTTCTCCTTTTGTATAAATGTTGCTTGTTGAGGAGGGACATTATATGAAGTGGTGCATTTATTCAATTAATTTCTTAGTTCCATTAAAGGCAGATTAAGCGAATTTAATGAATTCAGTTGATCATAGTGCTGGAGACATAATGTAATGTCAAATTAATAAATGATTTATGCATGACTGTTTACCCTCTTCGATATAATAATCTCATTTATTACACACCACACTTACAACTTTTGTAATTAAATCAATTACCCAAGAAACACACCCATTTCATAGTGGTCGCTGTGGTTGAATAATATTAAATTCGCTCGAAGAATATATAATTCGACCAGCAACTCTTTAGTTGCGTATGAGTATGGGTGGGTGGTACTAGTTGTGCAGAGGTGGCGGCATAGGCTGAGTGGCGTACACCGTTGTGGGTGTTTCTTGACGTACTGACGTTGAACTGTCTGATATGTGTCACGTGACGCTGGTATGGCACGAACGTAACATTTGAGATGATTTGAGGACATTAGTACGTAGGATTAGAGCATTTGTATTATCGTGCTGAAACTATCAATATAGTTTTTTTCTGAATTTCCCTTTGCTTGTTTTGCTTTAAAATGTGTTATTGTCGGAATAGCATTACTTAATCACTCATGTATATTTGGATTAGTTTTCAGACGAGTACTACCCGGGAAGATGCTGTCAAGAAAGCTGTTGTTAACAGTGGCAAGAGTTTCGAAGGTCTGTTTCTTCCGCAGCAATTTTTTACAGCAGTTGGATTGATTTCGCATCTAGTTATGGGAAATTCGCTGTCAGTTCAAGATACCCCATCATAGTGGAAAGATCAAATCAAGTTTTAGGCTTCATCAAACAGTTTCGGAACAAGTGGTCGCTTTTGCGCAGCTGGTGCAGAAGTGTTAAAAATTTTGGAAGATCGTATACGAGGACAGGAGTCGACCGTCAATCTTGAAGAAACCGGTAAAGTACTTTCTATTGGTGATGGTATTGCTCGCGTATATGGTCTCAAAAATATTCAAGCTGAAGAGATGGTGGAATTCGATTGCGGTATGAAGGTAGCGATTACTCATTTTTATGTGCAAGATAGCTTTAAATGCTACAAGAATGATGGGGAGCATCAGATGTCTTGTCACATAGATTTTCGAACATTGTTTCCTTCGAAAGCTTCTATGGTTCGAAAATCTACATGATAGTTTATGTGTTATGTGGGTAAAAAGGCATGTAAACTGGAAGGAAATAACTAATTCTTAAAAAATTAGTTTTCTTTACTTCAAGCGTCATTTGTTTAAAGGGTATGGCATTGAATCTGGAGCCGGACAATGTAGGTGTGGTGGTGTTTGGTAACGATAAGGTTATTCGAGAAGGTGACGTTGTGAAGCGTACGGGAGCAATTGTTGACGTGCCAGTTGGAGAAGCATTGCTGGGCCGTGTCGTGGATGCGCTGGGTAATCCGATTGATGGTAAAGGACCAATAAAATGCACGGAACGATCTCGAGTTGGTGTCAAAGCTCCAGGAATTATCCCTCGTATTGGGGTACGTGAACCTATGCTTACTGGAGTGAAAGCTGTGGATTCGTTAGTACCGATTGGGCGTGGACAACGTGAACTTATTATTGGAGATCGACAGACTGGGTATATTTTATTTCGCTAGTCGATTTATCAATTTTATTCTTAGATCTTTACTATTTAGTAACTGTATGTATGAAAGTTTTGTTTTTTTTTTTTTTTGCAAAAGTTGGTTTTAGGTTTCTGCTGTTCTTAACAAAGAGTTATTCTAGGAAATGTATTCTAGAATTATTAACTTCATAGGATTTATTTCACTTCATTATATTAGCATTCATGTGTATTGTTATAACGTAATCTTTTGATAGGAAAACAGCCATTGCAATTGATACGATAATAAATCAAAAACGATTTAATGAAGGTAGCGATGAAAAGAAAAAACTTTACTGTATATATGTTGCTATTGGACAGAAACGGTCTACTGTTGCGCAAATCGTAAAGCGACTCACTGATACTGGTGCTATCAAATATACAATTATTGTCTCGGCTACGGCATCAGGTTGTTTTCTGCTTACTTTTTCGCTTTTATTGTGATGGTACTTGTACAAAATTGTTTGACATATATATTAACCATATTGTGCGGCCAACAGACTGAAAACTTGAAAATTTTATTTGTTGCAGATGCTGCACCACTGCAATATTTAGCACCATATTCTGGTTGTGCTGTGGGTGAATACTTTCGAGATCATGGAAAACACGCGTTGATTATTTACGATGATCTTTCAAAGCAAGCCGTGGCTTATCGACAGATGTCGCTGTTACTCAGACGTCCTCCCGGACGTGAAGCATACCCCGGCGACGTCTTCTACCTTCATTCTCGCTTGTTAGAACGAGCAGCAAAAGTAGATTTATCGCTGTCATAAAATTTGTTGTCACCAATTTTAGAAAAATTTTGCTGAAATATGTCAAGTTGTTCAAAAAAATGATGTTCCACCTATCAGAGTCAGAATTGTTTAATTTCTAAGGAAGTCTGTTTATACTTAGATTGATAATGATTCCCATGTAGTTTCCAGTTCTTAGCTTTCGTTTTCTACATCTTCATATGTGGAACATGCCTCATGGAAGTTTCTAAAATCTTTTATCAACCACACATGAAAAGTTTTCTAGATGAACGATTCTCATGGGGGTGGCTCACTTACAGCACTGCCAGTTATTGAAACTCAAGCCGGCGACGTTTCCGCTTACATCCCCACCAATGTAATTTCAATCACAGATGGTCAAATATTTCTGGAAACAGAATTGTTTTATAAAGGCATACGACCTGCAATCAACGTTGGCTTGTCAGTTTCGCGAGTCGGTTCAGCTGCACAGACAAAAGCGATGAAACAGGTTAGATTATAGGTCACGACACAGCGCTGATGTATTGTTAAAAAAACAAGTAAACTTTTTTGTTTATTCACACATTACTTCTTAAAAATTGAAGAGTTACCGTTTTTATTAGCTTATTGGTAAATAAAAGAAATGAATTAAAGAAGCCATGAGAAGTCAGTGAATTAAAACCGAATTCAAATGCCGGGTGTCATGACAGTTGAACAGTTTTGAAGGATATGCAAAGTTTATAATTTATCGCTTATTGCTTCTTAAAATCTACAACTAGACTAGACTCAGCATTTAGATTCCATTACTAATGAGTCGCAATCAGAAGCCAATAATTCTAGTGAAAGTACTGGAATGAATTTTTATTTTTTACTAAATTCCATAGTCAGTACTTTTCTTTAGAGTATACAAATGAATTATAATTTACTTGATGGATAGCTACGTTTTTATTAATGACGTTTTATGCTTAGCCTTTAGGTAGCTGGTTCAATGAAACTGGAGTTGGCTCAGTACCGTGAAGTAGCTGCATTTGCTCAGTTTGGTTCCGATTTGGATGCAGCTACGCAACAGCTGTTGAATCGTGGTGTGCGTTTAACGGAACTTCTCAAACAAGGACAATATGTACCAATGGCTATCGAAGAGCAGGTATTAGTTGTTAGTTAAAGATATCTGAAATCACTGCCGTCAATGGTTTCGAGTTATCCAAGAATTCTCAGTGTTTTCTCAATGGATACTTCTTGATTGGTATCGATTAAACTGTTTTTCACTTGTACTATATTATATTTGTGAGTGAAATGTACGCATATTAATTATAAAGCATTTCCAGGTCGCCGTAATTTATGCTGGTGTTAAGGGACACCTTGATAAATTGGACCCATCCCGCATAACTGTTTTTGAGAGAGAGTTTTTAACTCACATTCGACAGACCCAAAAAGAATTGCTGAAAACGATTCGTGAAGAAGGTCAAATAACTCCACAAACTGATGCAAAGTTAAAGGATCTAGTGACCTCGTTTATAGCTAGTTTTAAACAATAGCTTTTTTTTTTTTAAACAATAGGTTATGGAGTGTTTCGTTGTTTACATTATTATGAACTAATGAATTCTTTTTTCTGCCTCCATAGATTAATTCATGTATACTTAGTGAGCTGTAATGTTTAGGGAAGACAGTTGTTATATTTCAAGGTATTTTGATTTTATCTCACGGAATGTTACAGTAAAAACTAATATGCGTCTTTTTAATTTTCACAAAGAATAGTATTGTAGAAATGTGCAGTGTTTTGTGGTATTTTGAAACTTTTCAATTCCATTGTTAAAGGTGACTGGATCTTATGAATTTGTGGGAGAATAATCTGTTAATCAGTGTGGTAAATTCATTCAGCTGCAATCAAGATGTTAGAATTTCAAACCCTAAATATTTATTTCGGTATATGGAGTTGCTATATAATGCAGTGTTAGTACAAATGCTGTGTAAACTGCGCTTGTGCGATGTGATGATGCATTTGGGGATTCCTAGTCATGTGAATTAGGAGATATAGTACTGTACAGGTAATACCGCTACCTGATGAGATGCCAAGCCTGACAAGATGGCAAAATTTGGTTTAGCCAGTATTAGTGATTCCTCCATCGGGACATGACATGAAAACACCAGTACCATTGTTTTGAGAAAGCACTCGCTCCAGCCGTGAAATTTCCAGCTAATAAATTATGCAAGGTTAATCATTGCAGTTTTCGGGATTCGTTATTAGTTAACAGCTGGCATGAATTAGATGAATCAAAGCCAAATGAACCGCTCTCAACCAACGATGTATTGTTTTATGGAGGACGATTATATCAGTTGTGATCCGACCGCAAAACCAGGCAAATATCTTACATTCCTCCCATCAACAAAGCAGTAAAAGAATACAGATTATCTCCAACAAACACTTTTAGCAACCGCGTTTCCACTCATTATATGGTAATCCACGTCATATACATCTCACACTCACAAAAAGACAGTCCAGTTGATCAGACGATCACTATCTTCAGAGTAACAAGGGTCACATGTTCGAGACATCACGACACATGCAATAAATGAAAATTTCCTTTCTACATCAGCATAACAAAAGTTTCATTAACTTTAGTAACAATTAAACAACTTGCCAAGTTACTCAGGAATAATTCCTGGAATAACTTGGACAATTATCGAAATTGAAAATACAAACATGACTCACCACTAAATAATTGAGTTGTTCAATAGAGTGAAAACATATTTAGTTCTCTAAAAAGTCATGAAATTTGCATTTCCAATGATAAACTACTGAGAACACTTCCATTACCCTAAAGTTCATTAACAACTTGCTTGTCGATAAAAAGCGTAGTACTGTCCAACAATCATTAACACCAACTGACAATGAGTTCAGATCGGATCAATGATGTTTCTGAAATACTGCGTAATTTGTTCTATGAAAGCGAACAAGTAAATTTCACTCAGCATTTAACAATAACAGTTCTACTGTCAATTTACCAAGCGCATTATTAACAATCCCCACGCATCTTATCACAGTTACTCACAATGTTTTACTTGACTGCTTAACTGCAGATAAACAATATTTCATTTTCAAAGCAGAATCCACTGCTCAGATCTCTTAAAATAGTTCTGCAAAGCCCAAATGCTAAATTTGATTAACTAGTTGAAATGTTGAAAAAATGAATCCAAAATACAGCCGCCGCTATGTACTGACTCAGAGTTTCATATGCAGTTTAAGTTAGTACTCTCCAAAAACATGTACCGACTAAGTCTCCTTCTTCCTATTAAATCAACAAACTCTGAGATAATCAGCAAAATAAACTAATTTAACCACGGTCAAAATAAAGTCACTGGATCAAAAGCTGAAATAATCCCGTAAGATCAAATAAAGTCAAAAACTTGAAACCTGAAAGTTTTCTCTCACTACAATGGAGCTCTTGGTTTCCCAAACATGAATACGGTCAGTAAAATACTATCCAAATTCTAATGAGAGAAAAAAAAATATATATAATGACGTTATAAAAGGATACAAAATCCAATCGGAATATAAAACCGTGCCTGGAGTTAACTTGTAATCAAAACTCTGTGCAAAAAATTATGCTTTGAGGTACTAACCATCAAAATAACAAAACTGGTCAAAAATAAATAATCGAAAAGCCCCGGTTGTGGGCATTATAAAATGCGGCAGAAAAGACAAAATGAGAATCATGATAATGTGAATGAGCTATAAGAAATTCACAACTTAAAATGAATTCATATTAACATCAGCTGAGAAATCATCACTGCCAAACTCTCGTTTTGATGCTGGACCACCGGCAGCATCACCTGGTCGTTTCGCACCTCGAGATGTCGTTGCCCCACGACCACTTCGACCTCCCGTACCACGACCTCGACCTGCGGAACCACGCGGCTGAAATCCACCTCCCTGAAAATAAATAATAGAGAATTAACACTTTTGACACACACATTTGATTTCACACCTTTCATTATGACAGTCACTCATTCAGCTATACCACAGTTTTGGCATTCCATTTAATCATTTCTAATCCAAGTGGACCATACTTTCAAACAAGAAAGCAAAAGAAGTTAAAAATTAAGAAGAATGATGACAATTTTGGTTAACCTCGACAAACATCCTATTCCAGTCTACCCAAACTTCACTTCAACTCTAACGTTGAATAAGCTATACAAAAAGTTTCCAACCTAATGCCAAAAACATATACCTCGTGATTTTATGGTTTCCATTTGTTTCAAGATTAAATCAACAAACGATAAAGGAAACTTTTTTCATATAAGCTTAATTAGGAAGCAAATTTCTATAATCTTAAATTGTTTGTCTCATTCCATAAACATTGTTTATTTATAAACACTTTCATGTGACCTCAGATTATGCAGTATATACATTTAAAAGGTATCAATTAAAATATCTAAACAATTCCATTTAAAATCATACTGGAATGCCGCCTCGACCTCCTCGACCCCCCATTGGTGGTGAACCATACCCGTAACCATAAGGGTCAGGACCATAACCATAAGCATCATAGCCATATCCATAAGTACCTGGAGGTGCTCCATAACCATACAATTCTTCATATCCAGCTGAAACATTGACTTCATACTGCTAAAATTTACAATCATACAAAGTTCATAAAATGATTATCTTTAAATATGAACGAGAATCATATAACAAAAACTAAGATCGCCTAAACATTACCATAGGGATCATAACCACTGTAACCAAAATCAGTTGGTCCACCAAAACTGCCACGTCCGAAACCTGGTGTGCCTCGTCCACCTCTCATGCCACGACCAAAACTAAAATCACCAAATGCACCACGTAGACCACCGAAACCTCGTCCGCGTCCACGCATCATTTTTTTCTTATCGCTCTGAGGTTTCGCAAGAGAAATATCGATTGCAATTCCTTCCAATTCTGTACCATTAAGTGCTTCCATCGCCTAAACATAGTTCAAAATAAACCAAGCCTAAATAAATCAATTTAAAAAAAAAAACTAACAACCCACAAATCAATAGCTAAGAACTGAAAAATACCTTGATAGCAGGTTCCCTTTCCATAAAATGAATGAAGGCATAGTCGCGAATTTTCTTTGCTCGATCAACTTCACCGTAAGCCGAAAACATTTCTTTAAGTTGTTCTTCAGTCACAGCCTCTTTCAAATTCCGTACATATAATACTTTCACTTTTGCCATAGTTTCTTCATCTGGTTCCTCCTGCTGTTCCGCCCAATCTACCACCAAATCCGAATTCCACGGTCGCAGCTTAAAAAGCAAGAAAATGTCTACTATAGGAACAGTAAAATGTCACAAACGTAGCTTTAAAAAAAGCTTACCAATATTTACAAACGCTTAATGTCCTAATTTATCACGCATAACTGAAATCTCAAAGTACCAATCCTTAATACTAAAACACTAATCAGGTGAAATTATCAGAAATAATTTAATTCAAAAAATACTACCTTTCCAGCATGAATCTTGCGCTTAGCATCTGATGCGGTTTTGTGATCACAGAAATCAAGAAAACAGAAGCCACGATTCTTGCGGCTTTCTCCTGCGTCAGGACTTGAATAAATTATGCAGTCAGTCACGCCCTCTGAAAATTTCTTGGTTAAGATAATAATAAATCAGATTATGGAGGAAAATTTCCTACGAAAAATGAGACAGTGGAGAACTGCTTACCTGCAACAGTACGAAAAGAAAGAAAAAAGGAGAAACTTACCCGAAGATGTACAAAAGCGGTCTTCAAGAAGGTCAGGATGATCGAAAAGTAATGAACCCGGTTGTATCGCACAGATACTATAGGTAAGGAACGGACACAACACCATCAGCTTCTCCAAAACCAAAAAATCCTTCCCACGAAAAAAGCCACCTATTAAAAACGTGTGCGAACGAGATTTGGTACCACTTTTTGGGCCAAAATTTACCTGTGTGTTCTTTAAATTCCGCAAGAATTTCCTCTTTTGACTTCGATTTTGGAATATTCCCAATAAATAGTCGTGTGTTGGCAACGCTCACGTTCACTTTCAGATTTTTTCCGGGCATTATTTCGTAACCATCAAACTAGAAACAGAGATCAGAGCAAATGCAGCTGTTTTTTGCCAAATTTCTCTTTTTTTTTTCTAAAAATTCAGTATTATTTTCCAGAAAGTGCTCAAAATTTTATTTCCAAAATGAGCTTTCAAACTTTTATCCCACCCAAAGGTCTCACGTGATCATGGCGAAAGACAGAGACGAGAGAGAACAGATGAAAGAGAGACAGACAGAGTGTGTGTATGTGATAAGTAACAAACTGCAATGAGGATGAATAAAACTATAAAGAAATACGGTAAATTACTTAAAAACGGTTCAATACTTCGTGTTAGCCATTAATCCCTAGGAGCTTTTCTCAGTTTCATACATTTTCATCATCCTGGGACCATAGTCATTTGCAACTTTCCTTGATTTATGAAATGGATGAGACAATGGTCTACTTTTCGCCGTAAAGAATATTTGATAAATTAAATCAACACCTTTATTTTTCTAAGAAGCCAGTTACTAGGTCAGCAACTAGCAGTCCAACATTAATCCTGGCCAAGGCAACGTTTTCTATTAAATACAGCTTCTCAAAAATTCAACTTTACTGTGACAGTATAATTAAACAGTACATTAATAATTAATTAATGCATACTGAGACATATTTCCAGAATCCCTAGACAAGTCGGAAAATAAAGGATACATACCCAAGCTATCTAGATAATAAAATTAAAGCCAGCTATGTTAAAGCCAATAAGAAATTTCACTGTAACAGAGATTCTTTTCGAAAGGCTGATTATAACTAGCCCACTACTGTAAAACTATAAAAGGCAACATGATATATATATACGAATAGTCTTGCAAGTATATACGGATAGTCTTAATACGGGCACTGCAATTTTTAAGTTGATACCTGTAACTTTATCTAAATCAATACCGTGAGTACGGGAAGAATAATTACTGAATCTAAACCATCCGGGATGAAAGGCTCAAAAATCTTCAACATGCACTTCTCAACAAATAATTCTGCCATATGCACAACGATGATCAAAAGTGAAGTCAAGGTAATAACTTTGCTTCACAAAGTCTCTAGATAATCTGCGTACACATAACTGATAAAAAACATAGACACAGTGAATAAAAAGAGAAAACAAAATGTTGGCTGCTGCTGCTAATTTTAAAATATTTACTTTCTACAATCACTGCGAAAGGACATACAGACTTGTTTGTGCAGTGTTACCTCTACAAGACAAAAAAATAAATAAATAATAAAAACTTTAAACGAATTGCACGTCTTATCATTATTTTGCTTTTATATAAACAAACCTTATGCATATTTATTCATCTCTTAATTTCAAAAATCAAGTGCTGCAGCAGCCAACTGAAAGATCGTAAAAGCACTGTTACCTTTTTTGCAGCTTCATAAGCTGCTGTCTTGTCGCAATACGTTAGAAAAGCGTAGCCGCGATTTCTCCCCGTGAGTGGATCCATCATAAGCCGAAGATCCCAAATTTTTCCCATATCTTCGAAAAGCGTTATCAAAGTGTCCTCGTAAACTTCTTTCGGAATCTTGCCAATATAAATCTGAAATAGAAATAAATAAATAAATAAAAACATAAACTTCAAGACCACACTATTTTTTTTTTCTTTTCTCAAAAAAAAAAGTGATATGTCTGTCAAACGATCTTCGTTTTCTTCCCAACTTATATTTAAAATAAATACCTCATGTCCGGATCCCTGTGGACCTGCTGCTGGTCCATCCCAATCTGGTGGTGGCCCACCGTATTTTCGCTGACCGATAGTCACTTCCAGATTGTATCCTGTTCGATCCAAAATTTCTTTGATTTTTTCCACCGAAGGTCCATTCACTAATTTTTGCGAGAGAGCAACATTTGCTCCAAGTTGTCGAGCTTTATCACGAAAATTGCGCATAACTGACATTAAAAACTGAGCTTTGTTTTGAACACCCATGAGCTTCGACTCCTTTACCTGAAGTAATTTCTTTAAAAACTTATTTCAAACGTTGACAAAAAAGCTTGATTATTTCGAACATACAATATACACCCAAAATATTTTTCAAAATTTAAATATTAAATTAATATCCTAATTCTGATGATATCCTATTATAAGGTAAAATTATTTGTTCTAAAATTAACGAGCATATTCTTTATACCTCTTTAATGATAAATAATGCATGGTCAAGTGGAAGGGAACGAAGCATCTCAATTGCACGATCGTCAAGTTCTTGTGGAGACATATCAGTTGCTTCATATAATTCAATCAGGGCTACAGCCACCTTTGGTTTCACACTCTGTGCCCTCAAACTCTTGTAAACTTCATTCTCAACAAATTCCGCTTCTTCAATTTCCGCTAATAAAGCATGAGCATCTTCCGTCTCACCCTGAAATGTGCATATTCATCTCCTCACAAATAATACAGCATTGAGAAACTCACCAAAAGTAAAATCTCACATTCTTTAATCATCTGCATAACATCCACAAGCACTTCCTGAAAGAATGTTGATCTCACAAAAAATGCTCTCTGAAAAATAGCTTACATCTCCAGATGCCTCAACCACACTTGCCGTCTCCATCTTAATGTCAGAATCTTCCTTCTTCACTTCATCACCATTAGCCGTTGTGGCTTCTTCTTCTTCTTCTTCCTCATCTTCTTGTTCTTGTTCCTCTTCCTGCACCTGTTCTTCCTGCATTTCAGGCTCTTCATCCAAAGTTTCCTGAAGAAATCAAAAAGCAGTTATAAAACGTTGCATAACAAAAAGAAAAATAAAGGTTTACTTCTCTATAAACAGATTACAGTAGCTAATAAAATAAAAACTTACATCTGCAGATGTTTCCATTTTCACTTCAGTCATGGTATTATCTTCACCACCTTTTTCTTCCTGAAAGAATTCCTATCTGCGAACAGAAGATAAAATTTTGTTACAATCGCAGCTGAACTTGAGGATAACCTTATCTAGTGATCTGAAGAAGACTGCCAGATATACTCATTTACATAAAAAAGTTTGACAAGAAACGTATCATTTTTTAAAATGAGCAAAGTTAATAACATAGAAAAAAACATTGGCATGCGAAGCAGCGAACATTACTGGACATTGATTTTAACCTTCAAGCATGCTTTTTGATTAGCAGTCGAAATCCCATTCAAGAAAAATCGAAGACTGAATGGACTGATGCGTCAACTACTTTTGTCAACACATATTTTTGCACAAGATCTTAAATTTTCTTACTCAATTATATACAACCATACTTAAAATATTGATGCAGTAACATTTGAACAGAGGAGTAAGTATCCTGTGAAACTGGTAGCAATTTAAAATCATACAAGCAGAAAGGAACTGAAAAGTAATCTATGAACCGAAGAATCCAATGATACTTTTGAAAGAACACTCCTCGACTCCTCGATTACTTGCATAAAAACTTACGCTACACCATATTCTTAAACATATAAGCAAATTAAGTCAAACATGCGGAAGAGAAGCAAATACTACACCAACTCTATATGACATCAACCATATCTTAAGTTGACCACGCAAGTTCATTACGTCTGTCATCAAAAAAAAAAAAAAAACCTAATTTATTTTAACGTTATCAATCATCTGAATCTTTCGCTTCTTAACTAATAAGCAAGCATGAAGGATGCACTCTATTATTTAACAATCAAAATTCACAAAGAATTATTGAAAAATGAGGACACTCGATTAAGATTACCGAAACTGAGAAAAGGACGAAAGTTTAACGATTAAAATGGTTCAACATTGATAGCTTACTTAGAAAGTGAGACTTGGAAGCAAACTTAAAGGTTAAATAAAAGCCAAAATCCGAACTTGTCCAGTTGTAATGTCAATTGTTTCGTCGTTTGCATTATCTTCTCCAGCTGCTGGCGCCAAAGCCTGTTCTGCATCATCCGCAGACACAACAGATGCAGCAACTTGTTGCTGCTTTCGTGGACGACCACGAGCTCCTTTCTTCTTCATCGTTGTGACAGATGAAAGTTACGGTTTATAAAGCGACACACACAAAACGAATGACAGTGACAGCTTGCTGATGTAAGAAAAGCCTCTGAAAACGACGGACCGATGCACCTTTTGAACGAATCTGGCAACCCCTGGAATAGTATAAAAGAGACGTGCGCGAAGCACATGAACGTATGGCCATTAGATGACATGCGCGAACACTCAGAAAAAGGGTGAGTGCAGTTCACGACGCACATAACGTAACGCATATCAAAAACACTCGATCAATGAAGAACAAGGAAGAACACATTTTGGCAAATTACCATAAATCCCCTACGAAATAATGGAACTGTCAGAGCTGCTTGAAGGGACCTTTTACCTACAAGCAGCGCCAAGACGAACTATTCATGGGAATGTACAATGCACCCATGACTTGCTCACAAACGATTCGCACCCACAACAAGCAAACCCCCACCCTTGTCCTCAAAGCAAAAAAAGATGAGTCACCAGACATGCGCGACGCGTCGCCTAACTCTAAGGAAGTCGCGCTACATCACTACTATCGGGCTTTATGCAAAGGTTTATCCCACCCGTCCGTTGTTGATTTAATTTTCAATATGTATACAAATGCGCAATACACTATGTCAGTTAATTTCTTGTTCCTCTCTGATCTAGAAATCATCTGCTTTTGGCCTTATTCCAGGATCCTTTCAGGCCATATCACGAACCTCTCATGAACATCCTCAATTGGACACCTCCTGCTGGAATTTCTTTGTCAACTTTCCTTCATGACCCACTGTATGTCACAGTATCAATAAATCGGAATTCGAATGTCACTGCAATTTGCAGCCATAAATATATGCAATAAGTCGGGCATACGATATTGTGAAGATAATATGAAGTGATATGAACGCGAAGTTTTGTGAAGAAAAAGCATAACATTAGCAAGATATAAGGGATAGGTCAACTCCGTGATCTGAAGTCAGTAAAACAATAGGTAATGTGAGGCGACTGTTAGGAAAACAATTCGCCAGAGGTTGTGACCTCCAAAGAAGCATCTCTCATATACGACCAGATAAGTAGGTAGTGAAGATTGCAAGCTCTGTGTATGCTTTCTTCTGTGCTGTGCTGCTTTTATGCGTTCATTTCCACTCTACCTCCATCTCGATATACCTGATAAGCGCACTCACTCATTACACAGTTTTCAGAATGATAGAAGGTTAATGTTTCCTTGTCACAACCATTTTTTTAATTGCTACTACTGAAAGAGGCAAGGATAATACGTCTCTTTCAGCAGTTATCTTGAATTCGAATTATTTATTGATAACCTTCGTAACATGTTATCACAGCTTCACCGATTTCTTCTCACTCACCTGAGACAGTACTACAGCATCAATCAAGAAAGTATTCAATCACTTTTCTTTCAAAACGTTTCATATACTTTGTTCGTTGTCATTCTGTATATATCATGTAAAGATCGATGTTGCTAGTTACATGTTGTTGATATTAACAGTGATTAATCTACTCGAATGACTCACATTAATTGGAATAATTCATGAAATAGTCTTGCTTACTTTGCTTTCAATAATCATTACCTGTGCAATAATCTAAAACTTTCTGCATGCACACAACTTGTTCATTTAACTTACCGTATTCTTACATTCTTGACTAACTAGCATTTTAGCGCTCATCTTTGTGTCAACTATTTGGTTCTAGTTTACAGCAAATTGAAACTTTATTTTCTCAGTCATTTTGCTATCAGTGCAATTGGTATATTTATTCTTTTTAAATGACTACTAAAACAATCTACACTTAGTAAGTTGCCTGGATTAATTGGTGAAAATGAAGATTGGGTTAAGAGGATGTGGTTTATAGGAGGTCTCAAAATGAATGAGTTTCAAATTTGTCATCCATTTTGAGAAATTCCTATAAACCACATCCTTTTCTTCCATTCTTCAAAAATTGTGTCCCTTCAAAGCAGTTTTCTTCTATTTTCCTGTATTTCGAAGATACATACTTCACTGCACATTTAGCCAAGTCAGGAAAAACGAGTAGCGGTGTGAATGAACGAATTGGCGTAGACGAAATGAATACCCTAGAATAGATATGAGGCATCTTAATTTTACTACTCTATTTATTAGATGCTCCCTTAATTAGATGCTACTTAAGACATCCAAATGTTCATTCAATATCCCCAAGACATTTGCAGTTTCGGGTTGATGGTAGTGAATGTCTCTTCATTTCCTACTTCCTTCTTCATCCCAAATGACATTCAAGTATAGATTGTCCTCCATGCTACTCATACCCGTGTTTGCATGCTAGAAACCCATCAACTACAACGGCATAGTTTTCTGTTTGTTCGTAAAGATACTAATTTCTTGAACTGCTACTCAAAAGCATTCTTACTTCTGATCAAATTACTCCTTTGTATCACATACTATAAATTACAATTTCGAATTTACCAAGCTGAAAATAAAAATAACTTGTATGGTATATGATATCTTTGACATCTTAAAAAACTAACAAGTTGATACTATTAAAATGATTTAAATTTGACATTTGATCGTTATTACAAATTATTAAATAATTATTATAAAACGACAATGATAAATGTGCTATTCATTATTCTCATACAATGAAAAATTGCTTTTAAAAACAAAAATGTGCTATTTCCTCCTCTTCCTTCATTAAGTCTTTAACGGTTGATTTATATCTTTATTTTATGATTTGATAAAGTTGCAATTATTGATTTGTGCTGTCAAAAGAATTTTAGAAATAGATTTTCTTCCAGGTGTTTTTTTGAAATTTCCCGACATATTGGCAGTTATCCGAGTTCAGTTCCTAACCACTTTTAGAAAAAAATGAATTTGAAATTGGACATATAATTAAATTTTGCTAAACTTGAGCGCTTTTCCAATGCATAGTTAATGTTTTCTATTTTATCCTACTCCTTTCGTTTTTTGAAGCTTTCATTTGATTTTTTGTTCTTTCCATTTCACCTTTATCTCTTTTTATTTCAATCTCCATTCTGTTTTTTCCGGTAATCGCTTCCAATATTCTAATGTTTCTGAAATCTTTAGAAAAATTAGGAGTGGTTGATGAATATTTTTTAATCTCTTTTGATTTGTCAAAGGCAGAAGAAGGATACTAAGTGTACATTATATGCTTTTCATATGACAGCTACTCTTGTCAAACATTCAAGTTTTATCTTCACTTTCCACTTTTCGTGAAGAAACGAACGACAACTCATCAGAATGTCAATGATTTGGGTGAAAAGGTCGAAGAAATGCAAATGGAATGTCCAATCTTTGTGAACATGAAATATCAGTCAGATTCATGTCGGTTACAAATGTTGCAAGGGTCTTCAGCAGTCCTCGAAAAATTTATTAATCATTACTCAGTTCATTTCCAAACCTTCCTAAATTTTCCTTGAAAAAAAATTTTTTTTTTAAGTAACTGAAGACCATAGATGTAAAAATCAGATGTTCAATTCATATGTTTAAAGTGACACAAAACCTTTCTTCCCTTGAGACTATTGCTGACAGGAAGGATTGTTAAGTGCAAAAGTGAGTAGACAGTATGATACAATGGCAATTAATGATGATAATTGTTGCGGGAAAACCGGTCCGCTGTAGCGGAGGGCTTCTGAACAATCACGAGTTGAGGATCTTTACGACCTTGAATGATGAGGTCATAAATCTCTCATCAGCTCATACCTCATTATAAAATTATTTGCTATAAATTATAGTTTGTCTGATTTCATCGACGCATTTTGATTGTAAAATGATGGCATTTGTAGCTAATAGGATTGGTCGATAGAACAAAGCATTGCATTTACGCAATTTCTCTTCCTAACTTCAGAACGTTAAAGGAAATTCCGGCAAAATCTCCTGCACGAAGTTATGTTGTAGATCAGATTTAATTCCAGTTCAATAAATCAATCAGATCAATTACTTATCTAATTGTGAAGGACAAACTTCAGTCTTTGCAGTCATTTGGGACTAATTCCGGCAAAATCTTGTGCATTGTTCCTTCTCTCTTTTCATTGAAATATGATTTCCTTTGTTTTTGTGAAGAAAATGACCGGCGATAACGATGCATTTAATTAAAAATTTCTACTGAACAATAAGCAATGAGTTGAGAAGAGCTCTTGTCTTTTCCATATCACATAATTATCGTTTCTTTCTAGGCATTTCGTATTTGTCTCTCTAGACATTTTAGTTGCATAAAATTTACGGGCCAAGATGCATCAGCAATTCTAAAACTATTCAAAAAGCCTTATTCGTAGAGAAAAACGTTATTGAAAGAGGATAGTTTGGTCGCTCGAATTAATCCTTGATTAATCTAAAATAGTGTCTGGTTGTACCTATTTCCCTTTGTCACCACTATTACCTTAAGGAAATTTTAAAAAGTTGTCCTTAATTCAAGAGGTTCAATATGTTTATATTAAAATTTTCACCATAAATATAACTATTTACTCCAAATTGTTTTGTTTCTTCCTGAAAGAATGAATAATATAAATGAAAGTAGCATGACGTCATCGTCTTGTGTCATTGAAAAGGCAACTTTATGTCCTTGTTTGTTGCAACTTTGTTCCTATGATCATGTTTTCTCAAATGTTCCGCTCAATTCCTAATTTTAATTTATTCTCATCATAAAATTGTCTGGCTGCTAAGAACCATACTTTTTATGTGTCTGAATATTTCGCTCAATTAAATTTTTCTCAAATATTTTAATGATTACTTTAAAATATGCTAGGGTATATCTATGTTTATCAGATGCAATTCTTAACCAGAAATGTAGTGGGCGATACGAATTGCTTTAAGTGTACGCTCTCTTGTTTCTTCGGTCCTCTTGAAGTTGCTAATGGCTGTGCTGTGACATATGTACCAAACATTATAAACAATTAAAACTTACGCTTTAAACATCGTAATGTTTTATCTGCCGTAGACTAAACATGTGGGTTTTAAAAGCTTTCTTACACACAGATTAATTCAAATGTTCAAAATCATTATTTATTTTATATACTACTTTTGGATCTCTTATTAAAGTATACGAAATGAAATTATGATCTTCCTGGCCTATTTATAATTTGCTCATATTCGTTAGCAGTATTCTCGAATTCTCGAATAAAAGACGACAGATGCATGAATTGTTTTAGATGTCACTCCTCCCATTCAATGCTACAATTTTCATTTCTTTTTCAATGACTCAAAACGTAACAACTAGCACACTTAGCTTTTTCTTCTTAAGCAGCAATAAATACGATAATGTATTTCTTCTTCTTTGTTTATTAAAGTATTTAATTTTTTGATGTAACTTTCAGTCGATTGCTTCCATCTATCTTTACTGTAGTGAGAATTTTCTGCAATTTCCCAATGCGCATATCCTTTTCTCACTTTTTTCCTATATTCTTATCTTCATGCTTTCCATGGATATTTTGGGTTAAATTTTTGATCCTCTCCAATATAAAAGAGAAAGTTATCGTTTGACGTTGTTAGAGCTAGCTATAAGAGAACATCGGGACATGAGCACAGAAAGTAGAAATAAATGAGAAGTAAAAGAGGGATCATCAATCCTGAAGAAAATAATTTCAATTTATTTCTCGTTCAAAATTGTTCTATTCATGAGAAGTCTATAAAAAAGAGTGCATGCATTCCCGAGAGATCGGACTGAAAGGGAAAGAAGAGTAAGCATGCGCTGCATGCATTTGCACAATCAATTATATTTCTGCAGACAAAACAGAAAGTCATTAATTCTAGAACGGTTGGAAGAGTTGTTGTCTCTCATGGTCTCGTTATTTAGAAAAGTAATGTTGGAATGGAATCAAATGACTCGTTTCTTTATAAGCCAAAAAAATGCTTGATATATATTCCGATTGTTGTTGTTGTTGAAACCTTTCGCTTCTCATAACTTTCTATTTTTAAACGATTATGACTTCAAATAGCATCATGTATACTCTGTCAGAAAATTCAACTCAGGAGGTGTTGATTTATATCATGTTTCCAATACCGGAAATCACAATATCTCTCTGATATCACTTTTTTTATGTGACTCGGTTTGATTTCTGTTATTATTGAAAACAACTACACAAACAATGTGGAGTTAATTCTTCAAATATTCAAGATCCTTAAAGGTCATTTCCATTATCGTATGGAAAATATAAAGCTACAAAGGAATTCACCAAATATAATTGGCAAACACCATCTCATTATTTGCTTAAATGTTGTCTCGTAATCCCACTACTCTTGCGCAATTTGAAAGCAAATTATAACTTTTGCAAATAATAACTGTGTTCTTTTTCATTTCTTCTCTTCGATTCTTCGATCACTATCCAGCATCATTTTCACATATTATTTAATACAATCTGTCAAGAAAGTAAGGTCATTAAAACTTATAATTTAATTCCACCACTGAGTAAGAGCCGTTCCAGGTCTACATAAATTAAATGATTCATTTTATTGTTCTTTACCACTCAAATTGCCATATTACACTATTAATTTCATTCTAAGAATTATCATTTCTTATATAGAAGACAATACTTTCAGATGAACAACAAATTTCTTGAGCAGTATATTCTAGTGATTATTCCCAACCATTTCATGAAGTTTTCACATCGAATCAACAACTATGTCTTTTGCAATGATTCGTTTTACCATCAATTACGGCAATGGGTGTAAATTATAAACGAGGTTTTATGCATATAATATATATTATTAAATACAAACATAGTCATTTCTTCATGTCAACAATTAACGTAATAGAACAATTGGAGATTAGTAGAAAAGGGAGTAGGCAGACAGATAAAGCTTCATTAATCAAACCTTTTCTAACGAACTTCTAATCAGTGCGCACTCTTTAATGAGAAGAAAAGATTGCTAAACAGACAGATCAGTTGACATGCTAACAGATAGAGAAAATTTTGGAAGACTGTCTCAGCTGGACGAATATTTCTCGTTGCTAAGCAGGCGAGTGATTCTCATATACCAAAGTTGGCCATCACTAACATTGAACTCAATCTCTTACAGCAGCCACAGCCACGACCACATTCGTCTACTTAATTTATCACTTCTCCTCTCATACAAGGGCACCAATCCTCGATTCCCTCATTAGAATCATCGAAATGTTGCCTCTTGCTCCTAACCCTATTCCTACTCTACTCTATTACTGCTACTGCTACTGCTGCTGCTGCTGCTGTGCGGTCAGAGGTCGACTGGCCGAGCACAAATAGAAAGGATGGATGAGAGCTTGGATGAAATGGTAGGACAGCGACCCACTTTAGGAACTCAATGAAAAAGAAATGGACGACAAGGCTGGACAGACATGTGAGATACTACCGCCGGGTTAAAAGGGAAAAAGAGATGTTGGCAAGGGGAGGGGGAGAGAGGTCCAATCCTGTAGTAGCAGTGAGGCTATGCATTGTTTGGATAGGTTTGGTTTCCCGTGGGCAATTATCCTCCCCTATTTTCCGCCTCCTATTGTTCCCTGAGGTCGTTTTGCGCATAGATGGCTCTTCATCGCAATGGTTGTTACGTTGATGTAGTGCGGGCTTGCATCTATATCTATTCCAATTCAAGCCGAAATATATTGGCGTTGGTGACATGCGGCATGCAGCATTCAACCGTCAATGATTGTTAGAGGAGGTAGAGAGAATAGCACCTTTAACCTGCGCTTCGGACCAATTCGTACCATTTTATGAGAGAAGTGACCATCTGGCAGGACATCCTATACTGACAGGACTTCTGGCTTCTGTCATCACTCTGCCGCTAAACCATCTAGGATCCATCCATGGATGAGTCAACGATTTGATCTGTCAACCCTATTCGGTCTTGGATTATTTAGAGTTTAAAGAACACGTCATGACGTTGCTTATCCTTAGTGAAGCGAATACCCTCATTGACTTACTGGTAGTGATATTCTCATTACTCCTTTGTTTGTATAGTTCCACCGCAAAGGACCAACTAAGTTTTAACTGACATTCCGCTCCTCCTCCAATTCCTTCAGGCTTTTCTCTTTTCTTTTCTCCTTTCTGTCTTGCGGAGCTTAGAACTATTTCATTATCATTTCACTTTCTAGTGTTTCATGTCACTTATCTCTCCACAGTATTGGGCAGAAAGGAAGGTATCCCCCCGGGAACAAGCAGAAGATCTGTCGTTATTCACCAGCGTAATGGGAAGAAAGGAAGGAAGCTACCCGGAAGATGTCTTTACCATCATTGCATGCAAATTACCCGACAGTGCTATGACACATCGTAGTACTCTCACCAATTTGACAGCGATCTGATCACCTCACTCTGTTTCATATTACTCCTCCATACCTTATGCTTTTCTTTCAGCAACTTTCCTACATTTCTTCCTTTCTGGTTTCAACAACATCACTATTAGGTTACTGATGAGTCATCGTCATCATATCATCAGTCCCTCAGATCTTTCAACTCCTCACTGTCCGCATCCTTTGTCTCTTTCCTGTGGCAGACTGCTTCTATTCCGCTGCGGATCAGTGTCACCTGTAAATTTGCAAATATTTGGAGCATTCAGCTATCATCTACTAATTCATTTGATTGTAGGAATTTTACAATAAACCAATGAAGAGTGAGGAGACATGCTATCGCAATGTGTGAAGCGATAAATGCGGTCGTCTGTGAGCATTATGGCATCTTTACCTCTCACCAAATGCGCTTTTGTTTCATAAAAAGGAAGTGCACGTGGTTGCGTGTTTATTACTTATGCCTCCCCTCACTCTTCATTGGTTTATCGTAAAATAAAGGGGAAGTAATGCTGTCAGGTGATACCCTAATTGGTCTTTAAATATTTCCATATATGCTGAGATGCTTGTAGAAAATGCGGGGTAACATTGTTTTTAAAATGAACGTCTAATCACTTTCCAGCTTATTTGTGAATGATTGATTGCTGTCCTTTTGAAATATAATATCTGCGCATGTGCTTCTTTTTCCAGTTCTGTTACAGGAATAATTTGAGAGGATTTGAATAGTCTTCCTGATAATAAGTCAAATTTTTAGCATATCGCTAATTACTATTTAAATTTAGTATTTGCTTAAGGATTGATTTGCTTATATGTTGTGTTTTTTGGGTCGGGCGGTCTTGATAGTGCTTCGGAATTACATTTTCAGCTTACATAAGATTCGTGTATGGTTCTTTGATGGTGCTTTCACAGATGATATGATCACCATGCTTATCTTTTTCTTTTGTTTCTTATTCACTGTTCGGCTTTTTTTTTTTTTTTTTTTGGAGTCTTCGATGTTTCTTTAACAGATAATATTTGTCACATGGCATAGCGAGCAAAGCAATTTCTTCAGATTATCTAAGAGATTGAGACGAAATATTGATAAAAGTTATGTCAGATTGAAGGGTTTTTAATTTTACTTCCAGTAGGAGATCATTTCGTTATTTTAATTTGCTGAAAGAGAAAGTTGTTCTCATTGTTCTCTGATCCTTCTCAGAGAGAAGAAAGGGTAGAGTTAGGTGATATGAGATCTGGTTAGTCCAGTTGGTCATAGGAAGCAAATGTCTTCTTCATTGCAAATGGATAATCTCATTAGGCATGATTCTACTCTGAGGAATGAACTGGATGCAGTAGGAACTGATTAGTGAGTACTTCTTTCAGCCATGTCATTTCTGTAATTTGAGGGGTCTGTTTTGGAATGCACGAGGGTAATATCAGAGATGCGGTAATAGTGCAATTCTGTCTTTCGAGAGCACTGAGAATGCACTCTCACCGATTGAATGCACTGAGCTAAAGGGAAGTAATATTTACTTCCTCTTGTATTCAGGACATCCTTCCATATCTCACTTCGTGAACTTAATTTTGCTATAACTTTCATCTTCTTTTTTTGGAAGAAAAAGTAAGCAACCAATGTGTACGGAACTTCAAGCAAGAATGTTGCTTTACGTTGTTGTAGGATACTATGTAAACATACCTTCTCATTGACTGATTGGGTCGATTGAGGATCATTTAGTCTGTGATTATGCGAGGTAAACTCATTAGTGACAATTTCTTCGAGATATCTATGTTTGTACAGTAGTAGTAATAGTAATAGTAGTACTAGTTAGTACAAATTGCCTTCACATACTTCACTTTGTCATAGCACTCTCTCAATCTTTCCTTATTTCCTTAAATTGGAAAACACAACGAAGAATTAACTCTCTGTGTATTTGTGTCATCATTGTTAACTTGTGATAAGCCATTCTACTTTTCCAGTATTTCTCTTCTTTTTCGCTTTCATTTCTAACGCTGGTGGAAGTGAATCGTTTAGTTTGTGGTTGGAGGTAGACTGCTTGTACGAGAGTTGCTGAGGTAAGTGGTAAAAGCCTTTACCCATTAGTACTTCAAGAACTTTGCTACCGTTAATGTTACTATTATTCGAGGAGTTGGGATTACATTTGTTGATGTCGATGATCAGAATATTTGAGAAGTTCTCGAATTAGCAACATAATTTATTTACTGCTGCTGATATTTGCGTTCTTTTGTATATCATCAAATTTTTTGTCCTTACCGCCTGTTATTTTCAATACTATTGTATTAATAATTTCTGTACAAATAAACAGAAGTGTCTAAAAAATCAGTATTTGATGTTTTCGGTTGTGGCAAATCAAACATAAATCTTACAATAGAGATATTCATTCTCCTGAATTCATGACTCTTTTCTAATTTGAAATATCATACCTTCAGAAGGTACACTCTCACATAAAGCACTTTTACAGATTTTAGGGATAGGTATCCAAATATACATTTTTTTTTCAAATAGGCATTTTACACACTTTTAAAGTAGAGTAAGAGAGATCCTCTTGTTCACTTTCTCTCCTTATTTCATGCTACCTTGAACTCTCACACGTTATAATCCAGATCGGGCTTGGGACTTTGGGACTCGATTCTTAGCATTTCTTGTATCACTTGCTTGATGTGGCACCCGAAATTACTGTGTTTATTTGACGAAAGCTATTTGTGCTAAAAGCTAGTATAACTTATCATTATCCAAAGTGGATATTTATTCATTTCAGTATTCTTTCTGCGATAATACATATCAATCTTTCACTTTTAACTCTTTTAATCGTACAGTATTATTACATGGATGTAAATAATTCCGTATTTCCCACTAAAATTCTGTCATCTTTTAAGGTTTCTGTTAGACAAGTAGGATTTTCACATCCTTCAATATATAGTATTTTGCATGATTTATGCAAACAGCTTGTCTTCTTTCTGTTTCTTGGCTAACTGCCCTGGCATACTGTGGTGCGTGATATCTCATATAAACATATTTATTTTTTCTTCATTAATTGTGAATGAATTTGCAGGAAGAGTTACATTTAAAACTTTCAAACTCGTAGTACAAAGACCGAACGTGTCGCCTTCTGCATTTCTGGATACATTCATTTGATATCGAACATCAAAATATTGTACTGCAGCGCTATAAGGACTGATTGAGTGTTGTGTGTTAATTATAACATTCCATCATCTGCAATGACTGAAACTGAAACGAAAGTTACTACTGCTATTGATGAGGTTTTCTTTTTTGCTTTACATATAGTTTATGAATCTACCAAGGATTCTGTGGTTACATGTAATGAAGTAATCCATGACACATTCCGCTAGCACTTTCTACCACTCTTTATTATCTATGTTGTTTTGTCTTAGTAAAGAAAATACCCATTTTTCTGCCGTCGAGTTTTTATCGACGTCTAGGAAAATGACTTTGTTACTTTATTATTATTGTATATATATATATATATATGTTAGCGGTTATATATCTTTGCTCCATTCAAATTTATTCTTTGCGCCTTAAACACAGTTGAGTAAAAGCTGGCTTTTGAGTTAGAAAAGTTGACAACATTCATTTCTGTGACAAGAAGTTGTGTTATGTCTTAAAATTTTACTCAGTTGTGCTTAAGGCGCAAAGAATAAATTTAGATGGAGTCAAATATTGCACATCATTATGTTTTATGTTATTGGTTTTGTCTATGAAGCTTAACTATTCTACGAAATTGCTCCGCTTCAGGCTCCATATACAAACTCACCAGTAGCAGAAAGCAAATTGCCAACATCAGTCAACTCTGATGAAGATATCCCTGCTGTTGATGCTGATGTGAAAGATTTGAGTACCCTTGAACCAAAGGAACTTGAAGCGAAGGAAAAAGTGCCAGAATCACGGAAGGATCCAAGAGAAGATCCGATTGGTTGGGTGAATTCACTAATTCCCGGTGCCGTCCACAAGGTATCGGTCTTGTATACAACAAGGAAATTAATGCTCTCTTATCTTTGAGTATTGACCATTATATATAGCTCGCTCTTGAGGTTTATCGCTCGCTTTCGAGGTTTATCGTTCATTTATTTGGATTTTTAAGATTCAAATTTTATTAGTTTTGCCTTTAGTTTGAATTCAAGAGAAAGTTTTAAATAGATGTACTACGGTTAGCTCCAGGCATAAGTGGTTTCGAGATTATGAGTATACTTGGATGAGGGGCATCCATTCATGTCTTATAAGCTTTTAGTGTGTTTTACATTACTTATGATTTAGTAATATCAGTTGTTTCACCTATGATTTAGCAATGTCATGAAGGACAAAGTATTGCAAAGTTAAACTATTGTTTAATAATTAAAGAAAGACTGTAATTTGTAGGTTAATTACCGATTGTTAGATTGGGCTCAGCAGCTGGCCATTGAAGAAGAAGGCAAACGGCAAACATTGCCTGGCAAAAGTGATGCTGTCACAAAGAATCAGTTTTTGTCGTTTCTTCGAGATGGATCATTGCTGGCGAAATTAGCGAATCGTCTTCAGCCAGGCACCATCGAAACGATTCATGAAGGAGATGCAGCGAAAGATAAGGCTAATCAAACATCTAACATCAACGCTTTTATCAATTTTGTCAAAGAAAAAGCTGGTTTATCTGAGGAGCAGGTCACTGTTTTCGTGTCCGATTATTATTTTTTTTTCTTGTTATAAGTTACTAGGTCACATTCTTGTTTCAAAGAAATCATTATGAGCAGTTTGCAATGAAGATTGGTAGATTTTTCATTTTTTGTTTCGTAGTATTAATAGCTTACATTGAATTTTCCTTTGTTGAGTACTTAATATATATATTGATCGTAAAACAATAATAGCCTTTTGTTTCCTTTGCAAGACCCCGTGTATTTTTCTTGCTGACGAAAGAAGAAAATATGATTACGTATAAGTAATTTGAGTGCATCAACGTGTTTATTGTTTTTGGCTGGTATCAACCCAGTCGCTTTTCCTCAATTTTTTGATTTCGGAGGGTTTGACCGGTGGCTGATAGTTGCCAGTTTGGTTCGCTGACTAACCAAAAGGATCAGATTGATGTACTTTTGATACTGTGATCTAAGTGAGTTAGAATAGGATCAATCCATCAAAGGCTCTGGAATTCGTCTTTCTTTCGCTAACAGATAAAAGCTAATGGCATCATTCTGCTGTAAAATAGTCTCATTGTTTCGAAACAACTGTGGAAATTGTGAATTGCTTACGAGCGCTTCGCGCAATCAAAGATTCTTTTGTCTGTTCTATGAGGAAAGAAGCAGCAACTGATGAAAAAGGGGATAGATAAGGTAACTGATTGTAAGAGTACAATTCATAGATCTTCCAGTTATGTCATCAAATACCCTACTGGAGTGATGATAATTTAAAAAAAAAGAAAAAAGGCAGAAATGAGACATTAGTTTATATTGTTATTGCAATTCAATGCTTTCTGCAGCAAAATGGAAGCGTTACGATGTTAAAATTTTAGAACATGTTTGGAAGTTTCAAGGGAATTAGTTTAATAATAGTCCATTTTTGGTTTAAAAGGTCCTGAACATATTAACTAAGAATCTGAGGGGCAGTTTGGAAGGGATATTTCGAATGTTTTCTGATGAATTTATTCGGCTTAAATTGTATTAATAGTATTTAACATTAAATCTTCTTTAATATCTACGAAATTTTAATATTTGTAGTTGTAATTTTAATAGTTGTGCGTTAATTGAGCAGTGAAGAATGATGCTGGCAATTGATGTCTTAGTAGTAGTAAAATTAAACGAAAGTAGTGTTTAAGTAATTAGGGACTGTAATTCGAATGAATGGGAATAATTAGTCTTAAGAAAAAATTTGATAAATTAAATAGCTTTTCCTTTGTTGGTTTGGCTTAATGAGATACCCGACAGAAGTAAATTTGGTTTGTGACATGGAATTAGTCGCTTGCTCACTGTCCTTTGCTCCTTGCTATAGAGTCTTAGCCTCTCAGTTTCCAAACTGCAATAAATCACCAAGCATTGGTGAAGTGAAATGTTTTCCTCAGTGAGAGGATGAACATGATTCGATGACTTAAGTCAGCCATTCCCTTCGTTTGGTATTAGTGGCCTGTTTTATATATTAGTAATAGTTCTTTCCACTCATGTTCATTTGATTAAAAAATAATTCTTATTAGCCAGTCAACTGCATCCTGTCATGTCTTTGTTTTGTTTTTTGGTAACTATTTCCTCCTCAGTAGAATGTATTCATGTGCAGAATAGAGGAGATTGATTTGTGGCTACTATGACCAGACTGGTCTGAATGTCTATTAGGCTTCAGTATGTTAATAGGCTGTAGACATCGATCTTATTCTAGACAATTTTTTTTGGCTAAGAAGCTACTACCGAATTGCTATGACTGGCTCGCCGCCCTAAACATAAATAGCCATTAGGACACTGGAAGGCTAAAATAGATTAAATTTTTTCTGCTTGCTTAGCTTCAGTGGTCAAAAAAGAATCGAGAATTGCATAAATGTTAAGACTTTAATTTTGCAATGCACTCATTGGCAACGAAGACCTTCCAGGGTGGATTTTAATTAACATAATTAAATTAAAAACGTAATTAAAGCACGAAAATATGTTTATTTCTTTCAAATAACTTCCAGAATAACTTTAAAGTAAGGTAACATAACCTAGCCCATATAGTGCGGTGTTTTCAAACCTGGAATTCACAGTTTTTGCTTATTTAATTTGCCCGAGAAATTCTTTATAGGTATTCACTGCTGCGGATCTGCAGGAAAAAGGAAAAGCGGGATATCAAGCAGTGTTCAACACACTTATGCAGCTTGCTCTCAAAGCGCAGGGCATATTTGAACAAAAGGTATGTTCTCAGTGATTTTATTTTTTAATGAGGTAGCCGTCGGTTAACGGAGGTTTTTCTTTTTTTGGATTTAATTAATTTTAGGGAATTGATGTCGAGCAACTCATACAAACAGCTTCACAAGTGGTTCCAACGAATCTTGTGCAGACAATTTTAAATTTTTTTAGACGAGCACAACCAACTCAGGTTCGTTATTAGCCAGTACTGAAGCAAAAATTGTTACATGTTACTTAATGTGTGAGTCTCTTTTCACTTCATAAATATATAATGAGAGGTAAATATGTGGAAAACACTGCTACTACTGAAAGGAGGCTGAAAGACAGTCTGCGGAGATTTTTTCTTTTTTTCTTTTTGAAAATGAAGGAAAATATTTGCTCTTGCAGACACCAAAAAAACTTGCAAAAGAAGCAGAAGAAAAGGATAAGGCGGCTACTATTGAAAAGGTTCCTCTGTTTTTTACAGTTAAAAAAATCTTTATTAAGGTAAGATTGCATAATTATCCAATCTGTCAAGGTAGTGAGGAATATCATGAAAAGTTGCAATGTAATTACGGGTAGGAATAAATTATTCACTTCACAGAGTTCTAATGAGAACTTGTTGGATGTTATTATTTATACTTCCAGGGATGTGGTATGGTAAGAATGCTACTGTTCCTAGGTTTTCGAAACTCTACTATCCAAAAAAAGAATATGAACATACGGAATTAGTACTGTACACTCCGTCGGTAATGGTGGTAATCAAAATGATGTCATGAGTCATTAATCAGCATTTTAAAAGTCACTTATAGGTTGCTGAAGAAAAACAGACAGAAGATGAAGTGTGCAAAAAAGTTGATGTTCAAGCGGGCGTTGATACACCGGCTGTTGCTGTTCACTGATTTCTAATTTCAGTTTGTTGTAAGAAGAAAAAAATCTTCTATCTCGAAAATATTTCAGTTTTCTGCCAACATGGTTTTGTTTTAGTTTTATTGTAAGTTTGCGATCAAAATGAAACATTGCTCTTTTTCTTGAGCGTAAGAACAAAAAGATTGATTATACATTGCTTACATAACTATTGCACGATTTTATTTATCTAATAAGTGAGTAAGCTGGAATTCTTTGGTGACATTTTATTTTCTAGGTTTAAATATAGTCGTTGATGCTTCACCGTTGAGATTTCATCGTATCAGTTAATTTCCACATTTGTTCAATCATTTGATATTACTGCCTATACTTATAATTCATCACAGTATTACTTGCAGAGTATGAATATATTTCGAATTCAGTGATTTGTTTATCTCGTTTAAGTAGTACTGTAGTAATCAAATGAAATATTTGTGCATACCATTCATTACTACAAAATGGTGGCGGATTCCGAATACTATAAAAATAAGGAAGAATAGTAAATGGAGAAAGTTAGTTTTGAATCTACATTCCTTGAGGCTTATTAAAAAAGCTAACTGCCAAGCTTTTCATTGCTTCTGAGCTTCGAATTCTCGTTACTGAAATAAACAATGCTTAAAATCTGACGTGATCTGTGGTTATTAATTCTTATGCTTGTCTTTATAATACAAATTGGCTTTATCATTATATTATCTGAACTGAACTAATCAGCATAGTAATTCAACGCTTTTCCTTGATGTATATGTGTGTGTGTTGCTAGGAAATAGGAATATGGAGAAGAATCGATATTCCTTATCGACAAATAAAAATCTGAGTATGCAGCTGATTTCTTTGTTCATATAAATTTAAATTTTTTCACATCTCGATTCGCGTTGCTACATACACTTCATATACGATGGTTAAAGTTATTGTTTTTAACAACTGTCAGTTCGGAATCATTTCCTTATACCTATGATCAGTTCTGGAAATAACAGTCAGGATTTAATTTGATAACCGGCATTGTTCCATCTTTTATTATGCTTTTTTTCTCTTTCAATTCTCTTCTAATACATTTTGTTATGAAGTGATTTTTTTGTTACAGCTGCTTTAACTTAGAGCTTGAGTTTCTTGCGTCTAATTTTTAATTGGAAGGACGTAATGCACAGTGATGGAAAGACGTCAACTTTGTCATCGTTCGATCAGTTATAGCCGAATAGTACTTCATCCTACTATTTATTTTTAATTGCTATAAATTCAAAAAAGTGGATTGCCGTATAAATACTTAAGATTAGATTTGCTTATTCCCTTCACATAATCTGAAGTCCTAAGTTCTAACGGAATAATGAGAAAGCTTTTGTGAGGAAATGATATTTATGTTATCGGTAAATGATGATGTACTGTGCAGGTATCACTTGTGATTAAATGATTAATTTGATCAATGGGTTCTATGTTACCTTTCTAAAGATTCCCTACATAGGATCAGAACACATTACACTAAGCTTCTGTTCGTCATGCATAGTTGAGTAGCATGCATTTGCTTTATGCGAGAGTTCTTCATTTCGCTGGTTCTGTTGTCGTAATACCAGTCAAAGACCGCACATCTTTCCATCCCTGAGTCCATGTTCAAGTTGAATTAGTCATATATTACTGGGTATAATTGATGCGAAGTCATCATTTCTCTTTTGTTTCCTCTTAAATTATTCAGTTTCCGGATAAATTGTCCATCATATTCTGAGTGAACTTTACGGATTAACAGCAGCATGTGTTGTACGGTATTGTTCATCGTATTGTGTAGTCGATGCTGTTATTTCTTTCATATCGGCCATTTCTTTTTGATTGTGACAAAGACAAAGGATTAATCCTACTCTTTGGTTGTTCCCTTTCCATATCTCAAACTTAAATAATTAAACTTTAATTCTGATAGGATGGAGACAATTCTGATAGTGACAAGGGACACAGCAATCGGAATCCCAGTAAGACAACCTTAACGAAGATATCAGTAACAAGGGAGGGAGAAGGTAGACTATGAGCAATATCGTAAGCAACTCAGCTAGTCCAAATTTTGAAGGTTGAATTAGTGGGTGGAATCGTACACTCTATCAGGCGGAAAGGCATATTTGTGTTATAAGACCACAAGGACGTATTTAGGGTATGCACACCGGTAGGTTGGGATGTGAAACGATAAAACACATAAAGAAAGAGAACAAAGGGATTGCCATCCTTTTGTTTCCCCTCGTGATTTCAGCCACATGGAGAATGGAGAAGTAATGTCAATCGTATTGAAATTCGCATTGTTGATGTAATGTGGTGCTGTGTTGTTCACGTGGTTAAGCCGACAATTCGAGGTGCATCGGGTAGATGAACTAACTATTTGCATTGTTGTCGATAGCAAAAGTTACCAAATGGCTGGGTTAGAAGTGGGCAAGACGTGTTTTGTAATGGGACAAAGGGAGACTATCGGACTCCTTTCATTTGAACGGAAGTTTATGGCATGCTTGGATGTTGTGGCAAATTTAATACCAAAGGGAAGGAAAAACGAGGACAGTGTAGACAACGGATTTTAATGATATCGAAGCATTCCTGTAGAATATGTTGAGTGATGGATGGATATGCCGCTGCTTCACTGTGCCAGGGATTTGCTCGAGGAGTGGTTGTTGTTTAATGGCAGAGACAGTATGGATTTCATTACGATCTGGTCGGAATAGTGTCGCAATACGAGGGAAGTCGCATAGGCAGGAAGGTCTGTTGGTACTTATTGTCATGGTTTATGTAAGGTATAGTGGTGGTGTTGGTGGCGGGTAAGGGCAGGTCGCTACACTGAGTACGACTAGTGAATAGTGAGGACCAATCGTTAGGGGAAGTGATTTGGGTAGGAGTGGAAAGTTTCATGGTGCTCTGTTGTGTTTAAGTAAAATAAGGAATAGTTTGAATTCATTTAGTCATCGCTAACACAATGGGGAAGATTTCTAAAATTCAAATTGCTAAAATTGGTCGGAAAGGGTTCAACATTCGCAAAGGTATGGTGTCTTAATATAAAGCATTTTTACTGGGATAATTGTTTATTGTCTGTACAAACATTTTAAAAGCAAGGAGCTATTTTATTAGCAATAGCACATTTAATTTATAGTTGGAGGGAGGAGAGCAAAATAAATTGTTGATGCATTGTATGGAATTGCATAAAGTTAGAGGGAGAGAATAGAGACATTTACAGCACTGGCTGATATGGTTACCGAATTTCTGGAAATTATTTGCCATACTGTGCTTTTCAATTTTGGTAGTTATGCAGCTGAGACGTTTGGTACAGCCAGCTATGGAGATATCCTTATCCATGTAAGTGCAATTTTAAAATGACCTATTTTCTACCCATCCACTAGTTTGTTTGTGTCAGTATTCAGGACTTGAAAATTTCCTCTCGCAGTTGGCTCTGCGATTGACCACTTCCTTAGACTCTTTCAATTTTCTCTTTCAGAATAATCATTAATTGAGTTCTTCCTCTTTAAAGTATTTTTGAAACTTAGAAATGCCAAGTGAAAGAAGTATTGGATTATATAAGTAATGCGCTGCAAACAGTTCATCGATGGATAAAGTTCGATATGCTATCCCATTTTGCAGCGTGTGTCCTTGATAAAGACAACAGAGTGGTAATGGAAGTCGTAATAATCATTATGGATACGCAGTACTCTCACCTTAGGTCCATATAATCATATAATAATAATAATAATAATAATAATTAATAAAAATATGGTCCATTTCTTCAGATTCAAATTTACTGCTGGAAAGAAATAATCACTGCTTGGCTACGTTTAGCTCTGATCAACGAATATAATCTATTTCAGAGACGTACTGACAAATGAAGCAGCTGATATGAAACGACAATTCCAACAAACAATTTTTACATTACAACGTGGATCATATATCGAGAATATGAAGAACGCTTTCCGATGCGAAGGTGATAATGATTATGTGAATACAGACACTGGAGAATAAATACTTTTTCTGGTACTTATGGCTTATACATATTTATTTCAGAAGTACGCTTCGAATTACATACAAAACTTAGAGGTAACTGCGAAAAGAAACTGCAAAGACGAGTTGGAGTAAGTTTTCTTTTTCTTTATTGGAAGTGAAACCTCTGACAAGAGTTCGCATTCTTCTCCAACTTTAATTTCAGGAGTTTAAGTGGGAAAAATGTGACCATCATGTCCCTCAAAATCTACATCCTTGCGGCAGACGAATTGACAGCAAATTGATTGAGGTTTTGCATCTTCTGAGTGTTAATTAAAATATTAGGATGTTCAAAATATAGTAATTCGGTGATGTTAAACTATGTCTATACAGCTGCACAGTTTAAATGCTTCAAAAGCAGTTTATTGTAGTACTTTATCTCTATCCAAATTAGATAATTTAAGCTTAGCTGACTGAAAAACGTTGCTTCAAATGATATTTGTTTTGCAGATCGTTGCAATGGTACGTCAAACAGACGAAATGTAGTGCATGTTGAAGACACGTGTAAGAGTGGCGCGATAGGGATGCAAAACTACAGCTTCTGCAAGGACCGTGCATGTGACTTCCTCACTTTAAAACGTGCCCCAAAGCGCATTTCATAAGCGGTATTCAGGAACGAAAAACTGTCGTTGTCGAGGTGCTGGATGCGATTGTAAAGCAATGAATTCACTCTAAAATCCCAAGTAGCAAAATGTAAAAAAGATCGTAACTTCAATGGCTCATGATGGCATCAGAACCTATTGTTTTTGTTGCTGCTAATAGGTTAGTGTTCCAAACGGAATACAAAAAATAACTTTATCGATAAAAATGATGGAAAGCTAATTACTCCAGTTAAACTCCCAAACTTTAAATATATCAAACAAATGAGATATTATCGGTAAAAACGATGGAAAAGCTTCTAATTACTTCAAGTTAATCTTCTGAACTTCAAATATAACAAGCAGGAACTTTAGTTCAGTACTGAAGGAAACCTTGCAGAAAGTGCCATATTTACTGTTGATAAGAATTACAGAACAACTTATGAATTATTTGAGTTAAATTTCCAAAAAAAAAAAAAAAAAAAAACGGAAAAGTGCCGGAAATTTCTTAAAGAGTGTGATGTTTGTTAAAAACTATGCAGAATAATTCATAAATTGTAAGTTAAAGTTTATAATTTATAAACTTCATAACTCATAACTTGCCAAATTAGTAAAGGTAGCTTACAAAAATAATTTGTTAAGTTAGAAAAAGGCTTATGAATTTCAATTTAGCCTCCAAACTTTAAACATACAAACACAAATTTATTAACATTGAAGAAAGTTATTAAGGAATACAATATTTACTGAGAATAAAAACCACGGAAGAGCTTACAAATTATTTCGACCAAACATACAAATATAAAACTTACTACTAGTGGAGAAACAATGTCAGTAAACTTGTGAAAACAAGGGTGTAAAAAATATATGGAAGATGAAAAGTTTCTAATTTCAAAATAATACACGAAAGAAAGTAGCGGGGCGAAAAAAAAAGGAAAAAAAAAAAAACATGAAAGCGAAGGGGAAGGGATACAAGATAATCCGAGTTGCGATGTTGTAAGGACGGGCCAACCAACTGCTGCAGCACATCACTAATTCAAGATGCCAATAAATTGTTGAGATTGTGCGGTTAGTGGCTGCAACTGCTAGTTTGTAAAGCAAAAGACTGGATTACAAAACCTCTACAAAAGCGAATAATAATGTCTCAATATGTTACATTTCACAAATAGAAGGAAAAAACACAAACGATGGAAGTATGAATTAACAAACATCCAACAATGCCCTTCCATCGAAAGCAGACAAACTAGCAATTGAATGCTTCTCTATCATACTCGATATTTCGATAAAAATAATATTCAGCGATAAAAATGATACATTAAGATAAATATAATCAGCTGATTTTCCCTTCCCAAATAGCCAAAATCACTACAGAAACAATGTCATTCAGGTGTTACCGCTTATTTATAATCCGCTCACAACGACATTTATCATCTCTAAATTGCATCGTTACTTGGAAGAAACAAAGCTAAACATCCGACGTAAATGCTACTGTTTCCTGCTTTTAAGTCGGAAATTCCACGCATGTTCAGCATGGGAAATTCGCATTTTAACAGTAATGGGAGTTAATACTACACACCACTTTCACACCCATTCTAAGAACGTGAACAAGACCCTTCCCTACATGCTTGTGTTTTTAAAGAAATTGTAAGCAGTACACTGTGACATGCAAATTTCTGATGCTGTTACATGGTGAACAAAATATTTCATAGGAATAATTCCGACAAAAAATACTTTGAAAATCATAAATGCGAAAGATATAAGAGAAACTATATGAAAAGAAACCAACAATTCATTAGCTGCTTCATTTAGCAAACAACTATTAATGTTTTCCTTATAAAAATAAGAATGACGAACTTCAATTACAGATGAACAAGAACTTTTGGTATTTCTGGTTAATCTTCAATACGTACAACTCTTGATTAGGATAGAAAGGAGTAGAAGAAAAAATGAGCTGCCGTTCTCCCATAAATCAAGAATAAAATTATAATTTAAAATATTTCATATTCTAAATTTTGCAACGAGATTAACTACAGCAAATATTTAAATGAAAGGGAAAGATGTCAGCAATCGGTTTAGCTATAATCCTTCCCGCCATAATCATCACATACTGACATTTTACCTTATCCACTCGCGCAAAGGACATCACCAGTCTCAGTACAATCCATGCGCACACTTACACTTCAATCAATTAATAACAGCTGTCCTTTTCACACTCAACATGAGACATAAATCCAATAAACAAATCCAACAAGAATAATTCAAAAATTTGAAAAAAGGTAAGACGATCTCCAAAAAATGAGCCTCCATCCAAATTATTGTATTCTACCGAAATATTTTCCCATGAGCTTTATAGTTAATAAAGAACTACGTGAAATATATATATACTTAATTCGTATATATTAATGATTTACTTCAGATTAACTATACCAATGAAATTAATTTTTTGAACATTTTTCTAGCAGTAAGAAATTTAGCCGAAGAGACATGTCCTCAGTCAAGTATCCTTATATATAACAGCATTTACAGAAGATTTAAAAACAAAAGAACGGATACATAATTTCGATAGAAGTTCGGCGAGATCAACTGGAAAGTTATATATAATATTCTGTAGACGCAATAAGACATAATTGTAATGGATTATATATTGTCAAAAAATTTTGCACTGCACTTAAATGAGCGTCTCGAATGTGATGGATTATTAAAAATCATAGAATAAAACAGCAAAGGTACCACAGTGCAGAAATATCATAGTTAGCAGCAAAATGAAAAAAAAAAAAAAAAAAGAAAAACGAAGAACGAGAAATAATTCTTTTTAGATGGAAAATGCTTAAATACCAAACGAAAACGAGAAGCGCCAACTCCAGTTGCCCAATTCAAATGTAACATTCTAATAGACCGAGTACAACCCAATTAAAAAACACAATTTGAATTGATTGAAAGGAAACATATGATGATTAAACGTTGTTTCTGACAGTAAGCTACAGAAATCACGCCGTTGTAATACGCAGAGATATAAATGTAAATATAATAGAAAGCGATACCCGAAGAAGACAGTCGTATAAAATGCAGCAAAAAAGCAAAGACAACAGAGCACGGCTTTACCAAGACTCTTCATGAGAATATTTTTGCTGCTCTATCTGACTTCTTGCTATCAGGTTTTCATCTTCACAAACACGAATATTTTAAATGAAAAAAGTACACTACTGCAATTAACATAAGAGTTACTTCCATAATTAAGTAGTATAACTCTCAAAATTATATTAAAGGAATTATCCTGACTTTAAAATTAAAAAATAGAGAAAATTACATCTACATTCCATCACAAACCGCAGAAATTCGTGGTCCATATGTAAATCATGCCGAACGTTATGACTTCTAAATTTACAAAAACAATATAAAGCAAATTTTAAAATGAACAACAGTATATGCATAAAATAAACTCAATGTGCATGAAAAGATGTATAATGTAACACTGCCTATTTTTAAGAATGTAGAAATCAGGAGCAGTATAATTATTATTATTTTGTCTGAAACTATTGAAGATTTTAAAATGTCAAGAAATCCAAAATTAAGAAGACAAAAATAGATGACAAACTTCTTTTAAAATTAGGCTTTTCGTGCAAATGCGTTTGTAGCATACAGCACGTATCCTATTTGATACATATTATTTGATACATACTGATACTATATACAAATAAAGTGAAGAAAAAAGGCAGTAAAAAAAATCACTAAAGATTTGTTAAGTTTCAAAAGTTACATTATTAAGAAAATAAGAAATGAAATAAAAATAAGGAGTAGAACAAACAAAAAAGTAATAAGTGCAGATGATGCAGATGGTGAATTATTAAAATAATGCGAGAAACTGCCGACACACCTTAGATTAGACTATAATGGCAAGATACTATGAAAAATTCAACTTATAAAGGTTTCAAATAAAAATGTTAGAAATATGAAATAGGAGATTCATGCTTTGAACTTACGCTAAATTACCAATCTTAGGGCAATACAAGATTCTTGTATTGCCTTACGCTTATTTTCATATAAGCAGCAATATTAGCTTTAATAAATATAGAAAAAAAAAAGGACGTATGAAAAGCCAAAATAAAATTTTGAAAAAATGAAGAATTTCATAGAAATTCTGTAAAAAAACGCTGCGTGCAAGACTTATTCCCATTTACATGTCTGAAATACGGAAATAAATACGCAAAGAGAACTTGCGTTCATTCTTATTCAGCGAATTATGAACTCGGTGATACAGCAACACAGTGCAGCGGTTTTATTTGCAAGTTGGGACTGCATTTATTCCATTTTGGTGTCCCATGAAAGTTTTCATGTCGTGCCATCTCTACTTCTATGACTTCTGTAATCGGTGGTACAGATTGTTCATCACCTGGAAGTTTGACTGTTTGAAACATTTAGAATTCTTCAAGTGGTTACACACATTCTACTTAGAAACGAATCTTATGATTTTTCTCTTGAATGTTTTGCAAACCGGAAATGAATCATTCTCAGTCAATTAAAATCTATTTTAGGAACAAAAAAAAGAAAAAAAGATTCTTGTGAGGAATTAGTTTTCGCTAACAGATTCGCATGCTAGCTATATGAGGGCATAGAAGGGCTACATCTCACACAGTACCAGCTCTCACTAAAATCCTAAAATTCTAACCAGAACACGATGAAGACGACGATGCTTCTTCACACCATATAAACGGTGGCAAAGGTACAACTTTTGCCTGAGGTGACTCACTGAACTTTGCACCCGCAAAGTTAACATTATCTGATTGCTGCTGTCGCCGAAAATGTCGTGCTAACCCTTCAAATTTTTTCCGTGTTAAAAACTACCCGATAAAACATTTTATTTCTCGAAAATTGAGATACCTTTTACTGCTATGAAGCTAATAAATTTATGATAAAAAAGTAGTAATGATAGCATACAGCAATTTATTTTATGTATTTTACAACTTTCTTTCCTCAGTTTCGCACGCAGAGATGTAAATAGAGGTATTTGGAAGAACTCGTTGAAATTCCTCGCTGTCACCTCCATGTTATTTTTTCTAAAAATTTTCCAAACGACTCTTCATAGTGAAAAATCTTCTGGAGGAAAGGATTCAATACTGATTTCGAAAACCGCGTATATATCTAATCGTGGAAAAATCACTTCTCTCTGTTTTTCTCTTCGGCGTCACATCAAGAGAAAATGGTTGCTTCTGGGAGATGCTTTTAATAGATGACGTATCTTCTGATGGTAATTGCGACTGAAACATATTACTGGATGCTGGTGCACTTGAAGAGAAACATGGAGTTGCTGCCATGGAAGCGGGTACATCGACACGCTTTGATAAAGAGGATGTTACGAGCTTAGAATTTTTTGCTATTGACGTATCTACGGCAGGAAAAGAAGCGCATGGTTCAGATTTCGACCACTGTTTTGAATTACGATTCTTTTTTTCTAAGTTACCACTTTGTACACATAATAGACCATCATGTCTGTCGGATTGATGATGGGAGTGTTTGGACGTCTGTAATTAACAGTGCGCAAATCAAATCACGAAAAAAGTCTCTGCTAATTGAAATTTATATTGGCACTCAGTAAACCACTAATATGTGTATAACATCCTTAGTTATTCGAATAATATTTATACTGCAATGATAAAAGACCTATAACCTGGAACTCTCTTTTTAAATGAACGATTTGAAAAAAGAATATAACCTAAAAAATAAACCTGATGACTGATATTACGCATGGCTTTAGTAGCAACTGGTGTTGTTGGCGCACTTACAGAACCATTTGGGAAAAACAAAGCAAGTGGAACCGATGGCACTGCATGCATAATTCTCGATGACACTGGATGAATGATTCCCGATGACAATGGGCGTATTACTCCCGATAACATTGGATGCATAATTCCAGATGACATTGGATGCATGATTCCCGACAACACTGGATGCATAATTCCCGACGACACCGGATGCATAACTCCTGATGACATTGGATGCATGATTCCTGATGACATTGGATGCATGATTCCGGATGGCACTGGATGCATGATTTCTTTTATTGTTATGGCTGAAGTGTGGATGAATATGCAAAGTTATTTGATTTAATATAAGGCATTTCGCGAGACTGCTATTTGTCAAACTTCATTCTCACAATAAGGATAATATTGCAACAAGTAAGATAACCGAATATTACAGAGAAAAAAAAACAAAGGATCGATATGCCATTGAACACATTCCTATATTCAACAGAAAATACTTACATGTCAAGCATACAACGAGTGTCACCAAAATGGAATGCACCACCCGTATTTAGATTCAGAAAGTTATGTTCTTTTTTACAGAGCCAAATCAATCACTAAATTAATTGGACCAGCTGCTACAAAGGCGTTACCCAATACAAATCAAGGTAGAAAGTGTTTATCATGGAAATAAAACTACAACATTACTGCAACAAGACTCTTCTTCAATCCAGCGCTGAGTATCTTAATAATTGATTTTTTCTGATACTTAAAGAATGATAAATATGATAAAATGATCATATGAGACCTGACTCTTCCCTTCTAAATTATACATTTATAGACATAAGTATATACATTTATAAGGAGACAAACTGGCACACATTAAACTTTTCTATAGGCATAGAAAAGCTGGAGTGGAAAAGAATCTTTCCTCGCCTTTTCCTTCAGGCGGCAAAATGGTATCAGTTAAACAGAAAGCGCATCCTAACCTGACTACCTGTATACTGAGTACTGCTGAAAAACCACAATCATTTTAAAAAGAGATTATCAAGTCTTGTCGCCACCAATATCAGTCCCGTTCACTGACTCAACACAGCATAACTGAAACTAAGCGACCTGCTTATTACATTTGAAATGTGCAAAAGGTTAATACAATATATTATGCATGCACATGGAAGACTTGATAAAACATACGAAATGGCAACAGTGAGAACTGACATCAAATCCACTGCTGAAATGTACGGCACGACTCAATCACTCACCCTTGTCAACTGTCAGTAACAACGGAACATAAAAGTGGCACTGCCATTTCGAAATATTCTTATGACAGTCACATGTGCATTGTCGCGCTGCTTTGCACACGTTACACACTTTCAACCATCATCACTAATGGATCTTGTAATCTAAGTTAACACACACAGTTAGCGCACATTCTCCAAAACATTTAAAGAAAAAAAAAGCAGATGAATTAATCATCACACTTAGAACCCTTCTAGTTGTCTCTAACATTGAAGATAACTCACCACTTATTTAATATTAATCAGGTGAGGAAAGTATCAGATGCTGACCTTATTACCATCGTCCTGTTAAGACATTAACATTTACCATTAGCGCTTATGTAAAAATATCAAATAATATCATCAGCTAGCTTCTAAAGTAATTGTATTGGGAAGAGCGGGAAATAATGAAACTATAATAGAATAGGTTTGACCATAACATAACAGTCATCGAAGAAAGAAGTCGTATTTAGCAGTGCCTAGCATAAAAACCTCATGTGACCCACAGTAATCACGTGGGCTTTCCATTTTACATAACGACCGACAATGACCCCAATCGCTGTAATGACAAAATGAACTCTATGACCTCAAGAATTGAAGAAAAGGAATAAATGCACTAGAAGTTTGAACAACGAAGAAAGTAAATAAGAGAAAATATATAATATAGAATAGAGAAATATACAAAAAAAGACGCATTCCAACTTCACATTTACGTCAAACTAACCGTAAATGATGCATAAACGCTTATGAACCATGATCACAGTTATCAAGGAATATAACTTATAACAACACAAGTGAACTACGTCAACCAGCACGACGTAAGTGTTTCTCTGTCAACTTACGAAGAGTGACACGGTACTTCGCAACACTCATGACAACTGCTCAACGCCAACAACAAATCAGCCGACACTCAAGCGGTATGTATGAGTGTATTGATTAAAAGAGATGATGAAATATCATGTGATGTGATGGAGGTAGACATTGTACAAACAGAGAAAGAGCAAAGAGTACGTAAGGACGCGAGAAGATACGAAGGAAGGAAAGAGAAGAGAGAATTGAATGAAGTGTAACATGTATGTATGGATGGATAACAAGATAGTGCGATTGAATAACAACACTTTGTTGAGTGCCAAATTTAATACTGCTATACAGGAATTAAAATCGGAATTGGAATTGACTCCTCTCTTTCATCACCATTTTGTATTATGTATTTTATAGGAAAAATTAATGAGAAAGTTTCAATTAAAACAAGCTTTGTAGCAGTATACTGAGACTGTAGTATCACCAAGTTTTCAGTGTTTTGTGTACCTTGATGTCATATCTTTGTATCTCTTTCATTATTATTATCATGATAGGACAAAGTAATCCAAAAGTTATTTCACGCGTGATTAGATGCGTGCTTCATACTATATTATATTAATGTATATTTAATAACATGAATGTGACATTGTGGTAAAAATGTTGGATTAATTTAATCAATAATAAAATCAGTCCTTCAATAATATTAACCTTAATCTAAATGATCTGAGTTAGTTTCATTTTCGTGTTACATGGTTTTCCATTCGTGTTTTCAAAATATATACAATGATTAGTTTTCAGAAACAATTTTCATATGATAAACGTATTCACGGGGTAAAAGAATGAATAGACTTTGGAAATGGTTCATCGGGAAAAGAAATGAATGCTCAGTTACTTATTCTCGATTTGGCGTACCTGGTAATCATTTTTTTGACTTTTTTTTGCTGACATATATGATTCATGTTTTTGTTTAATTATTATATCACTCAATTGAATTCTGGTCAAATTTCCACAATCATTAAAATCTCTGCGAGGATAACGAACTTTTCGTGCTCAAAAGAAAAAAATTCGTGCTTTTTTCTTGATTTGTTGAATAATTCATTAAATAAATAGTTCAACTTTCTATTAATTATAACACCAGGTGACGTTTTGGACGACCGTCCACGACCATCAACCATTTGTGTCGCACAGTTCGACGATAATGACCCGAAATTTATATTCTTTAAGCTTTGTCATGCTCAAAAAGCTGCTGTGGTGAGCATTTCACGTTTCATCAAAATGATATAATTTGAATATGCACGTGTTAGTTTCTCTATGGATAACAAGACATCATAGTTCAATATATGTTTCAGGCTGTCGCTGGATTTGGTATGGCGTCTGTTATTCTCATTTTCATATCTGTATTCTTCGAATTTGATTGGTACAGTCACAAAACAGGAATCGATATCATGGCATTAGGTATTTTATTTATTTCTTTTTTTCAGTAAACACATAAGAATTTCGTCGGATGCTCAAAATGCTGCACTGGGAATACAATTCCATCACTAGGAATTGTGTAGTTTATGTTTCAGACGCTATGTATTGCTTGATTTTTCTAGTTGTAAAAAATTTTGTTTTCATATATTTGATATTTTCTTCAGCTTTTTTTTTCTTATATCTTGGGATTGGATTACTTGTTCATTACCAAGTAATTGCTGGCATTAAGAAGCAAGCTTCTTATTATCTTTTACCATTTATTGTATCATATATTGTTGCGATCGATACTGAAACGATATTTATTTTGTAAGTCTATTTTTCAAAACAAATCGAGCTATAAAACTCAAAACAAAACAGACCGCTGTGTTAAAAACAATCACACATGGAAGTTTTATGAGATCAAGGCACGGAAGTTAGAATAGCTTATTCTGGTCTAGGCTGTTGAAAATTAGCCTTGATTACCTGGTTAAGAATATCCAAGATTGAATTTTCAGCAGCTTAACCTAAAGTAAGTTGTTTTAACCATCCCTTGCTTTTATATCTTTATTATCTGAACTCATTATTGTTGTTTATGGAACTTTCGCTTTTTTCGATTGCAATTCTGGATTGAAAACTATTAGTTCCAGTAAGATTCTTTGTAATAATATTTTTCAGTATTCACATACTGCATATACAGTCTCCATCACTTGATTATTCTTTCAAGGCCGAATCAAACGTTGTTTACTTATTTTCTATCATTACGTTGCTTATTATAATATTATTTCAAGGATTCATGTTAAAAGCTGTATGCCAATGTCGTTATTATCTTTCTTGTAAAGAAATACATTTAACTGCATTGAAAGTTGCCGAAAGCAGTGTAAGTTCTTGATCCGATCATCAATTTATTTGTTATACTAAAATGATACGCATTTTTGCATTACTTTATGGGTAGTGTAATAATAAAGGCCTAATAAGTGAACCAGTTTCCTCAGCTTTTATATGAACAAATTCTCTGATCTTGTATATGAAATACAATGAATATTTCAGCGTACGAAATATCCTGGAATCCATGTTGTTTTCGCTTCACCTAGATTTAATGTGAATCATCCGGTGAGCACAGCCAACGGCAATAGAGTAGCTGATGGAGGCGTAATCGAACAGGGAATTAATTCGGTATGGTAACGTTCACACTTGCAATCTTATTGCTAGTAGTTATCTACCAGTGTGATACTTAGGCATAATGGTTAAGTCTTTGGAATTCTCTAGCATTTATCATTATTCGTTCGGCCATTTAACACCAAATTTTCTATCGTTCGCCTTCATTTGTCTTCTATTTTCAGTATTGCATTTCCTTATGTTGAAGAATTGATTTGCAAACCACGCGTAGTCAATCTTCAGATTACTTCCTTTTCAGGTTATTTTTTAGATCTGCTTCTGAGAAGCAAGCAGAATCTTCGTTTTGTTTTATTCCGCCGATTTTAGCGGTTAAAGTAATTAAAAATAATCTGAAGATAATCTCAGCGATTACAAATTTCTTTTCCGGAAAGTTTTCTAGCGTGTAGTTCAGGTCTTGTAATGAGTACGTTTTCAGCCACTTTTATTATTAAGTTTTTAACTACTGTGCTCTTTCTTTCAATTTCTAGTTGCGAACATAGATGTACCTCGTGGTTTCAAATCTCTATCGTTGCTAACTAATTTGCAGAAATTTTCATGAAACTTCTTTTTTGTTGTATGTTTGATCAGAAATGCCGGCAGCTTTAGTTGTATTATGTTAGAATGATTCAAAGATATTAGTTATTTTAAATTTTATTGCGGGTCCTGCACTTTTGCAGTTCAGGCTCATCGATTTTGTACATTCTCATGCCCATTGTATATTTTAAATTACTACTGTTGAATGTTGCCTTGTTTTATTTACTTAACTGAAGAAAAACTGGATTAAATTGGAAATTTCCAGTATTGCATTTGTCCATACCACACAATTCCATAGTTATAAATTTATTCGAGAACAATAATCAAGGTAACACAGCGTTTGGGGAAAGAAAGAGAGGTTATTTGAAGAGGGATTCTGATAACTCTGCCTGATCATTGAAAACTGGTTATAAATTGTGATTGAAAAGTGAGTATTCTCTTCAAAGTATTATCAGCTATAAGACATTGCTATTCCATTAGAAACATAATTTTTTGCTGTTGTCTTTGTTTAATTATTGGTATTTTTATTGCTACCCAGATGAGTGTTACGTATATTACCGTCATCAATAACGTAGTATAGCGTGGACGACTTTTTTCCATAAGATGAAAACTTCCGCTATTGTTGTACGAAGATAATAACTAAGATATTTAGTGAGACAAGGTTAATGCTTAATGTCACATTGTGTTTAAGTGGGAAGGACATAAGGACGATGCATTACTACTCAAATGACAATATCCATCTGATTGAGGTGTATATGAGAAACAACAGCAATGACATTTATCACCGTGTAGCACACAGTTTACAGCAGGTATTCTGGTTCCTAATATCTGACATAGCAGTGGTTCCACATATTGATATGTCGGCCCTTTGCTTAGTGTTAATAGTTCAGCAGTCACATAGTCTGATACATCACATCCATCCTGTGATGGTACTACATTCGGATATCTCTCCTAAATCAATATAACATATGCCTTGCCAACCAATTTTAGTCTCATGCATGAAAAATTTTACATAGTGCTTACCTGTTACTGTTTACTGAACTTGAGTTTAAGTCTTATTTAAAATACCTTTTTTTTCAGAAAACTAAGAGTGCAAATTAATTTCCTAAGAAATATTTACAAAAGTATAACCAATTTCTAGCATCATAATAAAGTGACAGGATAGGGAAATATGCTGATGTGGATAGGGAAAGATAAGTAAAAGAACCTTGAGATCTCGTAAATCGCCAGCTGAAAGTGGATCGAACACACAAGCAACATCAGATCCAGAGCAGGCTTCTGATTCATAAGCTTGAGCTAGAAATGATTTTGATCTCCTGGAAAGAAAGTAATTTTAAGAAATTACTTTAAAAAAAAACGAATAATCCACAAACAGTTATTTTGATGATTGTTAACATAGTCTGAGTCCTACTTCTTATGAAAATGTATGACAAAAAGCCAACTTGCAACATCTAATTCGTCGGCTACATTTGCCACAATTCTGGGTAGTGATACGTTTATAGAGTGGATGCTCCAAGTAGCTGTTCGAATTGTTGCGTAAAAAGTTGAGACCAAATTTGATAACTTTTTTGGGTGGAAGCTACAAATTTTTCTTCTAACTTTTTTTCCTCTCGAAATATTCAACCAATCGAGTTTTTCGCATGACGCATTATGAAAGTGATAAAAAAACTGGGTAAGATCAATTATTTAAATTAATCAGTAGGTGAATTGAAATAAACAATGCAACAATTTAAAAAATATAAGTGAATATTCGGGCAGTTTTATTATTATCTCTAAATGAACTAACTTTACATCCAAAATTTTTAACACTTTTCAAAAAGAGAGTGATTGCATCAGCCAAATCACCGTGCGGTATAATGCACTGGGACCACTCGGATAACTCGTCCCGATGTTCCTCACAACTTATACCGAACAGTGCTTCATCACTTACACCTGCAATCATCTCAGATTAATTTTATTCGAAATTTTCACATATTGACCACTCTTCCTTCAACAATTTATTTGATTTTAAGCCTCATTCAAAGTAAAATAATTAGCATAATGAAATAAGGAGAGAAAAACCGGAATGTCAGCTCATTGTTTTTGAATTTAGATTTTCAGATTTAATAGTTCAATGCGGAAAGTATATAGTGAGACATTTCCTTGTTTCCTTTATTACAAACTATTTTTCTCATTAACTTCAATAGTCTAACGTTTTCCAGATATCTTGCCGAAGATTCATTATTCGAATTATCTTCTTAGTGACAAAAGTTTTAATAAATGCTCATCCTAAAGACTTATTGTTTCCTTGACATTGTGATACATTGGTTTCTTATTTGGCAATAAAGCTAGAAATTACAATTCGTAAAAAAACTCTAAACAACATTATGAAGATAAATTTTGGGCATTACTCATCATCCATCATATGTATTAAGCAAGCAGAATTCGATCTTCTTTTATAATTAATTTGATAATACTAAAATGCTATCGTAATATCGTAATGAATTTAGCGATTCTGTTTATTTCGATTGTTTGATAGGTTTAGATCAGCAAAATTAATTTTTGTGACAAAGAAGAAAAAATTGAAAATTTTAACCAACCAAAAATGTAAAAAAGAAGAAACCAGAGAAGTTGAATAGATAGAACCATTTTTTCCACCTGATACAGTTGATTTGCTTCCCACCAATGTTAATGCTAGCAATAGCAGCAGTAATAACAAATTCACTCTTTATCAACTTATCTCTCAATTTTTGTCCAAACATTAATCTTACTTTAGCAAGTCAATAATCGTCGATCAGCACATAAATGAATTACTGCTAATGGTTCGCAACAGCTGCGTGGATGCATTTCGAAGTATTACAAAGTTTTAATTTCAGAAATCTCGGAGGATTTTGAGTAACAAGAATGAAGTTTAAATATATCAACATATATATAAATTGGAATCTATCGATGTATGTTTATCACAGAAATTTATAGCACAGAAATTTTTAATATATTTAATGTGCTACATCATTGCAACTCGACGAGCTTAATTGGATCACAAATTTCTTATTGACCTCATCTCAGTTCATTTTGTTGAAGTTCGGATGTATTTATATGAAGCCGAAAAGCTCTTGCGAATATCTGTGTAATGAAGAAAGCATATTGATGCCAAATAATGCACAACCATAAATTGTAGAATAGCTATTAAATTAGAATATAAAAGTCTAACTGTTGTTAGTTCTGTTACAAGAGTTAAGCACTGATTATCGCCTTTTGAATTGACTAAAATTTATTCATTATCTGTTGCTAAGATGCTAATTCCTGTCATGTCGTTGAAAATTGTATGCTCTGCTGTTGACCTTTCTGTGTATACTAAACTGATAATGGACAGTTCTCTTTTTTTTTCAAATACTCGTTGATAATAGTAGGAAAAGTGATCTTGTAACCAATAGATAAAATCACTTATCACAGCTCTGCTTTACCAATTTTTCTCTTTCCAGTGCAACCGCTTCATTCATTGTGTCACAGCTGACCTGTGTTCCCTTTGAGCAAGGCATACAACCACTTTTTTGTACTGTGAATTGTTGCGATGATTTCCATACAACCATTGTAAATAAGATATGGGTAAATTTCAAATAAATTTTACTAAAGTAAATGTGAAAACAATTCAGTGATAAAATCAGTGCGGACAATGTCAGATATTTTCAATAATGTTGCTGTCGTGAAACCTCAAACTTGGGTAATTAAACCTTTATTTAACATGAAGCAAATAATAGCGCTTTATACATATCGTACGGATGCTACACCGTTTAACAAACGCGTAAACTATATAAATGCAACAATATAAAAATGGTGAAATAACACAAAATTATAAAGTATTAGACGCATCCCAATACCACCCAAAACATAAAGCAAATGATGGTTATGGAAGGATTGGTTGGGTTATATATAAGACTGATTTAACGAATGGAGATTAGATGGGAGGATTTCTCATGGATGAACAAAGAAGATTGTTAACAAGATTAGTTTATATACAGAACTGAACTGACCAGATATTCGGCAGAGGAGGACATTTAAATGATATGAAACAGACTGCTAATAAAGGGTTTTGCTAACAAAGGGTTTGCTAACAAAGGGTTTTTGTTGTGTGAGGAAAAGGAATTAGATAAGAGGAATTTGTTAGTTTTGGATATAATAATTTAAATATTTCGTCTTTCACGATAGTTGCCATTACCTTGGACGTATTTGAAGTCATCCATAGAATGTTGAGCTTTACAATCGATTGACGTTGGAAATGAATGATTTGATATGTTTAATATTGTTGGATAAGTAGAAGTTCTAGAGTTCCATGAAGTGTCCAAATGGAAGGAATAGTTTGTTGCGATGACAAAACATATCAAAATGGTCATTCTACCACTATGTGAACTTTAAAAGCATTTGGAAAAAGAACCAACAAAGAGTTAGAAATAATAGTCTCATGCGTAATCAATATGGACAAATAACAAAGAATATTTTGTTTCGAATATAGCATTTCACTTTACGAGGACAAATTACCACTACTTATAGATCCGGAAATATTTCTGATATTTGAATCCATTTCAAACCAATTGGCATGATTACGGGTGTTGTGACGATGATATCAAAAATTTGAACATGTGGACAAGAAGCCATGTGTTCGAATATCTAGCGATGTGAAAAAATTTTTATTTAGAAACTATAAGTTCAAAGGTCAGTTTACATCTCAATTGGGTGTGTACCCAAATAGTGTGACAGCCCAATTGCGAACGACATTATCCATCATTATATCATCGTACATCTGCGCGTTGTTATGACACTGCAACAATATACTAAATTGCTGTTCAACTCTTCAACTTGTATATTACCATCACTTTCCTAAAAGCAATAATTTGCGTTATTATATGTAATCTGGAAGTATAACAATTTGCTCACGTATCACGTACGTCCGTTAAACATATGCTACATCTCAACTTGTCCATTTCCTGAAAATGGTCTTGCTTGTTACCACCACCTATCAAAAACTCAAAGAATCCCAGATAAATTTCAACAGAATAAAAAAGTGCAATATGGAGAGATGAAACCAGACCAAGTTTCGCTAGGATCCTGTTTTATTGAATCTTCCTATTTCATTTGTGAAGAAAACTAGGGAGAGTGCACCTGTTGCGAAGGTGATAATGGTAACTTTTATCACATCATCACTTCTTTTAAGTAAGAAATTCTGATTGGATAGTTTGTCTCGGGTAGACCACACAGTCATTTCATTTTGTATAATCCTTCCAATTACCCAAAGTATGTAAATTTCCCAAATAATTTATTTCTGTCATATGTAGAGAGAGAAGCTATCTCTTCTCTTCTAAGTAATCACCTAGCATGATAGCTATTAGATGTGATTACTTCTATGTGTTAATAGTACCGTAACATAGTCCCAATTGCAGAGAATGCAGACTTTTCGGCTTCCATCCTCAAGTACTTTTACCTTTTCCTTAACTCGATTTGCTATTCATGCTTAATTCTGAAATTAATCTCGGATTGTTGTCCCGTACTTCTGATCACTATTTACATCTTTTCTTTTTTATTATGTTTACTGTTTTAAGCGATAGATGTAAAGATAACTTTCTGATATTATTACATGACAGCTATTTTAGCTCATGCAGGCATGCTTTCTACTAGAATTACCAATTATTATGTTTATCCTTTTTTTTTTGGTCTGCTTTTCACCTCCTTCTCCACCTTCAACAAACTCATTTGTGAGAGAGCAGGAGGATGCATTTCAAGTTACTCCAAATCAGTGTACACTCCTCACCCAACCCGTGGATCGCAGGGATGGGTGCATTCTCTGTCTCCCTCTCAGATGCTGTCACTCTGCTGAAGCTCTTTTCCTTTTCCTGCATTTTGATGATGGATGTTGATGGGAGTATCACTATCGTTTTGCTAAGGTCACCCCTCCCACCATTCGAGGATGGAAATGTGGAGTTCCTTGTCGTTGTCGTTTTAACCTTTATGTCGTTATTCCGCACTTGATACTTTCGCAACTATTCGCCAGAAATGTAATCGCCGACATCTGTTTGCCATTATTTGTATTTCAATTATGATAGACTATCTTTGCAGGAGGACAGAAAGGGAACTGAAAGAAAGGTTATTGTTTTCAATTTTTGGTGTTACTTCTACCGACTGATGAATGATAACGTCTATCGAAAAGACGACAATGTACGGCTAGCAGCTTCCATTCTTGTAAGTTGTCTTTGTCGGTTGTTTATTTACGCTTTCCTCTTGTGTTATTTCATGTCTTCATTTTTCAGACTATGTCTTATAATGCTTGCACTCAGTGAAAAGTGTGTCGTTGAAGAGCTGGAAATTTTTAAGTAGTTGTTGAGTGAGAAGGGTGTATTAAAAAGAAAAAACTGTTCTGACATTAGCAATACAGTGACTAGTATATAACATGTTGTCTAAACATGTAAAGATACAAATGTATAGAAAATGTCGAGACGACGTAATTATTGAGAAAAGATACAATATATAATTATACATGGTATAACCGTAGCTTTAATAGTTATTTTTAAGTTATCAATTAACACACTGATAGCTAATTGTGATATGTTCTTCAGAACGGGGGAAATACGAATGGAAAGCAGACTAGTGTAGACAGGCGATATGTGGCCAACAACGAGCAGCACCCGAAGCTCTGGTATCATGGGAATATCACGCGTGAACATACTGAAAAGTTAGCTCTTTCCTAGAGAGATTAGCAATGTTTTTAACAAATTGTTGAGTATCTTCTTAATTGATTTGTTTAGAAAGAAATTTTAGAATGAGACTTATTTGATCTACGGCTTCTGACCTGTTTTTTGAAATATATTTTATCTTCTCTTCACTTCTCTTCATCTGTTACATCTTTTTCTAGAATATTATCCGGGCAAGCCGATGGAACATTTCTTGTGCGCGATTCTACCAACTTTCCAGGTGACTATACACTGTGTATGGCCTTCAATGGCAAGGTGGAACATTATAGGTATCTTTTTATAGATCAAGTTGAAGATTTAAACGCATTGAAGTGGTACGAGTGGATACACTCAAGTGATGGGTACATGAAGAGCTATTGAAGAATGATTTTTCTTTACTACAGAAAATTGTAAGAAATGACATGGGAATTTGCAGGATATATCAATTAAACGGCATTCTGACGTGTGACCACGAGGAAACTTTTGATAATTTAACCCAGTTGATAGCGGTAAGCCATCGGATAACTTGTTTCTGAAAAATGGTAGTAGTCTGATGTGTTCCAAAAAGTCACCTTTGTCAGGGACTTTTTTTTTCAACTTCGTTCTTTGATAATTTGACACTTCCAGCATTACAAACGAGACGCAGATGGTCTATGTCATCGCCTTATAACGCCGGTAATCAGTGATGATTATCGAATTACTAGAGACAATGAATCTTTAGAAGAGCGAATACGATTCTTCCGTGAAGCTTCATTAATTATTAGTCGAAGTGAAATACGTCTTGGAGACATTATCGGTCATGGAGAATTTGGGGGTTTGTTCAGCAGACTATTTTTGTGAAATTTTGTGCCTTCAAAATGTGTGAAATGCTCCCTGCTAGGAAAGGAGTTTCTCACTAAATGGTAAAGGATTAGGAAGTATGTAACAGCACCATCGTTTTTGTGCTTTTATATCTTTGCATTCTAATTGCATGCTTTTGTTTATTTAGATTTTTAAACTATTTAGATGTGCTTTTGGGAGACTACGACGGTCAGAGAGTAGCAGTGAAGGTTCTGAAGCGTAGTGAAATGGTGCAGTCATTATTGGACGAAGCAAAATTTATGATGTAAGTGTTTTACAAGGGAATCTTTCTGATACTTACTGCTATAGAGGAAATGTAACGTTCCATTGCAATTTTGTTGATTTTTCAGTGGCCTGAAACATGTGAATTTAGTGGCTTTGCTAGGTGTTGTTATTGATGATGCGAGAGAAATGTTCATGATGACCGAATACATGGCTAATGGAAATCTTGCAAGTTACTTCTACATATACTTCCATTCTTGTTTATCTCTCTGCCCAGTTTAATTCTAGAGGAAATTCTCTATGCTGTTCATTAAATCTTTATGCAACTAATGCAACTTATAGGTAGATTTCTTGCGTTCACGTGGGCGCCATCAGGTTGAGAAAATGCAGTTGACTCAGTTTGCGATTGATATTTGTGAAGGTATGAAATTTCTGGAAATAAAAAATGTGGTACATCGTGACTTGGCTGCGAGAAATGTGTTGCTAGATGATGAGCTTATGGCAAAGATAAGTGACTTCGGACTCGCGAAAGATGCTAATGAGTGTCAGTATGCAGAAAGTGCACTTAGCAAGTTTCCAATCAAATGGACTGCTCCGGAAGCTTTACGATATAGTGTTAGTATTTTATTTCTTTCTTAATGAAATATCGTAATTGTTATATCAATCCTAAACAATTTAGCAACACTTTTGCTGAATCCTTTAAAGTGGTTTATCAAAAATTGTTGGAAATTGTTGAAACAACAGTGTTGTATGAATGTCCAGATCAACAAAAATCTTTTTTTGTTTCTTCATGCTTTAATTGTCTAATAGAGCTTGGGTTACTGGGATGAAAAAGTAAAACGCATAATCCAGATCATAATAGTTAACAGTTAATACCTGTTAGTAAGAATTGGGTCAAGAAGATTAATTTTAGAAGTTTTCAACGAAAAGTGATGTATGGTCATTTGGTGTGCTGCTATGGGAGATATTTTCATTTGGAAGAGTACCCTATCCTCGCATTGTAAGTTATAAGTTGCATTTCAAAAAAAGAAAAAAAAAAAAGAAAGAAAGCGAATTGATCAGTTAAACAGATCCTCAGTTACTGCTTGAAGATTATAAACTGAAAACCACTTGCCTGAAAACCACTTGAAGATTATAAACTGAAAACCATATGCAAATTTCCACAGTTTTTCTTATTTTTCAAAATGAAGGCTTAACATATTCATTAATAAATATATTTTTCAAATAATTAAAAAATATTGATAATTAAAAGCCATTTATCAGCACTACAGAAATCAGTCGCACATTATAAATGTGAGTGCGCAGATCACTTATGAAGTTCGTATTGTCATTACTTCATCAACTCTTTTTTTTTTTTTAAAGGTATAACGAAATAGAAACTGGATGACCTGTTCTTTCATATATTTTATTAACTAAATAAAAAGTAGGAGAGAGATTAAGAAAGAAGTTGAACAAACTATAAATTATTCATCAAGTGTGAAGCATGACTCAGTAGCCAACTGCTACGAACTATTCCAGCCAATACAAGATGTTGTGCGGCATATCGAAAAGGGATACAGAATGGAGCCACCGGAAGGGTGTCCGATGGAAATCTCACGTCTAATGAATGAATCCTGGATGTTGGAGCCATCCGTCCGTCCCTCTTTCACTGTTATATTGCAAAGGCTTAAACTCATTTATGCAAATGTTGTTTCAGTTCTTCACTCATGAATGTGGAACTAAAGTTTCGAAAATGATTTGAGAGTACAATAACTTTTATTAATTGCTCTTAACTCACTGGCATGTTAGATCTCTTCTTTGAGGTTTTTTTTTTTTTTTTTTGTAGTCAGATTGCTTATGCATTGTTGTCGTGCCTTTGTAGATCTTCAAAAATACATATTATAGGAGAAACATACTATGCTATTCACTCAGCCAGGGTATGGCGTTGAACTCCTGTCCATCTAGAGCTGTTTTTAGGCTAAGAATTGGATTGATTACTTCGACACTGCAAATGAACTAATTTTATATTTTACAATTACATGAAACGGGGAACAAAATGAATATTTGGAGAACTTTCTATGCAGCAAGAGATAGAAACGTTATTTGTTTATTGCGTCTTAGTTTTGTTTGTAATTTCGAGAAGTGTTACCACTGGATTGTTTGTTTGTCGATTTGTTCATCAATATTTAAATATGTATCAGCTTTATTGGTTGGCAAGATCAAAAAGTATATTTTCAAATTTTCTTTCACTGACTGGTGAAATGTTTTCCACATTTCTATGTAGAACATAGAAATGATGTTTGGATTTCTGTGGGTTACTATGCTAATTGAAAGAACGAGATCTCGGTCACCTCAGCTCAGTTGGTCGATGTATCCTCATCGATATATTGACCTGGGATTTCGTTTGTTGTTATTTCATAACTGATAATGCTCGTAATAGGTATGAATTGTCACAAGTATTTTCCAAATGCATTTTGTTTTTCGTCGTAATCGTCGAGAAATAATAGTATAATCAGTCTTGACTGCACACAGATTATATGTGAGAAAATGTTGAGAAAGATCTGTTATATACGAATGTAAATCTTTTTATATAGAAGTATAAAATTATACAGGTCAGTCCCATGCGAGTTTTCTTTACATGTTTAGTTAATCAACAGAATTATTTGGAGAACCTGCTCACCGCCGCAATTACCACAAAAAAATAAGTGACAGAAAGGATATGACATATTTTGGACATTTGGCTGTTGTGTTCTGTTTAATGAATAGGGTCTATGAAGATGTCGTCCACTTAGTTCCGTTAGTTGATATTTATACGATCTCTGTAGACGTTACTTTTCCTTCTCGGATGTATTTCTGCTGTTCTCGTTATACGATATCTGTTCTGCTTATTACTTTTGCCTATGCGATGCTACTACATGTTAATCTCAATAAATTTGTACATAATGATTTAATATGAAGCAAATATATGCACTGCACTATATAGCGTGCTCTCACGTGGATTATTGTTAATTATATATTTGCATTTTATGTGTTAAAGGATAAGATCTTGTATGGATGTTATATGTAAGTGAAATTTGCTTACTTGGAGTCTCGAATGTCAATTTGTGGCTTGAGCGTCAGGGATTATAAGCAGCATGTTACTGCATCCTTCTGACGAACAGCAACGTCGCGATAGTTTTCGTTCCTACGTGGCAGCATACGACAGTCATGTAGAGGTTCGTTTCTTCGTTCATGAGTGCCAACAGTTTTGTTTTTATTGCCACATAAAGTTTTGTTTTTTATTGCCACATACTGCATAGAACTTTCCATGAATGTTATGAGAGAGATTCCACGAATGGACATTAAATATAAATTCTGCACAATATTCATATATTCTTTAAATTTTCTTCTAAATATAATATGTAACAAATTATCACCACTGAATTTTCAGGTTAAAGATATTAACGAAACACCGAATTTCATTCTTTTAAACGGTAAGCGTCGCTTTATCACACACTATGTGCAGTCTGCATTTCGTATACTTAGAAAGTACTTTCAAATGAAATTTGTTTAGCTTTCAGGGGAGATAGTGTCATCACAATGCAATGATGTGCTACTCTATCCACCCTTCCAGGATAATTACTTTGGGAAACTTTATTGCACCAACTTTCGCATATGCTTTATACCACTTTCCCAAAAGGTTCCCACTTATTACTGTAGTAATTAATAATAATGATAATGATAGTAATTATAAAATAAATTTAATAGCTTAATAATTTAATAAAAGATTTTTATAAGTATTGCTATCACTATAATAAATATATTTTTATAATGAAATATAAACATTATAATAAATGTTGATTTTCAAGTTAATTAATAATAAATATTTATCGGCATTACTGACAATAACAATTATTATGAATTATTATTAATTAGGTACAACAATTGTCATTGCTGATAGTAGTAATTATTACAGTTTCACTTTTATGATATAATATTTTACATTGCAACCCTCCGCTACTGTTTTCCTGTTTTCAGCAACCAGATCCATGCTGCAGTCGGAGCGTCATATTTGCAGATGAACACCAGGTACCTCTGTGCTCCATTGCTTCCATATATTACTCTCCGTCACCCATTGGTTTGTCTTCTACATTTCTTTTTAGCCTAGTCTTGCTTGTAGCATCTCTTCATTACATAGCTGATTTAATCACACACATAATATACTGATTTAAAAGAACTGCATGGTTCTACTCATCTAATATTGGCTATGTTTTGTTTTACTCCACTGGCCGAAATTTTCGTTACATGTTTTCTTTTTTTTTTTTTTTTTAATGAATAGATCAAAGTTGCAGTTGGCCATTCGAGTGCTTCTCCGAAGAAATACAGATTAATGACAGCTCCAGCCTCACAACTTGATATTATTTCGTCAGTTAAAATCTACACGAAAGTATGCTACTTTAATAATCCAGGAATCAAATTGTTTTAAGTATAGAAACCATAATATCTCTTTTTTTTTCGGGTGTACTATTTTTTTGAAGCTTTCTGCATTGAACATTAAAGGAGATATCGTTCTAGGACTTTCGGGTATGGACCTTTGATCTACAGCGGAGCCAGTTTGCCGTAAATCTTGCAAATAATATTTATCATTTTTCTCGCCCTTCTTCGCTTTCCAATTTGTTGCAACTTTCTTGCGAAGGATTTCGAAAAACGCCTCAACCAGGTGCACTTGAAATTTCTGAGTTAGAAATTGTTCTATTATAATTCATTTTAAATGTTACTTGCAGTTCTTACTAATTTTGCATATTCTTACTAATATTTAATCATGCCTTCTTTCTCTTGCTCTTCAAGACATAGTGTAGCGATTGGTACTACCTAGTAGTGCTGTTTTGTTGTCATCTAGGACTAAGCTGTTGTGAGATTTCCTTCGGCGATGGCTTCGTTCGCTTTTAGTTATAGGAAAACTCCTCTTTGTGGTGAGACGTAAAAAGTTAAAATTAATTATTTAATCTTTTTTGTACATGTTTTTTTATATATGGAAAGAAGAATCCTTTTTTATAAATCTTACAATTTAATATTATTGCTGTGAAATTCGTTCCTAAATGGGCCAGTTTTGCAGCACACAACGCACTTCTATATAATAATGGGAATGACTGGCGAAAAGAGTTGCTGAGATGTGGGGACAGCGAAACACGATGGCGTATATGTTTTTTGAAATCAGAAATATCTCAGCAGAAGGCAGTTGTGCCCAGGTTTACATGTTTCTACCTTCTCCAAGACCATAACTCTAAAGTTTTTCCATTGCTTCCTTTTCGTTTCTACTATTTCTTTCCTTCTGACATCTTAATCTAATGTGTATTGTTGCAGTTATCCATTTTGTGTTGTTGTCCCGAGTGATCTCTTTGATGTTACAGTATATGAAAACCTTATACCCAACTGGTGTAATGGTAGATTCCCGGTTAGTTGGTTTTCAGTGATGAAAAGATTAAAATACGGTAGATAGTTTTTAGGACTTTGTTTGCAATATCTTGTTCAGGTTTGGTGTTGGTCATCTTCAAATGGTAGTGCATTGCTTCGTTCGTCTGCTTGTAATAAGGATCTTAATGCTCAAGAATTGTGGAAAAAGTATGTTTTATACATCAAATGCGAGAAGTCGTTTGATATCTTAAATAGTGTGACAGCCCAAATGAGATTACAGAGTATTGTGGCCTATTTGCCAAGCTCATCCTCATCGTCGACCACCTCAAGTAATTGATTGTGACATATCCGCTGTGCGTATATCATCTTCGTTCGAGAAACTCCGCGAACTTTGCTCTTTAGGTATTTATTATTTCATCTTATAGATGTGACGTTGAACCACATGAATCAGATTTGAAGACTTGTGGTTATGCCGCTAGTGAGTTATAAAAAAGGACTGTATTTAGCTTCAATCATTTTGTAGAATGTCACAAAAAATAGAAACTGGAAAACCAACTAGACGTGTTCAGTCTGAAACTATTTTTAGACTCAAAGGAACGTTTCACCGAAAAAGAAAAGGAATGGTATACACTGGTTGACGATACAGGCTGGTGTGCTTTAGTATTTCGATGTCTTCAACTGTCGAGTAAAGTTATTCACAGACTCATAGATAATCAGCGATCTGTTGTTGTAACTGGTTGGTCTCTTCAATCCTAACACTGCACTTATTCTCCTTTAACAAGCAGCTGTGAAGTCTGCTCATGAAAGCATTAAAAAGTCCGAAATAAATGAGAACTTTTGTAAAAGAGCCTATACACATAGCTATATCAGTAATCACTTGATTAAATTTCAGTCGATGATTTTTTCGAAATAGAGTTTAAAAGAAATATGAATATATTTTGGTAAATGTAAGGAAAAATACTTCCAGACGGAGATGGTTTCAACGCATCAGCAGTGGTATCATCATTGGTGCAGGTGTGTACGGATCGTTTCTATAGAACGATAACTGGTTTTAGCGCTCTCATTGAGAAGGAGTGGATAGCACTAGGGCATCCCTTCGGGCTCAATATGTTTGGCTGTACTCTTATAGCCAATATCCCGGTTCGAATCCTTTCTGTTTCTTATTCATATGTTTCCCTGTTTCGAGTTAGTCTCTAGTTCAGATGTTTATATTTAAGTCCAAATTTTCACACACCTCAGAGGCAGTTTGATTAATTAAATCAAACATTGCATAATTTTGCTAACATATTGCAGCATTCACGGCCGAAAGCCTGTACAGCAACTTTCCTCTTATTTCTGGACTGCGTAGCACAACTTATACGTCTTCATCCACTCTCGTTTGAATACTCGCATTACTTATTAATCGCACTCTGGGATTTATCCATAACTGGTCTCGCATCGTAAGATCTTTCTGTCGTAGCTTTCTCTGCTTATGTATTGGTCGGCAGGCAAATTAAAACAGTTACTGTGAATCTAAAACCGATAAAAGAATGTATGTAAATTGTATTAGTAGCACAAATGTGATATTTGCTCTGTCGATTTCTTGAGGTGAAAATTTTGAAGTGAATTTCATGCATTTAGTACGCTATCCATTTCTTGAGAATGATGTCATAATGTCTTGAAAATGTCATGCTTATGCTTACTGTGGTTAGTTATCTTGTTTGCGAACAGCTTTCTGTACTTTCTTTGTGTTTTTTTTTTCTTTACAGCGGTTTGACCTGCAATTCAGTGAATGATAGATTGGCTCTATGCAAAACAGCTCCAACTTTTCCTCTATCACAATATTACACATCGAAATACTGTCTAATGTTCACCAATGTGCTTTATTCGGCGAACCTTTTACTTGGTTTCGGTATGTTCCTTTTCGAGAAACATGTTCCTTTCAAGAAAATAGTTTTTAATTTGCGACATACCATCTCTGGTAGTTTTATTTAGTATCTTGAAAAATGCAATTGGTATGAAATTTCAGAGTCAGTTCCAGTGATACGACCTTCTTCTTCTCCTATTGATGTTCAGTTTTGGGATGAATGTTATCTTCGATGGGTGCAGCCAGCAAATATCGCTGTAATTTTCTAATACTTTTTAAATTCACAGCTTCTTTACTGGTAAAGTGCTATATTCATGGCTTCAATATCATTGATGACCAGTAACCTTTAAAGTTAACTCAGACTGTTGAAATATATGCCCTTGATACTGATGGATGGATCAGCCATAGTAACCAAAAAATTAACAATTAAGATCTGCAAGATTAACTCATTTATACGACTGTCCTACGTTTTAAATTATTTAAAAAAAAATACCAAAAAAATATAAACTTCATCTTATCAAAAACATAATAAAAAAAAGACTTATCTTCATAGTACTATAATCAATAATTTTTAATAAAAAATAATTCAAATAAACTATAAACAAAAAAAAAAAAAAAAATTGCTAAAAACTCCATTCGTACTTGAAAACATCAAAAAAAAAAAAAAATCACTTACACTACTTTGATACCATCACGCTAAGCATGTCACTTAAAAACATGGAGTAGAAAACAACTTTAAAGTTATCTTTGTTTTTAGAGATTAGTTTTGCTTCACTTTTTATTATATTGTGTTTTTAGAAGTAATTTGTTATTATTACTATATTGTAGTTGTTTAACTTCTAGTTTAATTTTTGGTATAAGATTTTTTTATTTTATTGTGACTGGTTTTTGTCATAGGGTTTACCCTCGTTTTCGTTCTGATATGTTAATGATAGAAATAAAGTGTTAAGGTTTGTTATTTTTTGTTTTTACAAAATGAATTATAATTATAACTTCTTACTGATATAACGTACTGTCTCTTATTTTTTATAGTTAAGGAATATGTATAAACATAACTAACCTTTCTACCAATCATAAAACAAACTATAAAACAGAATAATAAAAAGAAACTTTTTTACAATGTTACATTTTTTTAACTTTAGTTTGTATATTTTTATTAAATGTAATTTAATTTTCTCATTATAGTAATTTAAGTTTAGAATTTTGTTTTGATAGGATAGCGATTTGTTATTTTTCTTTTTTTTTTTTTTTTTTTTTTTTTTTGGTGTTTTTGTTTTCTAAACAAAGGATTTTAAGCTAACAATTTATTTACAAAACCATGCGTTTCCTGTTCGTGGGGTCATCATATGTATACTGCTGAATTAGATATTGATACTCGTACTTTTAGTGCTGCTACTACTAAGCTCTGTGGCGGAAAGGGACATAATAGATCGCAAATTACGATGTAATACTCAGTTATAAAAACGTTATGTCTTTGTTAACCTTCATAGTGCACATATCTTTTTAAATCATTTCATCCTTTCAGGATGGTGGTATTCTCACCAAAGATGTAGCGTTGAGCTCGATATTGTCATCAGCTGCATCTGTGGCTTATCCAGAATGTAATGCAGTTGTATGGCGACAACGTCTCCATCCTGCACTAGAAGCATCATCAGTATGTTATCTGCTGTTCTCGCTAACAGTAATTTACTTATTAGTTAAATTTTATATGTTACAGTCTTTTTGAAGACAGCGGATTCCTCATTCTAAAGAGAGTTCTATAATAAATACTTCATCCTTCAACGATCTGTTATGATTGCCTTATTTGTTTCATCCCAACTTACCAAATGAGTTATGAAAAGTTTTTTTGAATACTACACACATAGGTTTTGTTATATATTAATATTCTACAAGTAGTGTATCTTTTTTTTTTTTGATGTATCACATATTCATCTTTCAGATCAGTTCGTCATATCCTTATTCAGATGCTTTACCCAAAAATACTCCTGCTTTAAGTGAAGTGAGTATCATATCGGATACTGCATCCACAAAATCATTACGACTACAATTAGAAAGGACCAGTATTAACCTCAACCCAGGTTCAGTGGTAAGTTTACATAACTAAATGAGACGTAGTAAAAAAATAAAAAATATAAAAAAAAAAAATAGTCCTTTTCTTATTTTCGATTTTAAAATTCTACAAGTCATTACTTCAGTAGTACTTCAACCAGCAATGCAGTATAGATGCATACATATTAAACAAATAACGCTATGGATTTCATTTCTGCTTACCAGTGTTGTCGTCCTCTGTTTTTTTTCTCAATGTTACAAGAGTGGAAGTTAAGATTTAACAATGAACAATGGTGATGTATTACATTTTGAAATTTTTTGAAAATCTTTACAATCATTTTGTTTTCTGTTTTATTATTATTATTTTTTAATTAATTTAATTTTTAGAAGGTCGGAAAAGAAAGACGATTTTCAACAACTTCACTGATGACACGTGTGGATCGTTTAGTAGAATCGACTATGCTGCGCTCTTCGTCATCTCGTCCCCAACATCATTCCCCACCGGGAACTCTCGTATAACACAGACACAACACACACACACACACACACACACATACACAACACATATATACTTTTCATGCTTTCATTATTACGTCATCGAACAAAGTCGAGTGTGTACGACTTCAGTTTCTTTTTTTGAACACTGAAAAGGTTTCAAAGCACTATTGTCTAACGCTAATAATATCCATTATGGCATCTACTATGGAACACAATGTTTTGATATTTTGTCGTTTTACTAATATAAAAATACTTTGTATTGCACGATTGAATATTTAAAATGTAATATGTAGTAATGAAGATTGTATGTTGCAACATTGTACGGTGCAGCAAACTCTGAAAAGATTTAGAATTTAATTGTTCCATGAAAGTTTAACTGCGAATGAATATTGTAAAGTACACTCGAGCACAATCGTTTCAGAACGCAAAATGTGTAATTGCAACACAAGGAATTGGGAGGAAATTCTCGATTTTGTTTTCTAATCATTATTAGAACTCGACCACATAACAAAAAAATATGCTGATGGTATATATAATATTCCTTGAATTTCTTACGCCAGTTTCTATATTGTTTTGTAATTTTTTAACGATTTCGAGTTTGTTGATTATTTGGATTTCAAAAATTTGGGTTGTTTTCGATCTGTCCATTCTGTAAAAAAAATATAATCATTTAACACGCATGACACTTAATGGATGTTCCTGAATTTCTGATCTTTTTACTAGTTACATCAGAGTTTACTAGCATTACTACTTTCTTGCATTCCTGCTTTTTATTAGTTTCACTTGCTGCTTACTTTCTTGGTAACTTTATTTAATGTTCATTTCATGTCGATTTCTGCATATTATTTCGCTATTTATGGCGTGTCTTTTCAGTAATTTCGCTTTTTGAATAATTTTCTAGATGCGTATACCCATGACATTTTTTGTTAGGTTTTTTTTTTTTACATTTTGGATTATTCTTGCTTTTTGCATGCTTTTCACTTTTGCATTCATTTGCTATTAATGCATGTCCTTTCCATGTTTTATTAATTATAATTAAATTAAACTTTTTTGTTAATCTCAGTACTGAAGGTCAAACCTGAAAAGAGTAGACAAAAAAAAGTTATAAATGAAAATGAGGAAATCAATGGGTGGAATGTAGTGCTTCTTTCATGCTAACAATTTTTTGAAAGAATCGGATATATATATATGAAAGCTTTGCGGGGGAAGAGGAAGATTCGGGAGTTTACAAGTTGAAGAATCTGGATACTCTAAAGATTTTAAAGAATGGTTCAGAAATACTAAAATTACAGAAAATTAGAAGAAATTCGATGACCAAAAAAATAATGCAAGGGAGAACATGATACAAGGAAAGCGAAGTCGCGGAAGACCCGTAGAGGATTTCATACTTCAGCAAGCTCAAAGGATTTGAAGGATATTTGGTTTAAAAACATCAAGAAAACCCCCGGAGAATGAGTTCCAGAATTTAAATTAATCGGGGAAATCTTTAGAGGAAGGTTTTGAAGCTTAATCTTTAGAGGAAAGGTTCTTAGAAATTTAAAAAACTGAAATAATTACAAAAGACCAAAAGTCTTGAAGAAAATGCAAAATGAATAATGAAGTTCTCGAGGGATTCGAAAATGGTTCAGAAAAATTTAGACAATTCGAAGTCTTGAAAATTGAGAGTCGAGTACAGAAAAGAACTGGGAATTGAAAAACCGAATGAAGAAGTTCCTTCAAATATCTTCAAAAGTTTTCAAATTCATTTTGAATCAATACTTGTCATTTCTTGGCCACATCTGCTACTGTTTGAAGATCCATTTCTTATTTCAATGAGTTTTACTTCGAAAATAAGAATATTGTCTTAAGCAGTGATATTTAAAGCAGTCTTATTGATCTGATTCGAAAGCTTTAATCTAAATTTCAAAGCGTTCTCCACATTTCTTGGATGAATTATTTTATTTTTCCTTTTCGGAATGTTTTTTCAATTTTAGTGGTCGAATTAGAGACTGAAATAGTAAATTTAGTCCAGAATATCGCACCATATTTTATGTATTGCACTTTGTTCTTGACATATAATAAACAAAAATTATCATATAGCTAAATGAATCTGAATAAATGAATCAGATAAATGAGTCAGACACAAAATTTCTCATCGAATTGCTAGAAAGAATATAGAACTTGATGACAGAGTCCCTTCAATTAATGTTCACTTTAGCCTAGTTCAAAGTTCTCTTTTGTGTTATTTATAACAATAGAAAAGATAACAATCTAACTAAACAGAACACTTCATTCAATTTAACAAATAGATTAATCGTAATAACTTGAAAACAATTTTCAAATTTCAAAAAATTCTATTTGTAGGAAAAAAAATCTTCCAATATACTTTTTTCGTTAGAAAACAACGCCCATAGTGACATAGATGAATATTTTGAGTATAAGTGGCGTTATCAGAGAATATTTAGAATGAATAGGTATGTTACATTTCTTTTTAGAATATTTGACTGAAGCATTTAAATTGAGGTTGGAGACTAGTAAGAATTTAATATGGAATAAATTGTAGCATTGAATCGAATTCAAGCAAGCAAATGATATTAGGAAGTGAAACCGTAGCCAAAAATTCCACTGTCTATCATAAAAGTTATTTACAACAATGCACATAATTACATTAATTTGAGTGCGAGTAAAGAGCTGTCATGTTTAAATGACCTTTACCCTATTGGTGGATTTGATTGTAACATTATGTCTGTTGTTTATAAGAGTAACTCTCAAAACAGAGGTCATCAAAATAAACATCTACAATATTTTGACATTGCAAGTAGATTTAATTTATGACAGAAAAAATTAATTGAGCAAAACAAAATCACAATTCTAATTTTGACTGTTCAGCTGGATGATTCATCTTAATAGAAAAGTTGAGAAAAGTTTTCAATAAATTAAGCAATGCAAATATTCTTTGTTGAAACTATAACATTCGAAGTCAACTACAATTGAAAATGAATATTGAACAAATGGTTTTTTACTGACTTGAGACATAAAGTTAAAAAGTTTAATATTTATCTATCTAAGGAGTGCTTAAGTAAGATGACCTTCACACCACAAGCTTCTATGGATTAAACTCAAAATTAATGTCTTTATTTTTACATATTATAAATATTTCGGTCTTTGGACACTATTCTGGAAGAGAATAGAAGACGATGAGATAAGCAAAGTTTGTTCGTAATCTATTCACATAGAAAGAAGAGAATTTTATTATATAAGCTGATGAATGGAATCAATTTAATTCAGAGATTAGATAAATGTACTGAAGCTTTCATCTATTCAAATAGATGGTTGTTTTTATGTAATAATTATTTTTTCCAATATGCATTTCAGTTTTTACGTGACAGAATAGATGGAATTACTTAACAGCCGCTTACGAATTTAAAAGCCATGTTCATCCAGGTCAAAAATGTTAAACTATAAAAGAAAGTTTTGTAATGTTTAAGAAGAAAAATAAAAAAAAAAAGAATTTACAGTTTGATTCCTCTCCTAATAAACTTAGAATTGAACCATAATCAGATATTCAAAAACTGATAAATAAGAGCTCTAAAATTTCAAATTTGCTAAAATTTACACATACTGATCCATTGCATCACTTGATAGATTATCTTAATGTATTTGTTTTTCTTCAATGAATAAGTTTTTCATTTTTCAAATTTTTGATTTCATTTTGTATCTATTTCATTGCTCTAATTGGCAATACTAATTATTCATTTGCAATTAGTTATTATTTGCAATGGACTGCACGAAAGTTCTGAAAATTATTGATTAATTTATAAAGAATAATTTAATTGTTGAAACAGATGGTAAAATGAATGAAAGCAAAGTAATTTGACAAGTAAAATTGTCATTGAAAATCAAAATAAATCAAAAATGATATTTACTGTACAAAAACTATTTGAGAAAAATTCAAATTGAAAAACTAAAAGCTTTGCATAAAAGCATTTTTGAAAGCATTGTATTAGTTCCTTTTTGATTAATTAATAGAATCGCTTTTGTGTAGTATCTTTTATCCTCTATGTATGCCATTTGGTACCAACAATATTAGTAATACTGAAATTAAATATTTACAGCAACCCAACTGAGAATTCTACTCGAGTAGTCTGCCTTAAATTTCCCAAATATCACACGAAGACATTACCACATGGAAGTACTTCCCCTCTTCCTCGCACATGTAACTCAGACGTACACTTTCATTTACACTTATACCACGCAAGTTAACTTATCTAAACTGACGTACGGATGCCAACATATTTCCAGTTTTATCATTTATGTAGAACCCGCAACCGCTCAATATTAATTTTATTGTTCTACGATTTAGATACGAAGTGTCTGTTGACACTAACTTTATTCACCACAGTAAAGCAAAACTAATAAGCAAACATTGATAGACGAGTCACTGCTAATAAAAAACAACAACGCATGAAGGCGCAAGTGTCACCCTCATAATTTTTGTTTTTTGTGATTCATTGATGATATCACAATAATGTGGTTGATGGCAATTATTTAATGACTAAATTCCATTTCACATTTTCATTTGTTTTGGCTTATTTACTTCGCGCTCGAAAATATTCTGATATATTTATCTCGCTCTACCATTCTCTGAAAAGCAAAATCATTTCCATCTTACCTGAATTGTTCTAACCTGACAGAAGATCACTAAGCAAAATCAATAGTAGTTAATGTTTTCTACATAAATCAAATCAATGCTGAGCAGTAAATAAAAGACAAAAAGGCATTGAACAAAATTATAAATCATGAAAAATAGTAAAACACAACAATGAAATTGATCGTAATCATAAATTATAAAATTAACGCTGATCTATGTAAACAAAATAAACAAACAGCAAAACAAGCAGTAAAATATAATTAAAATTTTTAATTTAGAAACTAACTTTAAAAAAGCTTAATGTGTTGGAATTAAAAACTGTACAAGATGAACTAATTGGAAATACAATATAACCTCATCACATTGCTTTTCCAATTAAAACGAGCAAATTAGCAAATAGTTTAAACAAAACTTAATTTTCTATACAAAGCTTATATGGACAATAAAATTGTGACATTACTGTGTTCATAAAATTTATCAGCATAATTACACTATTTTAGTGTAATTAAACCGTCATAATTAAGGATATTTGAAGTGAAGGATGAAAACTGATAAACATTATACGATTGTTATAAGAATTCTAACACTTCTTGATTCACTGATGAAGTGAAATTGAAATGACCTTTATGGGTAATGGAAACATCTATGCGACATCATTAATTGATCAGGCGACACTATCTTTTGTCAAGCTGAAAATGAATTGAAGTTATGAATCAACGGTATTCAACAAAGAATTTTGCTATTCCTGGAAAAAAAAATCTATTTGAGTCATTTTTTTATTTTATTTAAGCTTTTCCATAAAATGTTGACTGTGAAACAACATGAATCAATAAAATTTTAATATTATTAATGTGTATAATTATCCAAATTTACTTGATGACAAGTTTTCCGGATGAAATTTACTAATTTACATGGAACTATGCCGTACACGTCATCACTGGTACGAACCGTATTCTGCCGAATCACCTGGAGTTATTATTTAATTGCCTCAAAAAAAAGAAAATTTTTGTTATAAAATAAGAAAAGTAGAGAAGTAAACTTTCGAACAGAAATACTGCAAACAGTTTCGGAAGACTTTGCTAATTGCTACTCTAAATAAAAAAAATCCAATTTGAAATCACATTGAAACTAAAATGTTTTTGATAAAGCGAAAAAAAAAAAAAAACTGTAAAAAAAGCACAAAATTAATCATGAGAAGTACGGAAGCACTACAATATGACATGATATTAGCGTGATTTTTATGAGCAAACTAGTTATCTCTTGTTGTTAGCTGACCTGAAATTAAGTGCTGCATTTTTTATGCTTCAAATAAACATATAATTAATTTACAAATTTAAAATAAACATCTAATTATTTAACAAATTAAAAAAGTAAGGATGTACGTAGAAATGTAATTATCTCTTCCATTCTAAGTAGAAAGACTCGTAGAGTTATATCTTGTTGATATTTGAATTTAATAAATACGGAACAAGTCAAGTTCTCACCAAGAATATCAGTTGTAACGAATATCAAACATCAAAAAATTTCACAGCTTGGTTTTAAGAAATTTAAATTTTGTACAAATAATTTGGTTTGATGATTTGCACTCCAAATGACTGGTGACACATCAGGAGACACATCTTTAAAATCCTAGTAACAATATAATTGTGAAGACGAAGAGACAGGAATAGTAGTACTAATTGCTGAAAAACAAAACAATTAAAATGAGCGTCCTGTCATCAATTCTCATAAGCGCAAAAGTCGCTCATTCTCTTAGTATATTGAGATTTGTCAATTAATTCCTTTCTTCTCATATTGCAGCAAATGCATTTATTGTTTTACACAGAAACAAATTGTTGTACTAATCGATTTATCTTCTATTCCAGCCAAATTTGCATATAAGACCTCAGTGAAGCGATTTTGTTAGATTATCGATGTTTCAAAGTGATAAAGAAGGCATTAATTAATCTAGTAAATTGTTATTCAAATTTATCATAGATCAGTTCATAGTGTATTGTTAGTAGAATTAGCTTACTGCTGAATATTAATCGTACATTAGTTTAGCTTAAGAGGCAAATTCAGCTCCAGGGAATTTGCGCATTTGACTTGCTGAATAAGTTTTTATTCCAATTTCCGTTCTTTCTTTTTACTAAAATTAAATAGCAGAAATGGTTGGCTAACAACTTTAATTTAACGATTCCTTGATGATATCATTACTTCCTTTCATGCTATTGCAATATTTCCTACATATTTTCTTTCCCATATGTTTCAGATCGAGAAATTAATGATTCCCTCCTACATCCTTTTATTTCTCTCTTTTTAAATTCTGAATTTTAAATTTGATTGAAGTCTGCTTAGAATGAGTTCTTTTATTTCAACAATCTTTCTTCGATACATTCACTTTCAGTCCAATTATCATATTTCTGGAATGATAACCCATCACATTTTCTAAAGTGCTATCTTCTTCTTTAGTCTACAACTTCTATGTGTAAGAAAATTTTTTTTTAGATTTTTTGTGAAGGAATTCAGTCAATCTTAAGGTTACTTACCTATTTATAATATTTCATACTTTAATTACCTATTTATAGTATTTAAAATATTTTAAATGACTGCAATTTTACAGTTTTTGTCGCAGATTCTTGAGAAGTTGGCTGATCCGATTCACTTAAGACAGGGTTGTCGCTGCTGGGCTTAGCTTACTTGGCCAAAAAACAAGCATGGCCGAAAGATTCTTGTCCCTATTACTAGTCTTCAACATGGAATTCATTTGAGTGGTCGAAAGGCTTGAGGACTAACTACTTTCATTTCATCTTTTTTAATAACTTTTTGACACACAAATAATAGACCTTAGTGACTTCTATGGTCAACTGTTAAAAGATTCTAATGTTTTATTATTGCCCTCATTGTTTAGAATTTGAAACTAATAAAACTGTAAAAATATTAATTTCAAAAGGAAATAAGGCATCATTTAAATTTTTAATTTATTTATTTTGACTAATATATTAAACTAGCCAAATTAGAGATCTTTTCCAACCCAATCTCTCAATTCACACTTTCCTTTATTGCATTGTTCACTTATTTGTATTTTGAATTTTTTATGCATGTCACCCGTTTGTTTTTTGTTGTGATTATTCATAAGATTAGATAAAAAATCTGCCTTACAGAAAAAGAAATTAAAAGTAAAAAAATTAGCCTTTCACACCATATTACAATCGAGGAGAGTACTGGAAAATTATTTAAATCATTTCAACTCTTGAAGTAATGATGAAGGAGAATAGATTTATGAAAGACCATATGAAAAATGTTGAACTGATATATGAAAAACAGAATCAAAAAATTACACTGAAATCGAAATTACTAATCCTTTGAAATTGCGACACTAGCATAAAATGACAGTCAACAAATAAAGGAACTCGAATAATCTCAATAAAAAAAGAATCATAAACAGAACACATTTGTGAATGGTCACATCTGGGATATTTCTCTAATAAAACGATATGAAAATGATAGGCTTACATATTTAGTCAATGAGTTTTCAGATTAAAAGAAAAAGAATTAGAAGATTAAATGAGAAATGATGTTCCTCTTCAATGTTTCCCAACGTATTTTCATTTCTTTTCTTTCCCACAAACTTATAAAAATGAAAATTAGTGCTTTTTAAATTTGATAAATTCTCATTCATAAAATATAGTATACAGAAAGTTGTGATGCACATAGAATATTCAAAAGTAAATCGATCGTTTGTCACATCGAACAATTCTTGGAGATTTTCAAATATTCTTTTTTCCCATGAAGTTTGATTTTTTCATAAAATTTGATTAAATATTAATGCAAGTGGCAATAGATTATCAAAATACATTCTTCAAATGATTTCAAATAATCCCACAAGTGGAGTAAATTAATTATTATTCTTATCATTTGGTTAACAGATGATTTTCTGCATTATATTATTGCATTTCGTTCTTTCAATCTTTTAATGATACGTTTGCTTCACTTTATTTTCAGAATAAATGACTTGTTTTGAAAAATTCTCAAAGTGCACAGATAACAATGATAATCAATTTCAAGCAAAATAAAAGATCTGGCAGAATGAATGTTCTGATAATCCAGAAATTTTCAATCACAACAAAAATTTCCAGAAATTTTTTAATTCTAAATTACTATATGACACACCGTTAATTGTTTCTTAAATAATGTCAATAATTTGATCCAAGTAAGTTTAAGGAAGATATCTTCTCATTAACAGAACATCTTAGCATGAATGAATTAAATAGGAATCATAAATGAATATGAAAGTAATCATATGCATTTCGTTCGATCTTCCATTTCTATTGCTCCTTTATTCGACCGTCCCCGCCTTCTTGTGCGGCCATCTCCCAGACACATAGGACAGAAAGGAATTGTGATCAAATATGCTAGAGTTTTGTTTATATTTATAACTTTGATTGAGATTCGAGCAATTTTCTCTGCTTGTCCTATTGATTCACTTTAAATCCAAATATTGGAACAGTTGTCCAAATGTGGTGCTTCCTGTGCAATGCTATCATTTCTGCTTCATAACAGTTTATTTCCCATTCTTCCTGTTACTTTCATTTCATTTACAACAAATTAATATAAAATGTTTGCACTGCAAATATGATCTTTTTGTTATAAGATAATGGTAATGTATTCGAATATGATTAATATTATTATTCAAAATGAAGTATTGAATTATTCATTAACTTTCACAATTTTATTTGCATAACTTTACCAATGAAATAATTTTCTAGGATTTGTATGATAATTACAATTGAGCCAGGTCATAGTGCTAATTAATGTTGTCTTACTGCTTTTCTTTTTTCTCCTCCACCTCAACAGTGCTAATTAATAATTAATTAACAATGAATTCATGTGTTAACAAATATAATTTGCTGAGTTAGTAAAACTCACATTTCTTTCCTTCTTCCGTAAAATCGTTAAATAGCAATAAAGAATATTTTAATAACACAAATAAATTTTAAGTATTTTCCATATTTGCTATATGTTGGAAAGATGGATAAAATAATTATTAAATTTATTTTCTTTCTTTGATTTATATCAAATATGATTGAGTGAAATCAAATATAATTAATTCAAATTATTTGCTTTCACTGGCATTAATGATAATGTTTTTTTTTTCTGCAATGTGAACAATATTCAATATCAATTTTGCTAAATACGAATATCACTTGGTTATATTATTATCAGTTCATTTTGCTCTGCTCAATGATTAGATCAACTCATATTATGTTTGCAAGTGATACTGAATGCTACTCTCTGCAATTGCTAGAATTGAGCAAATTTCAAAAGTTATAAAAGCATAAAAATCATACAAAAACAGATGTTATTGTCTTTATTTTAATTTACTGAAATAAAACAGAATAAACTCTTAGTAGGAATAGAAATAGAACACTCTTAGCAGGAATAGAAGTAGAATTAAAAAAGAGAGATAATTGAAATTTTATTTTGCCAGCACTACTGGAAAAACTAAGTGGTTAAAAATGTTCCAATAGTTTTAATTAAATGAATTATCTTCGAGCATATTGTTATATTGTTAGTACCTAAAATTTAATTATTATTATTTCATCTATAGATTGTTATGAGTTCATCGCTATTAAAAGGTGTCTTCAAGAGAGAGTTAGGTGAAGGACGTTATCGAAGATTAAAGGAAAAAGATGATACTTTCGCTGATGAAGCAAGCGACATGTCATCTCCTCCAGTTACATCATCTGTAAGGATTCATTTTTTTTTTTTTTTTTTTTTCACTTTTCATCTTTCTAAATAGTTCCACTCATGTGACGATTTTAGTGTCACACGATTGAATTTCTTGAAGAAATTGGCAAATCTTAAAAGGCTGCAAATTTTGAAAAGAAATGAAGTATTTCACATCTTTTAGATTTTTCCTTGATAAATATTAAAGTAAGACAAGTCTTAAATTTTTTATAATAGACGATTTTCCATCTTCGAAGATGTTTTTAGTGTATAAATTAGTTTAAACATTAATTTAAAACTCATTATATCACTGGCAATTGTAGACAGCAAATGAACAGAAGTGTAATGTTACGTCGAAAGAGTCAAATCCGGAAGCTTATGTAACTTTTTCGGTACGGATATGCTTGAAGGAAGGACATAATTTGGTGATTCGAGATGCTTCCGGTCAATTTCAGATAATTTGAAGCATTTTAGTTGAGAAATATTGTTATAATATAATATTTTGACGTTTACGGATTAGCTGATTTTCTTAAGTATTTTTTAAAAACGAAAAAGAAAATTTTCTAGATTAATTTTGCAGGAAGCAGTGATCCGTACGTCAAATTTAAATATAAAGATCGGACTTATTTCAAAAGCTCAACAATTTACAAGAATTTAAATCCAATTTGGGATGAAGAATTTACATTATTAATAGACGATCCTACTACACCAATTTATATGGACGTATATGACTATGACCGTTGGGCAACCGACGATTATATGGGTGGCGCTATTATTGACCTCAGTCAATTAAGACTTTTTCAGTGAGTTACCCATTTGTGCACTATATAAAAATACCTCTTGACGAGATGACAATAAGTAAGAAAAGGAAAGATAATGAAATTTAGAATGACAATAATGAAATTAAAACTACGAGAAGAAGGAAATGATGAAAATATGGGTGAAGTTGATATCGTTGTCACAATTTCTCCTTTGACTACCAGTGAAAAAGACGAAGTAAGAGTGTTTTCTTGAAGTTTGAACAGAATAAGATTTCTAAAATCTTGAAAGAGAAAAAAGAAAGTTTTAAAAGTAGCAATGATTGATTTAAATTAATTAAATTAGTCATTAGTTTTAACGATTTTTGATTTGATTATAGTTCTTAAAAAAGGCGACCCGTGGAATAATTTGTGAACGACCGAAAAGGACACCTCAAAGAAGTATGTCAATAATTTTGATCTATTTCCTCTTTTTGCTTCATCTATTTGCTTATTTATGAATAACTTATTTTTTTCTCTTTCTGCCGGTTTCCTAGAGTTTGCTATTTTTGAAAAATTATTGCATACAATAATTTTTTAAAGTTTTTATGTCTTCTACTCTTTTTTCTTGAAAATGAATAAATGAAATTATCTTACAGTGACGCAAGTTTGGTCGTCTGTTGCAAACATCGTTTTGATTGAAGGACGAAATTTAGCTGCGACAAATGGTTCCGAAAACCACTTTCCAGATCCTTTTGTAAAATTTAAACTTGGAAGTGAGAAATATAAAAGCAGGGTATAGTACTTTTAACACTACTTTTAAACATACTTTCATTCATATTTGCGAGTAAAAAAATAACAAATTAAATTAAAATAACAAAATATTATTGGATTGACAGCCTGTAATGCGGAATAATTGTCCGAAATGGTTGGAACAATTTGATCTGCATATGTTCGATGAACCAAAACACATACTTGAAATGATGGTTATTGATAAGAGAACGAATTTGAATATTGGGAGGTTCATATTGTTTGTAAATAAATTGTTTGTTTATGTTTATTGTTTATTATAGAATGAACACCAAATAAGAAAATTTAGAATGACATTAATAATGAAATTCAAATTGCATGGAAATGGTAATAATTTACTTCTCGTTTTCAAAAACAAAAGCATAGAATACAGATAAGTTTAAAAAATTTCTGAATGTAATAATTCTTGAAAATTTGTAAATTTTAGAAAAAATTTCTAGAAACTTAGCAAAAAACAAATGAATTCATAAGCAGTAAGCAAGTAAGCGAAGCGAGAAAAAACAATTATTTTTAAATGTTCCAATTTTTCTTTTAAGAAATGTAATCTGATCAATTGTAATTATACACAAATCAATCACAAACTCGCCACACTTTAATTAATTTGAAGCTTCTCCCTTCTCCTTCAAATTTCAAAATTTTACTCTGCTCAAATTTAAAGAAAATACTTTCTATGTCATATTTTTTTTACTGGCAATTAAAGTAAAAATTTTGATCACAATATCAATTTCACGCGTAATTTCATCATTCCTCTCTTCTCATAATTCCTAAATTTCCTAAATTTTATTTTTTTTTGTTCTTTCCTTTTTTGTCATCCTAAATTTTATTGTCTTTCCTTCTCTTACTTGCTATTAGCTCGTCCAAAATAAATAAATAATTATTAGTGTGTCAGCTTGATGTCTTAATTTTTATTCAAATTGGAAAAAGAGACTAATCCAATAAAATATTATAAGCAATAAAGTTTTTGCAAGTGTAATGTGATGAATGAATTAATAGTATTAAATATAATTGAACATATTAAATATAATAGAAATAGAGTTAAGCAAATCTTTCTTTAGGAATATTTCAATCGCTAGTATAAAATCTGTTTATTTGGAGCATTGATCACTATGAATAATGAATTCCTAATCGAACATGACTGATTTATTTATTTAACATTTCAGATGCAGTTTAGATTTAGACAAATTGGAAAAAGAAACTCCGAATCAAATGATTTGTGAACTTGATCGCGGTACTGGTAAGATATCCCGCATTTTTTACTTTCAATCTTGAAATGAAGAATAGAAAGACATAAAAAGTAGTATCATTGTTTTGAATACTAAATGATTTTGATGGGTGGAAATTATCACTAAAACTATAAAATCTGATTTAATTTTTTGCTAGCAACCGAAAGGAATATGTATGATTTTACTTATTCTAGCAATGCAACTAAAACTTAAGTTAAATATGAAAAGAGCGGTGATGAATGAGAACGGTGAAAAAGTAAAAAAGTGCTATTTCCGGTTACAAAATGCATTTTCCTGATTTGTTTAGGTTCTATTCTCGTTCTTATATCAATAACAGGTACATCTTCTACTGATGCAGTCATTGATCTGTCTGATTTTTCTGGCGAAGACATAAGGAATGCAATCATCGAAAAATATGTCAGTTTCACTTTGTTTTTTTTTTTGAGAATTTCTGTAATTTTATACAAATTTCCCATCATTAGATGATAATGATCACAAAATGATAAGAAATCTTTCATACAACAAATGCATGTATGTATGTAGTAAGAGATGTGTTTCTGTTTCTGCATATTTCCATACAGTTAAATATTTGCAGAGTTTGCGAAAAACGTATGAATGTTTCCGCGATATCGGTTTTCTTAGTGTCAAAGGTTAACTTTTTTATCAGATGAGTAATACTAGACTAGTATATGAAGTTGATTAAACAGATAGTTTCTATAACTCATTAAGTTTAATTATACCATCGAGAAATTGTTAAGCTCTATGCCTAAAGACATATGCCTTAGATGTACATTCTACGTGTATCAAGATATATTCACACCCACACACTCACGTATGACACGTCTACGCTGACGTACATTCATAACACCCATGCCAAAACCCCCTACACTACATGTCCAACATCTACGTGTTCGTACACACACACATCAACACCCACGCACACGTATGCATACACGTACCTACATATAATATGTCGATTCAATGATTTTTGCAGTATTTCGTGCTCGCAATTTGGCATCAGTTGATGCGATGAATAAGAGCAATCCATTTGTGGTAGTTGAATTGGTGAATGCATTGTTGCAAACACATACGGAATACAAAACGGTTAATCCGGAATGGAACAAAATTTTCACATTGTATTTTTTTTATACCTTCGGCCATCCATGCCATAATTCAAATTTCAAGGTTCATACAACCAAACTAAATTAATTGCCATCTTTCAAATAATATCAATAGATATCTGTTGATTCAATATCAATATAATTTACCTTTTTTTTTTTTTTTTTTTTTTTTTAAGTGTAATTTGAAATATTTTAGTGCAGTGAAAGATATTCATTCAATACTTGAAATAACAATTTATGATGAAGATCCAAATAAAAAAGCAGAATTTTTGGGCAAAATTGCGATTCCATTATTACAGGTAATACTTAAAAGCTTAGAAATGACCTAAAAATGTGGATGGAAAAAAGATCAAAAGAGAATGAATCATTTGTGAATAATTGAAATTAATTATTAAATAGTGCTGATGATCATTTTCTTGTAGATTCAAAATTGCGAACGAAAATGGTATGCTTTGAAAGATCGGAAATTGAGAACACCAGTTAAGGGACAAATATTGCTGGAAATGGATATCATCTGGAATCCGGTAACTTTTCGGATATAAGCCATTTCCTTGTAGATTATTATGTGAACTTGAGAACACTGAAAATTTATCAATGTTTTACAAAATGTATATAATAAAATAGAAATACAACGCTTTTCTAACTTTCAACTTTTACTCTCTGATTTGCTATTCCTGAAATGATAATGTATCGCAGATTCGTGCAGCAATCCGTACTTTTACTCCACGAGAACGAAAATATATGCAAATAGATCCAAAATTCAAACGACGTATTTTTATGAATAGTTACGCAAGGTTTGTAAAATTTTAATTCATAGGACATAAAATAATAATTTAACACTAGATAATCACATCGATTGAAATAAAGATTGGGTGAAAAATTTGGTTAGACTAAAATTTCTAAAAGAAGTTCACCTGATTCACCTGAGCAGAATATTGCAGTCTTTAAATGTTTGGCTATAAGCAAAAAGCAATATGCCTTTAGATTCGCATAAAATTTCCAATGTATTCCGTAATGCTTTAACAAAATCTAAACTGCTAACAGATATAATTTCTCATAGGGCAATTCGAGAGTTCAAAATTTTTCAGACTTCGAGGATTTCTTCTAGTACTGGTGCAAATTCGAGATTATGTGCAGAGTTGCTTTGACTGGGACTCACCAATGCGTTCCATATTTGCATTCCTTGTGAGCAAGTTTATTTTGATAGATGAAACTTTTAATTTTGGATTTTCAACGGTTACTAGAAACTTTTAATGCTTCAATGTTATATAGAAATGGAATTTGGCAAATTTTGGAATTCAATAGTTTTTAACAGAATTAATTGCATACTAAGAATAAGTTGTTATGCAAAAGGAATGAAATGTTTAAATTAGATTATCATCTGTCAAATGTTTGACTTTAATTTTTGTATCAAATCTTTCAACTGGAAAATTATCATCAAATCTACAATTTAGTCGTCTGTATTTTATGTAATTAACAAACAGTTCCATTTGAAATTTCATTTTTCATATTAAAAATTAAATATCACTAGTTGGGTTTTTCAGTTTTCTGCTATCAATAGAAGAAGCTTTTAAACTTTAACAAAACTAAGGCTCATCAAAATTCGACAGAAATGAGCTGGCAGACTAGCAATGCCCACAGTAAAACATTCATATTTTTATTTTTTATTTCTTTCTTCTTTCAGCTATTTATAATATTCGTGTACTTCTTTCATATTCATCACATTCCAATTATCATATTGCTTTTTTTCCTTCGACCCCACAAAATCAAATATTTGGAGCCAAATAGAAATGAAAATAATAACAAACCAATTTCGGAATCAGACGAAGAGATTGAGATGGTAATACAGCATTTAATTAAAAATAATACGTAGCAATAATTTTATAGTACAGAAAAATTGGATTTAAAATTTGAAAAAAAATGAAATGTAGAAATTATACCTGAAAAAATTCATTTGATTCTTTTGTTAAGCATATTAGCAAAGTGTTGCTTATCATTCATTATGAATTGCGATCCTCTTTATTTCTTTGGATAGGTATTGATTTATTTGATTCTTCTATTATGCGACATTACCGCCTATCTTCTCATCTTTTTCTTGCGCAGAGTGGACAATCATCATCATCATCATCAATCCGTGAACGCTTCAACACCTTACAAGACACAATGGCTAAAGTACAGAATATGATGGATTTTACCGCATCGTTGTTGGAACGAATTCGAAAGTAATTAACCCAAATTAAAAAAAAATCTTTTGGCTTTAACAGATTAATCAAATTTTTATGTCAAAATTTTAAAAAACGAACGATTTCCAAGAAAAAATTTTTCGTTTACAATACATTTAAGTTTTGTGATTTTTAGCACGTTTAACTTCACGCAACCGTATCTTTCAACGTTAGCTATAGTAACACTTTCTATTGTTACCATTTTGCTTTATTTTGTACCACTGAGATGGATTATTATGATATGGGGTAAGCAATTAATCGTCTTTAATTTTTTTAAATTAGAAAAATTCAAGAAAATTTTTTGTTTGAATTTAAAATGTTACTGCTTCACTATTCTTCCCTGAAAATGAATGAATAATAAAAGTAATTTTTTGATACATAATAATAATAATAAATAACTTTTTGTGGTAAAAAATAAAAAATGGTTTGTAATAAAAGTGTTTTTTGATATGATGTTATTTAATAATACCTGAGTTGTTTATATGAAGTTAATACTTCAGGTATCAATAAGTTCACGAAAAAATTGCGCAATCCAAATCTTATTCCAAATAATGAACTTCTCGACTTTCTCTCACGTGTTCCAAGTAACAATGAAATTGTATGATTACAATATTTCCTTTTTTTTTTTCTTTCAAATATGCTAAGTTTTAAGTGGACATATTTTCATTATTTCATAGCTCATCTGGAATTCAAATTTCCATATGCAACCAAAAATATCTTAAATTTAACTTTCTTGTTGTCCATTACAGTGATCAAACGAAGTATAAATGAAAAAGATAAAACAAATCAATTAATTTACTAAAAATTATTTTTGAAGACAAAAAGAAAGAGAGAAGTTTTAACTGCTAGAAGTTGTATAATTGAAGCTAAAAAAAATTTTTAAATAAATTTTTCTGCCTTCTCTTTTATTTCACTCATTTACTTTTGCAGAGAATTTACAAAGAGTTCACTGTGCAAGAAGTGCGCGACAATGTACAAATTAATAACGGTGGAAATAAAGTAAATAAATGAAATATTGTTGAGTGAGCAATGGTTCATCAGTTAAAATTCACTTATATTTTTGGAATTTTCTCTTGTGATAATCAGTAATTCACTTTTTGTCTTTTTATTTAAATCAATTATGGGTTGATTTCCTTGCATTATGAATTGAATGATTAAAATTAATTGAGAATAATGAAATGATTGAAACATTAATTCTTGTTAAATGTATAAACCATAATCATATCAGTTCTCTAAAAGTCTCCTCAAACAAATAATGCTGTTTAAAGTCATGATTTACATTGTGTTATACCCTGGTGGAATAATAATTGTCAGAAAAATGAGAATTACTATATATTATAGTAATCCCACATATTTTAAAACTTTGAAAAAATTTTTAAAAATATGTCATTCACTTTATAAGAAATTACTATCTAAAAAACTCTAATTAATATCACGAATAGTTATTATTCTTCATAAAAATACCAAAGGATATTTAAAACTTTTTAAAACAGCAAATCACAAATGTATTTAACATTCTACTTTAATTTGAAAGAGATATTCATATTTGCTTTCAAGTTTCATATTAGTTCACAGAATATGTTTTGATATCTTATCAAATGAGCGCTTTGACCTGTAACAATTAACGAGGTGAAAAATATAATTTTCATTAATATTATTTTTCGTTTTTTTTTTTTTTCTTTTCAAATGATGACGATGACGACATTTTAAAATGTTTTGTTTTCTTTTGTTCCTTAATCAGCAGAATACAACAATAAATAAGCGCTTTTATAATATAAATATACTTACTGTAATGATTAGCTCTTTATAAGATATATAATTATAATAATTGTAAGCAATAATATACAATATAGACTATAATAAACTATTCAGTCATAAAATTTCATTTTTCTTTTTTTTTAATCTGAATAAAATGAAAACTTGAATTAAAGTTCCTTGAAAAAGTTGAGGATAAATCATTCATCAATGGGAGCATTAAATCCAGAAGGAACGGAAACAGGTTGTAGACTAGAATGATCACAAACAGAACAATTAATTGAAATGTTAATGTATTTTTTTCGTGCTATTAACTATGCATCATAGCATTAATAAATCAAAGTAAGCGGAATTGTCCGGTACATCTTTCAGTGCAATGATATTTTCAAATGGGTTTGTGTAAGTTTTTTGAAATAAAATATACTTTTTGCAAATCAATTTTTTTCAATCAATAAATTTTAACAATTGCATTAAAAACATTAGGTAAAATGTTTTTGTTTTGTTTGCATTGAAATATATATTAATCACTATATCATTGTCATATCAACTAGAATGTGGAAAAGCTTGAATGATAAGAATCAAACAAATCATTGCTTCGTCGTCGAGCAAGCGTTGATGTTAGCATTGAGAATGGCGAATGTTGTCGTGATGGAAGCGAGAAAAGTGATGGTATAATGGCGGGTGACGTGGATCGCCGATAAGACGAACTTATTGGACGACCAAAAGTCCTAATGAAAAAAAGATTCATATAAAAAATCAAATCAATGATAAATATCAAAGAAGAAAATTAAAACGAATGACATCTATTTGTGACACTGCTCTTTCTGTAATCATTTTGCTATTTTATTTTGTTTTTCGTCTTTTTTTTCTTTCTAATTTTCTATTTTCTCATTTATTTATGCATAAATTAGAAGATAATAACTAACGATGTCTGTGAATATTTGAAAGGAAGTTGTGTTATTGTGATATTTCGGCAAGTACTTTTTGGTAACGAATGATTTTGAATTAATCGACGTTTCAGCTCTGAACAGTACACATCTGGAAGTGCCATACCATCTTGATTTGTTTCAATCATTTGCACCGAACTGGAACCTAAAAATTAGTTAATGATAGTTTTCTAAAACCAATCGATTACGCAAACATTTATAGAAAGTGATAGCTTTTTTTTCACTTTCAGCTTCAAAAAGGATAAACTATGATATTCATATGAGAATTATGCAAAGAGATATTTCAAAAAGAAAAGTTTGAAAGATTCATTCACTTTCTTTTTGCACTAAGTGCTTTGTATCAAATTGAAAATTTGTTTACATTTTAAATTGAAATTATCACAATATAGTTGAACAAATTAAACAATCAATTAAATGAGAAAAACAAACAACAGTAATTGGAACCTTTCAATTTACGTTCGTACTCAATCATTTGCCTCCAAAAGCCTACGTTAGGTTTCACAACCGGTCGAGCTGACTTAACAAAGTGATACGCTTGACGTAATGTCATCCGTTCATGCTTTACGAGATATATCATGCATAACGTAGCAGACCGAGATACCCCAGCTACACAGTGCACTAAAGTTCGACCACCCCTATCCTGAAATACCACTTGTTAAGCATTTATCAAATGCATATTTTAGCTTATTTCAATCTTAATAGCTATAATTAAGTTGTAAATTTTAAATTAATTATTTCAGTAAGTTCTTACTGAAATAATTAATTTAACTTCGTAAAAACTTGTTACCTTAACTCTAGTATATGAAACAAAATTAAAAAATAATGAGACAAAAAATGTTAATAAAGTTACATAATCATTTTAATGACCAAAGAAAATGAGTAATTAATTAGATTTAATCACCTTTATTGCTTTGATTTTGTCTGCAACAATATCAAAATATTGATCAATTTTTGCATAGGGACTATCTTCTATTGAGATCCTCAAGTAGTCAACCCCTAAAAGTAAATTTTTCAATTTTATTTGCAACAGAAAAGAATTAGATGTAAGAGATTGAGAAGAAATAAAGAAAAATAATTAATTTGTCCATTGATAGACAAAAGCCAAAAAAAAATGATGCCAAATTGGCTAAAAATAAAAGTGATGACACATCATTGCTTCTATTATCCATTTTCATACTAAACATGGGTAATTTTAACATTATAATGAAAGGAAGACTTAAAATTACCTGGAATATGAGTAGATGGTTCTTCAACAGTTGCATTGACAATACATGAAATTTTCTTTTGACGTAATTTTTCAAGTTTTAAAACACCGGCTCCAGAAAGAAATAAATGATCAGTAACCTCAGAAATTTGCCCAAACAGTCCAATTCTCGACATTAGGAAAGCTCGATGGGTAAGATAATAAGAATAATATTATGTCCAGAAATTCTCAGCAAATAATTATAGCAAAAGTTTTGGAAAGAGAAAAATTCCAATTCTTCAATTTAACAAAATTTCTCCCATCATTTACACCGAAAAGATGATAAACAAAAACGAAATTTTCTGAAATTAAGGAGAGTTTTTCATAAATTAATAAAAGTATACTTTATATAGTATATTAACGAAAATATACCGTTTAAAAAGATTTAAAAGTATAAATGGGGCAGGGTTACTAGGGAAATAAGATATAGAATAAGAAAAAGGTGAATTAAACGTGACCTCCACATAAGTAAAGTGAGTTATCCTTACCATATGCGCATTTCTTTTTTCTTTTTGTTTTGACGTTAAAAATGAAAATTCGAATTAAAGGAATGAATTATTATTGTTTAAAAAGAGTTATAAGTCAGATCATAAATGACTACAATATGACCTTTTGATTATTTGATCATTCGCAATGGCTTGTGAAACATATATGAATTTCAGGATGAACAAAAAATTTCTTTTGCTAATAACTGAATATATTAAAAAGGACGTTATGATATCATTGCGAGAGTATCTTTTTCCTTTTCAAAATGAAAAGAAGAAAAAAAAAAAAACACTGAAGAAATGGTTGAATCAGAATATAAAAGAATAAGTATTTTCATATTCATTAAAAAAAGAGAAGAAAAAAACATACTCGTCAATATTAATAGAAAAGTAAAAAAACGGAAAAGGAAAGGAATGAATCAGTTCATTCATTCATTTCATCAAATAAAAACTTTGTTCATTTTTTTAGCAAATCAAAATTTTTTTTGAAAAAAAAATTTTTTTTCAACTTCTCTAACACAGTAATTGTATTACAAACAATATCTGTAAGTGGTATGATAATAATGATATGATAAGAAGCAAAATGCCATTTTATAACCAATTATTTTTACAAAAATACATTTTTCAAGTTAAGTCTACGGCTCTACCATCACTATTAATAAGTCAATTCTTCTTACCTTTTTTAAAATTTCTAAAATTCAGCTATATTCAGCTATTTCTTAAATTGAACATTGTCACTTCAACAAGGATTGAGAATGGGAGAATAATTTATGCATATTATCTGTTATCTGAAAACATTTTTTAATTAAATTAATAAAAAATAAATAATTCGAAAGAATCATTCAAACCGATGCAAAAAAAAAAAAAAAAATTATTATTTTATGCCATTTTTTTTGCCATTTAAAAAAATTTGTAATTAATGAAAACTTCAAATATTGAAAATAACAAACATTGTGAGAAATTTTGCGCAACTAATGCAGAAAGATGCAAACTTGAAGGAATTATTCATTCAAAAAAAAAGAAAGGAAAAGAAAAGAAAAGAAAAAGAAATGAAAGATAAGAATAAGAAAAGTGGAAAGAAATATATGTGTGTCACATTAAAATATATTATTATTATTCGATGGAATGCATAAAAATGATTTTAATTCTTACGTTTTTTTTTCCATAATGAAATGAATTCCTAAAATGATAATTTCAAAAATAAAATAAAATAAAAAACAAACAAAACGACACAAAAAACCAAATTAATTTCTGGAAAAATTTCAAAAGATTTAAAAATAATATTTTCAGGAAATGAGTTAGATGAGAAGTTATTATTTCAGATAATTGATCAGAAATTTTGTTTACTGAGATCTATGAGCGAGACCGATGATCTTTGACCGTTAAAAGTAAATAAACGAAAAAATGTCGATAATGAAGATGAATGATGAAAATGAGAACAGATATAACATCTACGTAAGTATACGAAAGCGTATCGCTTCCGGAAAGATACAATTTTTTTTTCATTTTTGTTTTTTGTTTTTTGTTTTTGTTTTTTCATATATAAAAATGTGGAGTGATGAAATAGATTTTTAAATTTCAAATTAAAATTAACTCTATTTACTTAATTTTGATTGAAAGAGGAGAAAGTGCAGATGTTTAACAAGACGTATTAAATTGCAATGCTCTCGGAAATTGATTGCAATGATTCATTTTAAATAAAATTCCAATTTATAAGTGAAAATACTCGTTTTGTGTGTTCATAATAGTCTTAAGTATAAGGATGTTTTAAGTTATATTTTTGTTTTAATTGTTAAATGAAATAAAATTTGTCAGACTACGAACAGTGAATAATAATTTATCATGCATTATGAGCTATTAAATATTAAATAAAAGAAAGTTTTTGAAAAAATAAAAAAAACGAACTTTTGAGAAAACAGAAAGCCTAAAGTTTGCTTAAAGGTGCATAAATTGACGCAGTGATAATTATTAAAGGACTGCATCAGCGAAGTTACTTCTTTTTTTAATGAAAAAAAAAAAAAAAAATGGAAGACAAATTAAAAATTAAAAAAGAAAGAGCTCAATAATTTGAACAACAAGTAGGAAATGATTAAAGATAAAGATAAGTTTTCAAATCTGTGATTTGCCATTTCAATACAATTTACTTGAGAAAGCTACAAAATCTGATATATCAATATTTTATGATATATGAATGTATATCAGTAGTTTGATAAAATTAATATAAATAGTTAAATAATATATCAATATTTTGATATTAATCTCTTAATAAAATTTTGAAATATCATAATTATGTTATTAAAATGTTTGGAAGATGTGCAGTAAATCAAAAAAAAAAACTTATTATCGTTAAATCATTAAAGCAAGTTACTTTGATTTCTATTATCAGTGGAATGGATTATGAGGTAGAGCGGTGATAACTTTGTCAGAGTTTAGAACCATTCTTGACGAAGAATTCAATTTATTTGAGTAAAAATCAATTGACACTTCAAACATTTACCTTATAATATTATTTAATTTGAATATTTTAGTCGGTATGAATATAAACTTCAAGAATAAACCGATTGTATCGAATTGATTCAAAAGAAAGCAACAAAAATTAATTTCGGTATCCTGATGAATTTCATTAACTGATCTCAATTTTAATGGCATTCGAATATTAAAATTTTCATTTCTTTTATAAAAATTGAATATTAAAAGAAAAAAAAAAGGAAGGCAAAGATTAATTTTGAACAGAACAGAACTGCATGAATTCTTATGGGACAAACCTTTTTTTTTTCTTTCTTAAATTTCTATTTTTTTAAACCGCCTATTGTTCACATGACAACAATGATAAACATGCACTTACTCAAATTGATGAGCAAAAATCACCTATGGCCTGTTTGTCGGGGACAAGGACAAAACCCAATTCTCCTATTCTCGGGTCTCTTTTTTTGTTCCACACCTAAACAAACACGTTTTTATCAGTCATCCAAGCAAAACAATTGAGAGTAAAGATGTTTACCAAATGTGAATATTTTCAAGCAATAAAAAATAAGGGAAAAAACGAAGGAATGAAAGGGTAAAATAAAAATTGAGAAGGGTAAAATATTTCAGGTGAAATACACCTTAATCAAAAGATAAATTTCCATAAGATAATAATCATTTTATAGGATAAACAATATGCATATGTAAATATTTAACTAATGAGATAATTGGAATATTTTGATATAACGAATTGATAAATAAGTATATATATTTTAGCTGAGAAAAAAAAAACAATTAATTAATTAATTAGTATGAAAAAACAACTCGGAAAAATACTGCTTCGCACGTTTGTAAAATTATTGTGAATAAGGCATAAAATATTCATTTCTTATAATAAAATTCAAAAAAAAGGATATTCTGATATTTCCTGTTAGTAATATGTAATATCAAAAATTTAGTTAAATATTGATCATATGGTTATTTAGTTATTATTTTTCTCATCCATTCTAATAGGTTTCTAAAATATCACTTAGTTAAGTGAGACTGAATGTTTTCTTTGACGAAACAATGATGAGTTAATTCATTAATGCTATTTTATTGAAGATTTCAACTTTTTTATTTTAGATTTTGAAGAAAACAAAAAGAAACAACAAAAAATTTTTATTGAAAAGTATTTTAAAAAAGTGGACAATCAATAAAAAGCTAAATATCCGTACATTGCAATCAGATGGTCCAGTTCATTTTAATTAGATAAGACAGTAAAAAAAAAAAAAAAAAAAAAAACTGATTTGAATTCATTTTAACAAGTTTAAGCTGAAAAGCAACCAAAAAAATCAATAATGAATTAATATGTTAAACCTATCTTTAATAAAACGATAAAATGATAAACAGTTGCTAACAAATTAGCAGTACTACCTATTAATTACAATGTAGATTAGTTGTTTAATGATAATTAATTATTTTATGCTGAAAAATTCTCATTTCCAGACATAGCATTTTAAGTTTTATCACATTTCAGTACATTTTATTTAATCAAATTAAATGTCCACTAAATCATATTTTAAATTTCAAAAATATATCATAGATATAAGTTTATATGCATATGCATAATTCATTTGTACTGTTTACATTTTCCCCAAAAAGAAGGAAAAAATATTGGAAGTATTTTGAATGCAGGGAAAACATATACTAATAGTGAACTTTTGTTCTTGAGTAACAGATGGCAATATTCGTCGCTTCCCCCCGGGAGAATAGAATCAATTCTTCCGGTCCCATATATCTAACTAACCAGTTAGTGTTCCTCTTTTTTTTTCTTTTTCGAAAGAATACGATTTTAAAAAAAAAAGAAAAAACTTGAATTGCATTTGAAAAAAAAAAGTTTGAGATATAACATTTCAATATTTTCTTATTTAAAGTTATAAAATTGTTGAATTATTAAAATAAAAAAAGAACACTTGGAAAAATGAAATAATTAAATTTGATTTTAGGATCGGAAATAATTTATGGATAATAAACATTTTGGTATTCATGCCATTACTGCCAGAAAGTAAGAATTAGCAAAAACAACTGTCTATCGACTGGCAGCTAGCATCTAGTACATAGCGGCTAATGCTTAGTATTTTACTTTTAACTGATGAATAAATTCTATAAATAGTGCTTAACTTCTTGAAATGTGTTAACAGGAGAGA